CATACTCTTATAACATAGAGAACAATGAATCGTTGATATCTTACTGTGGAATTACCATGTCAATATTCTACGGCTAAATAACCGCCTGAAATCAAGTGGGAAGTTAACATAAACTACACATATATATACATGCACATAATCCAAGAGCTGTAAACTGGGTCACCAAGTCAAAAGTCAAGGTTACATTTTTACTAGAATGTATTATATTGGCAAATATTTTGTTATGCCATTTTTAAGCTAAGCTCACCAGAATCAAATGATCATAAGTTGAAGATGAATGATATTTAGTCTAAAGAATGGGCATATTAGATTAGGAAGTTGCTAGTTGTGTAATCCAGTTGAAGGAAGATACAATATCTTTAAAGCTTACTTTCACATCTCTCCTTTAGATGTAGCACTATGTAAAAGACATGAGCTTCATGATTATATACACTTCATATTATCAAATTTAGAAGTAAAAACATGATTGTACTTTACTGAAATGGTCGTTTACAGTACTTCCAGTACTTTGATTCATACTTCTATCAGATTTTGTATATAAAGAAATGCGTTTGTAAGACAAGAATAGAAAACGCCTAAATGTGTACCGAGTGGCACAGGTTTTAGGTCAATTAAGTCTCAGGGTGACGTACTGCGATCGCCTTTTTGCTGCGCGAGTTTCCTGGGTTGACCGTCCAGGCGCTAGCTGTTGTCCACATATATTTAGTAAAGCGCCACACGACAAAATCAGAAACCTTCTAATAACCGTGACTTCCTGATGGCGAAGAAGTCAAATATTGGTGATCCGTCGAGTAAAGGCACTTTTCCTGCTTAAATTTGGCGGAAAATGCATTTTTAGAGTGAACATGGCGCCCTATTGCTTTGCCACGACAGAGCAAGCTGTTAAAATATCTATCCTTTCCTATGACGATAAGTTGGAACAGAAAGGCCTTTCACATTTAACATTACAAATGGTTTCTGTCGACGTAAATTAACAACTTTCTATTCTGTCAGTGAGCAGCCATTAAGGTGATAATGCACTTGAGATAAAAACATACACACACAATGATAATGAAATAATACCAGGTTAAACAATGGTTTTACCTTGATGTTTACTGTGCAAGACATGGAGATATATCTCTCCCAATCTGTGGTATAGGCTGTGCATAGATGCTACTTTCGCCTGTCAATTTTCTGACGATACACTCGTTACTGTGGATTGTGCATCAGTGATGTATGGTCTATCTGATGATTCATTTTACACATTGGAATTACTAGAATTTGTTTTCCTCCGTTTGTCTGATGACAACTTTCATTCTAAGACGTGATTTAAAGATTTAAAGTCTTAAAAGATTAAAGCCTAAAGTTTTATTTAAAGGATTACGTGACCTTCATAGAATAACATATCGTCACAATCTATTGACATAATTTTTGAAACAGGGAAATATCTACGTCCTGGTTTATTTTATTTGAACGGGAACGAACTTCCTCACAATAGCCAGGGTCAACTAAGGACGCTTCTCTAAGGCAACAACAAAAGTCAAGGGACAAACGAGGCCGGGCATCGAATGGGACACCTTAACACCAGGAACAAACGAGGACATGTCTAACAGGACATCAACAGCTAGGGAAATACGAGGATGTGTGTCTAAGGGAACACTAATAGCCAGGGACATACGAGGACGTGTGTCTAAGGGAACACTAATAGCCAGGGACATATGAGGGCACGTGTCTAAGGGAACACTAAAAGCCAGGGACATATGAGGGCACGTGTCTAATGGAACACTAATAGCCAGGGACATACGAGGGCATGTGTCTAAGGGAACACTAAAAGCCAGGGACATACGGGGACACGTGTCTAAGGGAACACTAAAAGCCAGGGACATAATAGGGCACGTGTCTAAGGGAACACTAAAGGCCATGGACATAATAGGGCACGTGTCTAAGGTAACACTAAAAGCCACGGACATAATAGGGCACGTGTCTAAGAGAACACTAATAGGCAGGGACATACGGGGGAAAATGTCTAAGGGAACACTAAAAGCCAGGAACATACGGGGGCACATGTCTAAGGGAACACTTAAAGCCAGGGACATAATAGGACAAGTGTCTAAGGGAACACAAATAGCCATGGACATACGAGGATGTGTGTCTAAGGGAACACTAATAGCCAGGGACATAATAGGGCACGTGTCTAAGGGAACACTAATAGCCAGGGACATACGAGGACGTGTGTCTAAGGGAACACTAAAAGCCAGGGACATACGAGGACGTGTGTCTAAGGGAACACTAATAGCCAGGGACATACGAGGATGTGTGTCTAAGGGAACACTAATAGCCAGGGACATAATAGGGCACGTGTCTAAGGGAACACTAATAGCCAGGGACATACGAGGACGTGTGTCTAAGGGAACACTAAAAGCCAGGGACATACGAGGGCATGTGTCTAAGGGAACACTAAAAGCCAGGGGCATACGAGGGCATGTGTCTAAGGGAACACTAATAGCCAGGGACATAATAGGGCACGTGTCTAAGGGAACACTAAAAGCCAGGGACATAATAGGGCACGTGTCTAAGGGAACACTAAAAGCCAGGGACAAAATAGGGCACGTGTCTAAGGGAACACTAAAAGCCACGGACATATGAGGGCACGTGTCTAAGGGAACACTAATAGCCAGAGACATACGAGGGCATGTGTCTAAGGGAACACTAATAGCCAGGGACATACGAGGGCACGTGTCTAAGGGAACACTAAAAGCCAGGGACATACGAGGACGTGTGTCTAAGGGAACACTAATAGCCAGAGACATACGAAGGCATGTGTCTAAGGGAACACTAAAAGCCAGGGACATAATAGGGCACGTGTCTAAGGGAACATTAAAAGCCAGGGACAAAATAGGGCGCGTGTCTAAGGGAACACTAAAAGCCACGGACATATGAGGGCACGTGTCTAAGGGAACACTAATAGCCAGAGACATACGAGGGCACGTGTCTAAGGGAACACTTAAAGCCAGGGACATAAGAGGACGTGTGTCTAAGGGAACACTAAAAGCCACGGACATAATAGGGCACGTGTCTAAGGGAACACTAATAGCCAGAGACATACGAGGGCACGTGTCTAAGGGAACACTTAAAGCCAGGGACATAAGAGGACGTGTGTCTAAGGGAACACTAAAAGCCAGGGACATACGAGGACGTGTGTCTAAGGGAACACTAATAGCCAGGGACATACGAGGGCATGTGTCTAAGGGAACACTAAAAGCCAGGGACATATGAGGGCACGTGTCTAAGGGAACACTAAAAGCCAGAGACATACGAGGGCACGTGTCTAAGGGAACACTTAAAGCCAGGGACATAAGAGGACGTGTGTCTAAGGGAACACTAAAAGCCAGGGACATACGAGGACGTGTGTCTAAGGGAACACTAATAGCCAGGGACATACGAGGGCATGTGTCTAAGGGAACACTAAAAGCCAGGGACATATGAGGGCACGTGTCTAAGGGAACACTAAAAGCCAGGGACATATGAGGGCACGTGTCTAAGGGAACACTAAAAGCCAGGGACATAATAGGGCACGTGTCTAAGGGAACACTAAAAGCCAGGGACATATGAGGGCACGTGTCTAAGGGAACACTAAAAGCCAGGGACATAATAGGGCACGTGTCTAAGGGAACACTAAAAGCCAGGGACATAATAGGGCACGTGTCTAAGGGAACACTAAAAGCCACGGACATAATAGGGCACGTGTCTAAGAGAACACTAATAGGCAGGGACATACGGGGGAAAATGTCTAAGGGAACACTAAAAGCCAGGAACATACGGGGGCACATGTCTAAGGGAACACTTAAAGCCAGGGACATAATAGGACAAGTGTCTAAGGGAACACAAATAGCCATGGACATACGAGGATATGTGTCTAAGGGAACACTAATAGCCTGGGACATAATAGGGCACGTGTCTAAGGGAACACTAAAAGCCAGGGACATACGAGGGCATGTGTCTAAGGGAACACTAATAGCCAGGGACATACGAGGGCACGTGTCTAAGGGAACACTAAAAGCCAGGGACATAATAGGGCACGTGTCTAAGGGAACAATAAAAGCCACGGACATAATAGGGCACGTGTCTAAGAGAACACTAATAGCCAGGGACATACGGGGGAAAATGTCTAAGGGAACACTAAAAGCCAGGAACATACGGGGGCACATGTCTAAGGGAACACTTAAAGCCAGGGACATAATAGGACAAGTGTCTAAGGGAACACAAATAGCCATGGACATACGAGGATATGTGTCTAAGGGAACACTAATAGCCTGGGACATAATAGGGCACGTGTCTAAGGGAACACTAAAAGCCAGGGACATACGAGGGCATGTGTCTAAGGGAACACTAATAGCCAGGGACATACGAGGGCACGTGTCTAAGGGAACACTAAAAGCCAGGGACATACGAGGACGTGTGTCTAAGGGAACACTAAAAGCCAGGGACATAATAGGGCACGTGTCTAAGGGAACACTAAAAGCCACGGACATAATTGGGCACGTGTTTAAGGGAACACTAAAAGCCACGAACATAATAGGGCACGTGTCTAAGGGAAACTAATGACCAGGGACATAGGGGGCACATGTCTATGGGAACACTGATAGCCAGAGACATACATGGGCACATGTCTTATATATTGGAACACGGCGATTCATTACTTCACTTGTTATAAGTTTAGTAAATGTTATATAAAAGCAAAACAAGCAGTGGTCAGTGAAACATCCATTGATTTAAATGTTACGGTTTGTCCAATCCTCCTCCTTAACCAAAAATACGAAAACAGTCACGTGAAAGATGTGTCCCTCTTGCATGCGAACACTGACGGTAAATGTTCTAACAAAATCAGAGGTGTTCTGATAACTATCGTTCTTTGATCCCTTTGGATTAAACTGATATTGTTTCATAGACCTGAAATCGGTGGTTTTCCATGAAACTGCAATATTGTATCCCTTTTCTGATGACAGGTGTTCCTGGGTGTTTCAACTGGGGACATCGATTCTTGAAACCATACGGCACTGGCAATTTGGACAACCTTGGATGTCTACTTTTAAACCATGTTTACTACACTTAAGTCTACAAGATTCGTTATTGCATGATGTTTTTGGGGGTTGGTAGGATGAATCTGGAACAAAAAGGAAAATAGATTAAAACATGGATACAGTTGTAAGAAGAGTTTAGGGGAGACGCACGCGTGACAGATACCATTCAATACAAATTTAGATAATGCTAAAGACATACATGATACGTCAAAAACAGACAGGGGTATACTAGTACTTCGATTTTGAAAAATCGGAATTTTCACTTTAATGGTAATTTTAGAAGAACGTCAAATACTTGTGTTAGACATAAAAGCTTGTGAGTATGTTACTACGAACCACTGGGTGTGTCTACCACCTACAATCTATAATATAGCCCGAAAGATACTCTCCTTTTCAAGATCGTAGAATTAGATGCGGAAGAGCCAAATAAGCGAGACGAAAGACCTAAAGTGACTTCATCGTGTACGTCTGCACTGGCATCGTCTCCGCATTGCATTTTATGAATTAGGACCCATTTTAAGATACATGCAGAACGATGACACTTTACAATAATTTGTCCATTTTCAGTCATACTATGACTCCGAACTACACGGGAAGTTTCGAGAAACGTTGTCAAGTGGAAAACTAAACAATACTTCGGTGAGATAAGATTGGTTAAACACATTCAGACAGGAAAATTGATTGTACTTACTGATGTCCGGCTCACACTGACAGGACCAGCAACTTGGTCCGGTCACATCTGGGTCAGAGCAGTAGATGGCACATGGGGTACACTTAGACATCATGGGGGCTGCAATGATAAAAGTAATCGTAAACAAATATCATGTTATCATGTTCAACGAGAAAGACATTATATTGTGTGTTAGTTACAGAAACTCAAATCGATCAACCGTAGGAAAATATCAACAAAAGAAAAATTTGCAGGTTTGAAAAAATCCCAGGATAATGAAAACGAGTATTCAGGAAGGCAACTGTTAGCTTGCTCTCTCATCCCAGATATAATATATGTGTGATTTTGTTTAATGTTTTGAAAAACAAATATTGTTTAACCAACATTTAGCACTTGGAGAGTCTTTGTTTTATTATTTTACGTTGTCTCTATGTCACAACAATAAATCCCCATTTTCTGTTTATGGAGGACAAGAACAAGTGTGATTACGTGTTGGTTTTGAAAGCTAATGGGGTTTTTTCATACTGTAAGTGAACAATTTCAGCTGACTCAATGTACAACATTTCAACTGAAGAAGTGGGTAGGAAGAAAAGTTCCATACACGATATCAACCTCGTTATAAACGTGTGTGTTGGAGGTGAGATGAAGGAGGCGGGGGAGGGGGGTAGGATGACCTACATATTGGCTAACAATTGATATTAAACCCGTCAGATAAATTAGATAAATAACTTTAGTACAAGGCAAATTTTGATATTTGAACTGAATGGCACATAATTCAATAAATTTCAATGTATCAGTATTAGATATCAAGGAAACAGAAAAAGAGTGCATATGGTTTACAACGAGTTATTTTGACTGTCCCACATCCTTACTCAATTGATCGATATCATTTTCTTCTGTTGTGTTTCAAATATCTACATTTTTTCTCAAATGTTACAGCTGTCATTAACAAATAAAAATGACACTCCAGTGGAAATTATAACTTTTTTTGTAATCGGGTTCATCGACTTTTTAAAAATATTGATCCTATATGCAAATATTGTCATGCAGTGGGTGTTTTACGGGGAAAGAAAGAAAATTATCAAAAGCCAAGAGATACAATTGGTGAAGGAGATGTATTTTGGTTTGTTCAATGTCACGCCTCAATCATAAGTCGTCGGAGAAATGACCTCCGATCTGCAAGTCTAACATATGTAATGCTAGTGAAGAGGCGGCCTTCCCGTACCACGGTACACGAAAAAGTTGAATTTTTATCATACACATGATAAGTCAAACGTCTTTCATCCAGTAGTTTTATTTTATGGAAGACTGTCGTGCATTAGCATAGTGTGTGTTTCATTAGAAATGTATATATATTATAAACAAATTGTCATATTCATATTTAACCTTTAACTTCCTCTCTGACGTTGTTTGTCGTCATACATATAAATTAATATTTAAGTAGATACATATATATACTCCCAGGTTAAAAACAAGCAGGAACCTAAGCGACAGGTATAAACAGTACATACAGTCATACCTTCGGAATGTAGTACATACTCTCGTCACTTAGTACCAACAGGTACTGTTAGATACCATTCTGATCAAGGTTTTGAAGATCTGGAGAAAATTGCACTGATTTTTTATTTTTTTTTTAATATTGATTTTGCAACATGTGTTAATTACATATAAGCAACTATAGCTACAATACCGTGAATATGTACACAGTTTGTGTTTTTCAACCAACATTTTGAACTATTTGTAGTGTTTGTATTTTCAATTGAAACTGATTATTTGATATTAAAACGACTGCAAGTAGGGGGAGTATGTATATATATGTGTTTGGTCAATGAAGTAATAAAGATAGTACGGACAAGTGAATTTTCACTACATTACATAAATTACATCACATACATAGAACATAAAACAAATATAAAGTTATAAATCTTAATCGAGAGCGGTGGTGTAAATTTAGGTGTCTCGATAATCCCTTTGGCCGATGGACGCCGAAGGCCCTTTTATAAGGGACAAAAAACACATATTTATATTAACTAACTTCTGTCGACGATGTAAGTACCAATAATAGCAGCAGTATTAGTAGTGATGAATAGGCGTCTACATGTAAAAAAAATGATTATCAAAGTGTCTTCAGAAAATATAAATGATTACAAAATAACAGATATGAAAAATCAAATGAAGGATAAGAAAATCCCACTTACCTGTAGATATTAATCCTGCAGTACAAACGACCGTTATAGTAATTTGAAATATGATGCTAGACATTTTTCTAAGCAGGACAACATGCTCCTAAGTATGTCAATTAAAGTCTTACTAAAATCATACACACCGGTGTCGCTAGTACCTGTGTATGACGTAGATGTTCACTACGACAGGCACTTTCTACCTGATTGACAAATGTTCAATTAGACAGGCGGTAGTCAGGACCAGGTGGGGATGGTCCGAACTGTCTCTTTCCCTGGAGTCTGATCCGGTAATGGACATTGTCGGACCCTTGCGCTCCTGAGTACGGGAACGGGCGCGCGACACCTTTCAGCTCTCCGTACAGAGAGTGAACTCTCGATCTTATTATTGGTGAGTGTCTTGTACTGTTGGTAAAACGTCAATATTTTGATTGGAGCAGGTGATGGCACAAGATGGTGGAATTTCTTTTGTGCGATTCCGCGCTTTGATAAAGGTATACATATCCACATTACTATGGTTGTAACTAAACCTCGTAAAATAGGAGAAATCTCCGGGCGAGGTAGCCTGAAGTGGCCAGTGCCCGGTACACGATGACAGTGCTAAAACTTGGGTAGTGGACAGGTGACCTCTAGTCCACACACTTTACAGAATATTTAATGTAGTGTGAAAATCCAAAGAATTTAAAATCCTTTTTAGTTTTTTTATCGAGTTTTTTCCACGATTATAGTTAGTAACACTTGTACAAATATCATCACGTGCAAAAAGAAAAAAAATGAGTCCAGTTTTAGGACAAACCACCTCGTTTAAAACATAACCAAGTCCCATCCATTTTTTTAGATCAAGGTACGTTTCAGAAAAGAATAGAAATTGAGTATAATTTATGCATTATATGAAAAGCCAAAATCATTATTTTATAAGGTAAAGACAGAAAAAAATAAGACTTTTATTTTTACAGTCATCAGTCATGTTAACACCAGATTCCTATCATTAAAGATATGAACAGAAGGTATAAAAAAAAGATTCAATATTTGATCAAAACTACTCCTTGAGTAAACGTTGTCTATGTTTGCCGTAGTGCTCATGTTCTGTAGAAATATCATTATAGCAGACTTAGAGGATTTATCGATTAGCAATAGTACTTCTATACATTTTTCATCGTTTATTTATTGTTTATTTACTTTTCAAATCTCCACTGTAACAAAAAAAATCAATGTTAAGTAAAGTAACGTTTAAAAGAATATACGCTATATATATTTTTTTGCAAGAAAAAATCTCCGTCTACAAGTACAGGTAGGACGTAAGAATTATACCTGCTGTCCACATCGCAAGAGGCCACTGAATTTGGGATCTTAATATTTTCCCTCTTTGCTGAGGAATTTTTCTGTTTCCTAATGTATCTCTTGACGCCGTCTCATTTTTGGTCTCTACTTGAGCGTTCGCACATGCGAGGAAGGCTTTGGAGTCTACGCAATTGGTAGTTTCTTTTCCCTACTTCAACATTCTGCGTTTTGGTAGTGTATGTAACGAATGTCATCAGTGAAAAGTATAAGGTGGCCGTTAAGAGTGACTGCTGGAAGCCTTCGGCAGAATACTTCAGTATGGTAGCACTATATACATCGCCAAATAAGGCTTACACAAACTTAATTATCGCTGCTTTAACGAAATCACACCTGCACCCGTATGACGAAATATACACCAAATAGCTGATATTGCGCCCAAAAACAAAACAGGTACACTGTTACCTGTATAGTGGCAAAAATATGACACTGACAACGTGCCAAATTATCAAAGGATGGTATACCTTATAGCATATAGTTACTCACTAGTAATGCACGCTCATTTGTATTCATTAATTCTCTGATAGGCATGCGCATACTGCTGGGGAAACACCTTTTAATAATATGTTATTTAAAAAGAAAAATAACGCCGAATGTTTTCATATCTTCTTAGCTGATTCGATAGAATCCAAGCTTTGATAAGGAAGACGCTGATAGGTTAATCAGGGGTGTTTATTCCGAGAAATCCTGACTTCTTAAAAAAAACTTGTACAGTCTTCCGAGTACAGCTTACACGGTAAAGGTGGCGATATATATATCTAACGATCTATATATAAACAACTGTCAGAAATGTTTCTTTATATATATATATATATATGTATATGTGTGTGTGTTTAATCACGTGGAAAAGCACACAATTTATTCGACAAACCTGTAGATATTTTTCTTCCGTACAATTAAAAACGAATATATTTATACAGAAGATCCCTTGCCATTTGCCAGCTAGTCAACAAGGTATAATATTTTAGAACAAAGTAAATTTATCAGAAAGAGAAATTACATCCAACCGGTGCCAATTACGTCGTCATTATACGTGACCATGGAAACGGTGACGGATTGATTGATTGATTGATTGATTGATTGATTGTTTGATCGATCGATCGACTGATTGATTGATTGATTATCTACATGTATTTATTTTTAGATTTATTACTTGTGTTATATATATACATAAATACGCTGTTACTAATAATAACGAAAACACCACAAAACCGCCGTTACACTAGCTATCGCATAGTTGTTGTACTTCTGTATATAATATATATTCTTTGGAATATTGGGATTCCTTTAAGTTGGCATATCTATCAAATAGTTTTATTTTTGTCTGTCTTTTATTAATAACATTGTTAAAAAACTTAAGATATCACAAAACAGAGTTTCATTGTTGTAACGTTAACTGCAATTTCACAAGATTGCGTAATACACCTGTATCATTGAAACTTACTTACTTAAAGAAACAATATCGAGCATTTAATTTAATTTTAAAAAAATAAATGAAAAAACAAACACTGTTGAAGGATATATGACTAGATTATTAAAGACAGAGTTCACACACATCTAGCTCTTATTGGTGTTAAGAAATATGTACTTGTCAGAAGCGTGACGTCACTCTTAGAGAAGAAATTTGAAATAAAATCCCCAAGATTTTTCTAGTTTTTATTTTCATCCTTTGCTCATGCTTATTATCATGACCGTATCAGTTATTAACGTTCTATGAATTTATTTTGCAAATAACTATCATTCGTGAAAATTCACACCGTGTTAATGTAATTATCGTTAACAATTTGCGTGAAGCGAATATTTTATATTTATATCAACATTACACAGTTTTCTGGTTTTTCCGTGAAGATTTAGGTTTTTCCATTGCTCATGCCTACGTACACATCCGATGTCTCTCCGTGTATCTCCGAGTATTTCCGCTGTGGGGACTGTCTCAACTAATGTTTAGATTATAAAGGTTTCACAAACACATATGTATATAGTAACAGAACAAAGTATAAACAGGTTCAGAAAATAGAAATAAAGCAAACACGGTAACAAATTGTACATAATTACAGGTCATAGTAAAATGTATGCATAGTAATATCTACACACACACACACACACACACACACACACATATATATATATATAGTAACAGAACATTGACAAAATATACATAATAACAGAAATTAGTAACAAAGTATATATAGTAATAGCCACACACACACACACACACACACACACACACACACATATATATATAGTAACAGAACATTGACAAAGTATACATAATAACAGAAATTAGTAACAAAGTATATATTGTAATAGCTACACACACATATATATATAGTAACAGAAAATAGTAACAAAATATACACAGTGACAGAACATTGACATAATATACATTGTGACAGAACATTGGCAAAATATCGACCTACACATAGTAACAAAGTATACATAGTGAGAGACAACATCAAGAAAATACCAACATGGCAACATGATCATAATTCAAACTCAAATTCCATAAACCTATGGCAAAATATAAACTAAAGAAAAATTTTAACGGAGTATAATAACAAGACCAGGTGTTCCGGAATAGTAAGCGTCTTCTGCTTCATCGACGTCACCCGCCATGTGAACCCTGGTCAATTCAAGTAAGTAATTTGACGTTGTCAAATGAGAACAAGGTATACAACAACGGAACTTACCGGCAAACCAACGAGCACCAAACACGTTTAGTGTTCTGTCGCACAAAGAAATAGAATATTTCTCAATGAGATCACTATGACGATCATAAAACTTTAAAATATATATATACATACATAGTTAAAGTACAGTTACAAAATGTGCACTATGTAAGAGGGCAAAGGGACAAAGTATACACATAGTAACAATGTGTATATAGTAACAAGGTATACCTAGTAACAAAACATAGTAACAAAGTGTTCATATAGTATAATAAAACAGTAACAGAGTTTACATAATTACAGAACATATCAACACATAATAGATCATAGTAACAAAGTATACATAATTACAAAACATTGTAACAAAGTATACATGATTACAAAACATTGTAACAAAGTATACGTGATTACAAAACATTGTAACAAAGTATACATGATTACAAAACATTGTAACAAAGTATACATGATTACAAAACATTGTAACAAAGTATACATGATTACAAAACATTGTAACAAAGTATACATGATTACAAAACATTGTAACAAAGTATACATGATTACAAAACATTGTAACAAAGTATACATGATTACACAACATTGTAACAAAGTATACATGATTACAAAACATTGTAACAAAGTATACATGATTACACAACATTGTAACAAAGTATACATGATTACAAAACATTGTAACAAAGTATACATGATTACAAAACATTGTAACAAAGTATACATGATTACAAAACATTGTAACAAAGTATACATGATTACAAAACATTGTAACAAAGTATACATAGTAGAAGAGCATATAAAATACAGGATACACTGTAAAAATATTGTTACAGCAACTTGGATAATAAATGCCGAGAGAGGATACTTTAGTTCCTTTGGGATTATTAGATGAAACAAGCCGGTCAAGATAGTATTGCAAACAAGCACAGGAAATTAAAATAGGTAGTAGTATTATTACTGGTAAATCAATAGCGAAAAATGTCAAGAAGCCTTTTATGAAAATAAATAAATGTCTGCAAAAAAGGATTGTTTGCAAGTTAATGTTACTTTTCTTTGTGCATCTATTAATTTTCGCTAAGTATATTTGATTACTTCAAAATTATTTATATTTCTATAGCACAATCTTTAACATGTTTTCATTTTGAATGGGGAAAAAATGGTACTATAGTAGTCTATAATTTGGGTCTTCGAGAATTCATAATAAACGGCTTTTGAAACGACCCCTCTTATTTGTCGGAGATTGCCGAGTCATTTTTATCCAATCAAAACGCCATATTTTGATCGGGATGTGTGTTTCCCCGTAATCTATTTTTAGAAGTTGACGTCCTCCTGGAATTTTTCAGGCTGTACAACATACTTCTCAACTTGGTTCTGGAGTGATTTTAGCTAATCTTTGGGAAGCCCTCACCACTTTACAACCTAGTTCCACGGGACAAGAATATAGGATACTTCTACAGCATGGATTTCGGTAAGTTTGTTCAGAATAATTTGTTGTGAAATTGCAAAATCACGCGCGGCAAGCGGTGCAAAGCGTTATTTTGGTTGGATATAGCGGCGATGTTTTCAGTCGCCATGTTGTGAAAACTAACTACCATGACTTGTGACATCGAGAGAAACGCATATTGATAGAAATAATTTCGCTCTTATTTAATAACTAATTCATCGTTTCTGCGAGTTTTGTGATTTGTAATCATTTGTAGATGGGAATTTCTTGCTCGTGTCCTCGGCAAGTGGACGTCATATCATGGTGGAAAAACCAAGGGGAAGTCAAGTGAAATGACGTAGAATGCGGGGCGGGTTTACCGGGGCAATACTCCTTGCTGCAAAATGTTGACAACTATTTGTGATTAGATATGAAACTGATACAGGAAGAACTGTACACGATCTATGAGTTCATATTTACTACTTGTAACCACATGCATGAACACGCTATACTGCCTTTTCATTTGATATGAATAATACAATGTGTTTACCATTATTGAGTAATCTTGGTAAATCCGGAAGACGTGACAATACAGAGTTACTATATAGATCACGCTTATTTACATATAAACTGCTGCTAAATTTATTCAACGTTAAAGACAAAGATCTACCAGTAGGGTGTAAATCATCACAAGAAAACAGGTGAGACTTGTCACCCAAAGATGTCATTGTCAAATTTCATAAGGAACCTATCAAACTTAGTAAACAGGTATCTGATTTAATTTACAAATTAATGACACATTGAAGATAAAAACACTATAGACTCAAGGCTGTTTATACATGACAACCAGTTGATAAGGGATGATGGGATCACTAAAATATTAAAACAATATTAGGTCAAGAATAAGTTTGGGTTCCTTCACCAGGTGCAAGACATTTTGACGGACATCGAACTCAAGTTTTGTGTGGTCCATAAATGAGATGTTTGACATTTTGATGGACATCTAACTCACGTTTTGTCTGGTCCATAAATGAGATGTTTGACATTTTGATGGACATCTAACTCAAGTTTCCTCTTGCCCCTGCACCAGACATTATATATTTTGATGGACATCTAACTCAAGTTTTGTGTGGTCCATAAACCAGATGTTGGACATTTTGATGGACATCTGACTCAAGTTTTGTGTGGTCCATAAACCAGATGTTGGATATTTTGATGGACATCTGACTCAAGTTTTGTCTGGTCCATAAACCAGATGTTGGACATTTTGATGGACATCTGACTCAAGTTTTGTCTGGTCTATAAACCAGATGTTGGACATTTTGATGGACATCTGACTCAAGTTTTGTGTGGTCCATAAACCAGATGTTGGACATTTTGATGGACATCTGACTCAAGTTTTGTCTGTCCCTAGCACCAGACATTAGGCATTTGATATACTGGTACATTGCGGGACTCGCTCAAATTTAGAAGATTCACTATATCTCTAGTAATGGAACTTGTGAAAATTTTAGAAATGATGTTCTGGTCTTGTTGAAAAAATCCTATAGTTATTACTGAACTCTGACAACATTTTGGTCATGACATCCCAATGTGTTAATCTGATGGGCTCTGACTATCTATCCATAATTTGTGTATAGATAGTCAAAACCCTTTGGACTACCCATGTGTAAAGTTTTCTCATGGTTCAGACAGGAGATTTTGTTTGTGGCATGAGTGCAGAATTTTAAAAATAAAAAAAAATAATAAGTAAGAGACATTATGAAATATGATTTTTTTTTTCCGAAAAGAAAGAAAAAAAATATGGTTTCCATTGATATATCAAATATTAACAAAGTTAGTTGGAAAAATACATCAATTTTTATTCATTTTACTATTTTATTTTTATCTGGCACGTTGGTGTGGATTGTACATAGTATTAAGTACTGTCTCTGTCATTCAGCTGACACGTTGGTGTGGATTGTACATAGTATTAAGTACTGTCTCTGTCATTCAGCTGACACGTTGGTGTGGATTGTACATAGTATTAAGTACTGTCTCTGTCATTCAGCTGACACGTTGGTGTGGATTGTACATAGTATTAAGTACTGTCTCTGTCATTCAGCTGACACGTTGGTGTGGATTGTACATAGTATTAAGTACTGTCTCTGTCATTCAGCTGACACGTTAGTGTGGATTGTACCACAGGCACTCGAGGCCAGGATATTATTTTTTAAACATTGATTTTTGTTTTAGCACTCATGACTGACGTTATTTAAACGAAATATCAGCAGAATTCAAGTTTATGTGCCGGTTGACAAATCCGAGGTCCACGGTCATTAAAAATACACAAGGCAAGCAACTCCAGATTTTAAAAAATCGACCCCTCGCTTGGAAACTGGCTCAAAAAAAGTAGTTATGATAAGTTCCTTGTAAAACAATATGTATCCGTAGGTAGTGTGTATATTTACCTTTTATTTGGTGCATAACATTACAGGCAACGAGAAATTCACAATACGTACATGAGATTAACATCTCAATAACCGGAGATTTTATCGTCCATGTAATTATCTTTGACGGAAGTAACATGCCATTTCAAGGGCGGTCACTCCGACTTTTTGGGAGAGGAGTTCCGGATAGCACTATACCAGTGAACAGGTAAGAAAGGTTCCGATGTCATTACGCGCGTAACTTCAAAATAGATATTTTTATTTCTACAAATACATTTGCGGGGATGGAAAAATAATGGCTGGGCAAAGAAAGTCCACATTTGCCAACTCGGATACAAATATCATGGTAAGGGATTATACAGAATGCATCAACTTTCAATCAAGCTGGCGGTAATGAGAATTTTTTTTTCAAAAAAAAAAAAAAAAAAATAAGAAAAAAATCATGCAGATAATGAAAAAAGGGCGCAATTTATGAAAAATATCGTGGGGGGAATATATTAACTTAGATATTGGAAATTAAATGATTTTTTCCATAGTGATTTTTGTCAAGTTATTGAGAATATTTGAAAAGAGGCGCAATTTAGAAAAATATCGTGGGGGAAATATATTAACTTAGAAATTGGAAATTAAATGATTTTTTCCATAGTGATTTTTGTCAAGTTATTGAGAATATTTGAAAAGAGGCGCAATTTATGAAAAATATCGTTCCTTAGATAAAGCCCTACACCGTTTGCAGCAAAAAAAATACATTGACCTTTATTCAAGGTCACTTTGGTCCAATGTGTTGATTTTTTAAACGACTTATTCCGATTAACCAAAAGTCCAGGGATCATGATGTTTGTTAAAATGTTTCTTGGGTGAAGGGCAACAAAGTTTGAGAAAAGATATTACTTTGACATTATATTCAAGGTCATGGATAAACCCTTAAATAACATCTTCTGATAACCAAAAAGGCCTTGGGTCATGATATTTGGTCAGGAAGTCCATTGTATGGATGTTTGCCAAAACATACAGTACCTGTAGCAATACAAGCCCTTTGGGCCTCCTGGTTAATAAGTAATATGTATTTCTTTTCAAATATTCTCAATAACTTGACAATAATCACTATGGAAAAAATCATTTAATTTCCAATTTCAAAGTTAATATATTTCCCCCACGATATTTTTCATAAATTGCGCCCTTTTTTCATTATCTGCATGATTTTTTTCTTATTTTTTTTTGTTTTTTTGAAAAAAAAATTCTCATTACCGCCAGCTTGATTGAAAGTTGATGCATTCTGTATAATCCCTTACCATGATATTTGTATCCGAGTTGGCAAATGTGGACTTTCTTTGCCCAGCCATTATTTTTCCATCCCCGCAAATGTATTTGTAGAAATAAAAATATCTATTTTGAAGTTATGCGCGTAATGACATCGGAATCTTTCTTACCTGTTCACTGGTATAGTGCTATCCGGAACTCCTCTCCCAAAAAGTCGGAGTGACCGCCCTTGAAATGGCATGTTACTTCCGTCAAAGATAATTACATGGACGATAAAATCTCCGGTTATTGAGATGTTAATCTCATGTACGTATTGTGAATTTCTCGTTGCCTGTAATGTTATGCACCAAATAAAAGGTAAATATACACACTACCTACGGATACATATTGTTTTACAAGGAACTTATCATAACTACTTTTTTTGAGCCAGTTTCCAAGCGAGGGGTCGATTTTTTAAAATCTGGAGTTGCTTGCCTTGTGTATTTTTAATGACCGTGGACCTCGGATTTGTCAACCGGCACATAAACTTGAATTCTGCTGATATTTCGTTTAAATAACGTCAGTCATGAGTGCTAAAACAAAAATCAATGTTTAAAAAATAATATCCTGGCCTCGAGTGCCTGTGGATTGTACATAGTATTAAGTACTGTCTCTGTCATTCAGCTGACACGTTGGTGTGGATTGCACATAGTATTAAGTACTGTCTCTGTCATTCAGCTGACACGTTGGTGTGGATTGTACATAGTATTAAGTACTGTCTCTGTCATTCAGCTGACACGTTAGTGTGGATTGTACATAGTATTAAGTACTGTCTCTATCATTCAGCTGACACGTTAGTGTGGATTGTACATAGTATTAAGTACTGTCTCTATCATTCAGCTGACACGTTGGTGTGGATTGTACATAGTGTTAAATACGATTTCTGTCACTCACCTGATTGGTCAGTCATCTCTGTCACTGAGCTGACTTGTTGTGTTGATTGTACATAGTGTTAAATATGGTATCTGATATTCCACTGACGATTATCACACCCAAGGTCCAGGTTCGATTCCTGGTCGGAGCCCTCTACAGGAATGTGTATTTTCCCTTTTCTTTCACATTCGCTCTCAACAAAATCCCACATGTTGTGGTATTTGGAGTCTAGGTTTTTTTAATGTTTGATGATGTTAAGTCGTTACAAATGTCATCAAAGCTTGGTTAATGTGTAGCATTATTTTTTCTTTCAGGACCTAATTTTACGGACGAAATTCAGATCACGAGTAGTGAATTACAGCAACTTATCAACGAAGGCAAACTCAATATGGATAACATTACTGACACGTCCATACTGAATCAGCTGACAGACCAGTCAGTTAACAGTAAGTAAATCAGATGTTGTTACACATGATTGATTCTTATACCAAGTCAGTTAACAGAGCAGCTAATCAAGTAAGTTTGTAGACAACGCTACACATGATCAAATCTGGTACTGAATTAACTGACAGAATAGCCCATCAACAGCAGTTAGTAAGTATGGGTTATGTTACACTTTATTTACCACTGTTTGGAATCAGTATACAAACCAACCAATCAGTAAGTGAATGGTATGTGTAACACATCATTAACTTCTGCATTAAAACAGGCTACAGAACAATCAATTAAGAGTTAGAATTAGATGTTACCAGTCCTGCACTTTACACTGCATTTGCTTATGTCTGTCCAATGGATAATTTTATTTATCTAATTTTTTTTTATTTCAAAAATTTGATTTAAACATTTAATGAATTTTTACTGTACATATTTTAAGGAATGTTATTATTTCTTATCTACCAGTTCAACCTCCCTTGTCAGCGATGCCCACCAATGAGAGTTACGGAGGTCATAATCAGGCCAAAGCAGGCAGCTCGCGAACATCCAATCGGTTAGGCAGTCGTGCAGGCACAAAGCAGACTACACCCGATGGTGTGTATGTGGAAATTACTGAACAGCCAAAACAAAGAGGACTGCGATTCCGTTATGAATGCGAGGGAAGATCTGCTGGAAGTATTCCAGGAGACAAAAGCAGTGCCGAGAGGAAGACCTTTCCAACAATCAAAGTAAGATCAATTTTTTCACTGACTTTTAGAGATTTGTTAATACAATTTATTAAGTAAATAAATTTTGTGCTGTTGACTCATTTTGTAAGGGGTTCATCTAGTGCTGACCAAACCTCAATAAAAGTTTTTCATTTTTGAGTTTTGAGTGCTGATATTTTGACAAATGTCATTACAATAAATGTCTTGTAATAACACAGATTATGAACTACACTGGGACAGCTGTCGTAGTGGTATCCTGTGTAACCAAGGATTCACCATATGAGCCTCATCCTCACAATCTCGTGGGACGTGATTGTAAACGGGGAGTGTGTACACTTAAGGTTAAAGACACAAGCACTATCAGGTAATTAGGATACGTTAGATGTTTTTCCTAAATACTTTGAACAGTAAGTTAGCTACAGCAATCTCTCTCTAAAAGCAGGAGGTTTGCAATGTAATCATACCTTATATTATAAAATAAAAAAGATATAAATATCTTCACTTCTTCTTTTGAAGAAATTTATCTTTGCGATATTACAAATAATAAAATAATGTATATTAAAAATATGTATACTTGATATCATCAATTTTTTGTTCTAGTTTTCCTCACCTTGGAATTCAGTGTGCGAAAAAGAAGGATGTTGAAAATAACTTGAAGCAGAGGAAAGAAATTAATGTTGATCCATATCAGAGTAAGTATCTACATATCATTTATCTGTGTCTGAGTAACTTGATTTTCTATCCTATTTCAATAATTTGTGGAAAAGAAAATTCATATTGTCTCTATTCAATTTTTATTTTGATTTTTAAATGTTCCTAGTTTAAATTCAATTTCTTTCTCTCTTAGATATCATGAAAATTTGGTATCAATGTTTTTGTTAGTATTTGTACAATGAATTGGAAACAAAGCAAGAATAGATATGTAGCTATGAAAATTATCTGTGAAATTGATATATTTTGGAGCTTTAATGAAAGGCACTGATTATATAACGGTCATTGTATTGTATATATCAGCCTTTCCTGTTTCATTTTTTTTTCTGATTGTTGTTTTTCCTTGCAGGTGGCTTTAAACACATGAACAAGGCTGGAAACATTGATCTGAATGTAGTGAGACTCTGTTTCCAAGTATTTCTGCCAGACGAATCGGGGAAGATATCCAGAATTGTACCTCCAGTAGTCTCCCTTCCCATCCATGACAAAAGTAGGTCATCAATCTGATAGGTTGAATGGGATGTTTCAGGCTATACATTATATTTACCAACAAATAGGCCCACGTCTGGTGATAAGCCCACCCCTAACATTTTCAGCAGTGCAGATATGTCGGATACTATTTCATTTCCCTGTAATAAATCCACTCAAACATGTTTTGTTAATCCCTTCAGCTTATACGGGATAAATGTGATACTCTTACAGTAGATATTTTATTATTGGCTTATTAAGAGTTACCCTAAATATTTTAAACTACAATCAATGACTATAAGGTTTTTTTTCAGTTGTTTGAGCTATTTGGCTTGATTATCTTAAGTTCCCAAGATCAAATTGATTAAAGATATTACAACGATTTCCGAAATTGGAACTCTTGTGAGAAGGAGATGCACAAAACAATAATGTAGCATACATCCTAAACTGTTGTTCTTTTGTCATTGTAGAGGCCTTAAATGAACTTGTGATATGTCGTGTAGACAAATCCTCAGGAAAGGCCAAGGGAGGAGACGAGGTGTTTTTGTTGTGTGAGAAAATTAACAGAGGTAAGCAACCTGCTGGTAGTGCTGTTATAGATCACAAGGTCAGTTCTCCATCTTGAAACAACAATTAGGATCCTCACCTGAAATCTTGTACGAAGGTCATGTGATTAATAAGATTAATAAGAAATGATGAGAGGATAATACTTTTTCTGTTTAAGTTGTTAGTTTCAAATTTATATATCTTACTCGTGTATTATAGAGATTTATTTCACAAAGGTTCAAGTTTGGAGATCAAATACTACACCATAAACGATGCTGGAAAAAATAGCTGCCACATATTTATTAATTTTGTGAATGCTGCTAAAACGTGTTTCATTACGTGATTCTGTAAGCTTTATGCAGTGAAATTTTGGCTACAATTGAACTTTCAACCATTTTGTCCTCTCTTCAATGAGACAAAAATGAAATGTTGACAGAAAATTTAATTTATTGCTGCAATGTATGATAATATGCTTTTTGACGAATTTGACACGGGGTGAATACTAATATTTTAATCAGAGGGGGTAAAATAATCAAAGGTGATTGTTTCTGTGTATACAGTATATATTTGTAATGTAATGGAAAGCTCTTTTATTCTCCAGAGGATATTGGAATTCGATTTTACAAGGAAAATGATGCCAATGAGTCTCTGGTCGAGTGGGAGGACTATGGAGACTTCAGTCAAAATGACATTCATAGACAGGTAAATGCAGTTGTTTTGATAGTACTTTAAAAAAAGTTAAGGATATTTGTATTCAGAAGTCTGTGTATCTTGTAAAAATTTAAATGTAGATTTGAATACTTAATCTCTTGATGTTCATTTAAATCCTGTTAGAGAAGTTAGAGAAATAATACCTTGGAAGTAAAATTGTAACATATCCATTATGTATATCTCTGTAAAAAACTTTAAATACTGAAACATTGAATTAAATCAGTTTGCTGTTGACTTACTCATATTCATTATTGACTGTTTAGAGCTTGAAGCACCTGATTTCCTAAATTTCCTAGATAATACTCCATTAGTTTAACAGAAGCATTTCAAATCTTGTACATGGACCATATTTTTTCTGATGATGATTTTACAGGTGACTTCAATTTTCTGTTGGTTTTGTAACTGCTTTTTACTGAATGGATTTCAGAACATTCTTAATATCTAAGTAATAGTTGGGCTAAATATTCTGTAATTGTTCTTTATTGCAGTACGCCATCGTGTTTAAAACACCACCATACAAGGACATCTTCATCACAAGACCAGTCGAGGTGAAAATGCAGTTAAAACGCTTGAATGACACAGAAACTAGTGATCCTATTCCTTTCACATACATGCCGGAAGATCCTGGTAAGTTTGTTGAAGGTTTGGATCCAGTGCTTAGGTTAGATTCACATTGTTAGTATCACAAGGGAATTATGGGTCCTAAGCAAGATTTGGAGTGATAACATGTATAAAAAAACACAAGAAAATTCCTTCTTATTTGTCATGGGGAAGTATATTTCAAAAACAAATGTCATAAATCGACTGGGACCTTCTGAGATATTGGTGTTAGGCAAGTATTGACAGTTCATGTTTGGAAGGTAGATAACTGTGTAACGATAGACAATTTACAGGTAATGTGTGTTTAATCCAGGCTAATAAGAGATGTTTATTTGGGCTAATGTTTTAAAGAACATACTGAGACATCTCCATAATAAATACTGAGACATCTCCATAATAAATACTGAGACATCTCCATAATAAATACTGAGACATCTCCATAATAAATACTGAGAAATCTCCATAATAAATACTGAGACATCTCCATAATAAATACTGAGACATCTCCATAATAAATACTGAGACATCTCCATAATAAATACTGAGACCAGCTCATCTCCATAATAAATACTGAGACCATCTCCATAATAAATACTGAGACCAGCTCATCTCCATAATAAATACTGAGACATCTCCATAATAAATACTGAGACATCTCCATAATAAATACTGAGACCAGCTCATCTCCATAATAAATACTGAGACATCTCCATAATAAATACTGAGACATCTCCATAATAAATACTGAGACCAGCTCATCTCCATAATAAATACTGAGACCATCTCCATAATAAATACTGAGACCAGCTCATCTCCATAATAAATACAGATTTCTGATTATAATGTTTGATAATGTTTTAGATCCAGATCGGTTGATTGAGAAACGGAAGCGTAAAGCAGAAACACTCAACAGCTATGGTCTGTTTGGGGATAGTAAGTGTTATAACTTTGGAGTTTAGAAATCCAGACCACGTTCTGAAAGTTGTGAAACTTCAAATTATCAGGATTATTAGGGTCTGATGATACTTCTGAAATAATTTCTGTACACTTTATTTGAATATATTTTTACAATGCAATATTCGTCCAGTTGGAAGGAATTATCTTTGACAGGAAGTCTGAAATAAGATAGTTAATTATGAATGATGAAAGTGTCTTAAGTAAGATAATGAATTTTAATATAAAAGTGTCTAGAAAATGACCTATAGATATAAGATGTTTCAAAAAATGAAATTGATGTATTTACTATTGAAATATTTCTAATTCATTAAAAATGTTCCTTCTTAAGGTTTTCAATCCTTATCACAAGACGACATCAAACAGAGGCTGAAGGTGAAGGCCACTAAATCGAGAATCAAACAAGAAAAACCAGAAAGTAATAGTGAGTTGACTATTTGTTTAAGCTGTATGTAAGATATGTGACATTTCAAAGCAGACAAACTCATCTTAGATTTCCTGCGAAATGTCTCAATCATGTCCATCCTTTATGAAACGCTGTTGTTACCGTCTTTGCTTGGCAATAAGTCAACATATATCAAGTGGTCCTCAGTAGAGTTTCAAATAAACACCACTTTATTTTCCACCAATTTTTGGTCAGAGGTGTTGTGTTGGCCTTATTATCTTATTGCAGGACAAATACTGTATTATATTTTCTGAAAGGATTGAAAATAATAGAAGAACACTGGTTATAAATCAAGAATTTTTGATGTTGTGGTTTGTATATAAAACCTCTAAATCTTTGGTTGTATTTTCCAGATTTTGACTTGCCCAACTATACCTTTGACAATCTTGGATCTTCAGCAATGCAGACTGAGGCACCCACCACAGTTCCCTCCTCTATGAGTGTACGAACAGCTGACAACTCCGGCATGGGTAGCGTCACAGTTACACCGACAGAATCAGTAAGACAGCAGCTGGCAAGTCTCCCAGAAAACCAGCAATTTGAAATCCTTCGTCAGCTAGCAATGAATAAGCTGCAGCATGAAGCAATACAGAAACAACAGCAACAATCTGGTAATGTTCAGGTGCAGTCTTCTACAACATCCTTCGCTGACCTCTTCCAGACACAGAATCAGCAACCTGTTGTACAGCAAACCAACTCTAGCAGTAATGTGTTGCTTGCTGATGTTTCTATGCAACAAGGCTTGATGTCTGGGGCAACAGCCTCTGACCAGGCAGGTGGGGCGACATTGGATGTGAACATGTTGCAGACCTATTTAGGTGACCAGGGAACAAACGTGTCGTTTGAGAGTATTGAGGGACTTTCTGGCAATCTGCTCAACATTAGTTATGATCCCAACGTAGCTGCCATGGAGAACGTGATGAGCATCAATGAGACCAATCAGGCAATACAGGGACTGAGTCAATCAGGGTGATAAATGTCACAACAAAGAGAGATTTTAATACAGGTGTTGTTGCTTTATGTTATATAAAGCAGTGTTAAAAGTATTGTCCAATGGAAACATCCGAATGCTTGTAATCAAAATAGCCAGGAATAGAAGCAATGCACTGTATGACTGAAATCTCTGGCTGTGGTACGCACATTCCACACATGCGGGTAGGTCCCTGTGACCTGGTTGTGTTGTTGAGTCACAGATAAACCAAAACCTAATGCCTGCTTACAGTGATGTTTGTGGATGCTCAAACACGACCCCGAGATGTGTCTAAGTAGTGTTCATGATTAGCTGTTTCACTGTTGTCATGGCAACATAAAAATTTGCTACTACTCCGATATTTAAATCGATAAACACCTTGAAACCAAAAATTATGTAATTCTGTGATTAATTTCTTTGCATCATTTCCATGATTTTACTGCTGAATAGAAGGTTGATAATGAAATTGAATTGTGTTGATATACTGAGATTGTGAAGTTGTAAATGAGTCTTCCAAGCTCAGAGTTCTGCTAACATTTCACAAAGAGACCAGTGATGTCTGATGAAAAACATGCTTGTAGTTGCTCCCCTAACTACTGTATATAGCCCCGAGGTCCTGATAATTGTCATTGCCTCTTGTATAATGTGTACATCTCAAAACTCTGATGATCATCACGCCATTATTGTAGAGAATCTATTCTGTCTTCAAATAGTGCTATATGTCATATGACTACAAATTTAGTTCTAAATAGCTATAACAGTTTCTGGCTTTAGCGGTAATTGTAGAGTTATGTCTGGGCGTAAGAAGCTGTGTAACAGCAAATGAAACCATAAATTATGGTTTATGTTTCTTGTTATCAAGTGGGTCTTGGGGAAATTTCTATATAAATTTATAACAGTGGAGAAAGCCTTCACACAGGTTAACATGTGGTGAATTCATGAACTGAATTAGGACAAACAAAATACCATGTTATTTTATGGCCATGATATTGCCTCAGGAATGACAGACATTTAATATATTGATATTATTCGTCTCAATTAGATAATAAATGTCAGTATATCAATTGTCTTTCAGCTGGGACATAGAAGACATGATTTTCGTAAAACTTTTACATTCAACTTTATTGTGATTATTTTAAACAATTTTCTAATACATGTACAGCCAGATATTTTCATGGGGGTGAAATTTTTTAGCTATTACCCAGGGCATTTACAGGATCACAAAATTTAATTTGTGAAAAAATAAGACACATGTGAATTTTGTTTGCAATTTTAAGTGGTTTAGAATTAGCTGATGCAGCCATCTCCTATTCTCACATGGTTTTCAACAGTTACAGTTGATTGAAGTGCTGGAGAGGTTCGTGGTAAAGATCACTTGTTAAATGATACAGATTTCTTGCATTTATATCATAAATCAAAAATATATATCCACATATATTTAAATTGCAAAATTTAATTATCTTGTTTTAACTTGAAATCACAAAAATTTTGCCCCCTGAAAAAAACCAGCTGTATGGTAATGTTATGTGAATTAAGAATTTAAAGAGCTGATCAAGCTTTTGATCCAGTTGTTGTAGACGCCCTTTGTTGTTAAGTGCTGACCTTGTAGATCATGAAACGTTCCTGTTGGATCTAACAAGGTTCCTGATTGTTATTTGTCAAACTTATTTTATTGTACTGTTTTTATAAAGATAAACCTTTATATATCTGTACAGTTTCTCCTGTGTTTTTTTTTTTTTTAATTTGTCCTTATAAATATCAAGTTGTTATTGTCGAAGAAATTGAATGATTGAATTTGTATACGTTTTAGTCAATGAGGATAATATGTATGCGACATGATTAAATTTTAAGTAGGGTAAATAAATTTCATTCCTAAGACAAGTCATAGTATGAGATAAAATTATGGTTAAAATAGATCTAGTGTTGATGATTTAAGATGTCCATTCATCATCAAATTACTATAACAGAACATTAAGGGGAAAAAAGAGAACTGAAAGAAATTTAGAATTTGAAGTGTAAATGTTCTTTAGCAAACTTATTTTTATCTGTTGACTCCTTGAAATATTTGTTAAAAGTCAAGTTTTGATTTTAATCTTCAGATGTAATACTACAAATATTACACTTCTGCTCTTATTTACAGCATTTAATTAAAGTCTTGTGAATATTCAAAGATAAAACATCATATGGTAGCTATATATAAGATTTAGGGTTCTTTAGAATCTATTTTTAGGTGAAACTATCTGATTGTTGTACATTGTATATTTATGGTGAGAAATATATAAATCATAAAAGAAGTAAATAGACCATATGAGCATGTGTCCTCATTTCAAACAACCATATATGTCGGTATCTGATACTGAAATGTTGGTTTTTTGTGTGTATATATCTGATTTCCTAAGAAAAAACATTCAACTATGGTGTAAATTAAAGACATTTATAAGTAATTATCTGTTGCTGTTTTTTTATTAGATTTACTGGCACCACCATATGAGCTGAGTCTATACTATGGTGTGAGGTCTGTCAAATTCATCTTTAAACAAATTTTTTCTTAAAAAAACATTTGATTTAGTGAAATTTTCCTTAGCTTCCTTGATGCATTTTCAAGGTCATAGGTGTCAGAATCGTTAAACTGCTTTAACAACTTTTATAAAGAGAAATACCTAGAATAATGCAGAATCTAGTTAGCAGACAGCCACCACTACAACAATCCCAAAAAAGGAATGACCTTGAGCAGTGTCACATTGATCAAAGTACCTGGTATGTTAACATACAACAAACATGATGAAATAAGAACTACAATATGTGAGATATGATCAGTTGCTTGCTGGACTAGCATGACCTTCAGTCACCTGGATATTCAAGGCCACTATAGTCAAGCTCCTATGGAATCGATACAATATGCTACAAAGTTGCCTAAAAAGAAATGACCTTAATCAATATACAAGGTCAACATGGTCTAATTTGTTGCAACATCCAATTTTAAGTCCGTAATTATGTAAAATGTGTTAATGAAAACAATTGAATTCCAGGTGAAGATATGGGTCCATTTAACCTGGTTTATTCTATAAAATTGTTTTACCAATTACATTTACATGAAACGTTTTGTCAGTCTTTGTGTATTGTGGATATTTTCTTATTTTAAAAAAAATGAATCAAAAGAAATAAGATCATATAGAAAAAGTGTAAGAATACACAATGAGCATTTATTTGATGTTTGATATGATTTATCTAATGTACTACAGTGAAGTGTCAACATCCTGGTTCACATTTTCTGGCCTGACAGATAATACTTATCTGTGTAATCATGCCCCCTTAATAGGCACCTACAGTACAACACCCACATGTTACATACCACAGCTTTTTATAGAGATTGAAGCAGGAAGTTAGAAACATGGAAGTAGGTATATAAATAGAAATATATAGGGAATCCTGACCAGCCAATGGGGATGTTCAGACTGTCTATTTTTAGGTCTAAATCTCTACCTGTATTATACTGTAGGTGTGGGTTTTCTTGTATTTTTTGTTATCAAGTTTGTTCTTGTTCTTGTTCTTAAGATTCTATTTAAAAAATACTCAAGACTGCTTTATGAAAATTGAAATTTAGATAAAATGTAATTTCTATTAGATCTTATTAAGAGGTAAATCATTCTAGTTTCTTTAAAAACAAATCATTAAGTTTCCATGTGGAGAACAGTGCCCACTAGAATGGAATGATTGGAAGTTTACACTGCTGGAATTTCCCTCCAGTCTGGAGATTTCTGTTTGGGACTGACTGTCCTTTTGAATGCCTTAACTCCCATTTCCTACCTGTGAAAATTTCTGGATGGAGAGGAGGAGTGTGAATCTGTTCCGTCTATATACATGATAATTATCCCCCCTATTCTTTCAACATGTGATGTTAAAGTTTTGAATTGGGTACAGTTTTGACATTGCCTATAAATCCATCCCCCTTCCCTCCCCTTTATTTTCTCCTATTGGGAAATTTTCCTGAGAGGAGTGTGTGTATGTGTGTGTTGGTTATGTGGTTGTGAAGCAACATAATTTCACCTCCCCTTTGTAAAAGTTTCATGGGCAATCTACCATTTATCCAACCTGGCTATTTTTTTCTCTCAGGGTCAATTTATTGATAAAAAAAAAGTTGCCTTATGGTAAGCCCACCCATATCTTTTGTTGTCAAGTATTGGTACCAACAAATACTTTTTTCAATATTCTGTAATATGGCCACACTCTGACTTTAAGAAAATGGGTTAGTTCCTTGGATCCTGTTTTAAACCCACCCCCTGAATTAGAGCCAAAGGGGATGGGTTGGCTGGCCCCTGGTCTTATTTGAGAAAAATTACAGTGAAAATTCCTATCTTGGAAGTTTTAACAAAGGTAATGGGTTGGCCCTGGTCTTATTTGAGGAAAAATACAGAGCAAATTTCCATCTTGGAAATTTTAACACTATAACTAGATATCTTAAATGTCCCTTTACTTTTAAAACAATGTTTATCTAAAATTATGGACATCAGCAAACATTGTACATTTACACATAATAAAACTGGCGACAAGACAACTTACTGTTGCGTGAACCAAACTGAAATGTATAATTATCAATAAATACAAGCAATTGTGTCGGTATGATTCACCTTGAGAATATAGAGTTTTTGGGTCATCTGAAACAAAGTCTCAGGGTGACCTTCAGCAATCCCCTTTTGTCTGGCGTCATGCGTTGTGTGTCATATACTTAACATTTTCAACTTCTTCTGGAAAACTCCTGAACCAATTTCAATGAAATTTTACAAAAAATTTCCATGGCAAAAGTTGCACCAAAATTATAAAGGCCCCTAACCCCCACGGGCATGAGGGGTGAGGCCAAAAAGGGTCAAATTGGTCAAACTTCATAAATCTTCCTCTCAAATCCCAGGTACTTTAGAATCAACTACTATTCATGAATGAAAAGGCCTTCAGATGCTTTACCAAAATTGTTAATTTCATGACCCTAGGTCTCACATTTCCCCCTGGGGAGGGGGTCAAGTTTATTATAGTTTATATAGAAAAAATCACATTTTTGAACATTATTTTCTTTCGGAAACAATTTGAACCAGGTTAGAATTATTAGTTTAAGATAACAGTTTAATGAGATACATATATTGACCTCGGCTGACCCCAAGGGGCTGTTGGACGGAGCCAAAAATGGGTCAAATTGACTGAAATTAAAAATTTTTTTTTCTCAAATCCCAGATATTTTAGAATCAAGTACTCTTCATCTAATCAGTGACGTGTATGTTGTGATTCAGACCCTCTTTATATATACTTCTTAGCTTTTGTTTAACAGCCCTGCATACCTTATGGTATCCATACTAAGAATGAAGTATTCACTTAACACCCACCTGACTTACACCTGACACTGGCTGCTTACTATTAAAATTCCTACGACAGGTTACCAGAAGCATTGTGACTCAGGTGACTTTTGTTATACTGCTCTCACCTGGTCTGAATGATATCACCTACACACCAGGTGATAGGACGTTATAATGGTATAGGGGTCTGTCTGTCTGTTTGTGTATATCCATAAAGTTTCACATGTTAGATGATCATGTATAGTTTTAAACCAATCTCTATCGAACTTGGTGTGGGTTATTAGCATAACATGAAGTTATGATTTCTAGAGGGGCAGTTTGATTCAACAACTTTGTAGGAGTTACTGTCTCATGAGTTTCACAATCTGAATCTTGTGTAAAAGATTTAGATTCCAACCAACCTCCATTTGTTCTTGGATCTGATTGGTAGATTGACAGATTTTCCTGTTACCAGGTACAGTCTCACAGACGAACGTCAGTGTTCTGGGATTACAAGGTACAGTCTCACAGACGAACGTCAGTGTTCTGGGATTACCAGGTACAGTCTCACAGACGAACGTCAGTGTTCTGGGGATGTGTAGTCAGTTTTTCCATCTCTGTGACTCTTCCTTTTACCAGGTGTCATCTCACAGACGAACGTCAGTGTTCTGGGGATGTGTAGTCAGGTTTTCCATCTCTGTGACTCTTCCTGTTACCAGGTACAGTCTCACAGACGAACGTCAGTGTTCTGGGATTACCAGGTACAGTCTCACAGACGAACGTTAGTGTTCTGGGATTACCAGGTACAGTCTCACAGACGAACATCAGTGTTCTGGGATTACCAGGTACAGTCTCACAGACGAACGTCAGTGTTCTGGGATTACCAGGTACAGTCTCACAGACGAACGTCAGTATTCTGGGGATGTGTAGTCAGTTTTTCCATCTCTGCGGCTCTTCCTGTTACCAGGTACAGTCTCACAGATAAATGTCAGTGTTCTGGGATTACCAGGTACAGTATCACAGATAAACGTCAGTGTTATGGGGATGTGTAGTCAGTTTGTCCATCTCTGTGACTCTTCCTGTTACCAGGTACAGTCTCACAGATAAACGTCAGTGTTCTGGGATTACCAGGTACAGTCTCACAGACCAACGTCAGTGTTCTGGGATTACAAGGTACAGTCTCACAGATGAACGTCAGTATTCTGGGGATGTGTAGGCAGTTTTTCCATCTCTGCGGCTCTTCCTGTTACCAGGTACAGTCTCACAGATGAACGTCAGTGTTCTGGGGATGTGTAGTCAGTTTTTCCATCTCTGCGGCTCTTCCTGTTACCAGGTACAGTCTCATAGACGAACGTCAGTGTTCTGGGATTACCAGGTACAGTCTCACAGACGAACGTCAGTGTTCTGGGATTACCAGGTACAGTCTCACAGACGAACGTCAGTGTTCTGGGGATGTGTAGTCAGTTTGTCCATCTCTGCGGCTCTTCCTGTTACCAGGTACAGTATCATAGATAAACGTCAGTGTTCTGGGGATGTGTAGTCAGTTTGTCCATCTCTGTGACTCTTCCTTTTACCAGGTACAGTCTCACAGATAAACGTCAGTGTTCTGGGGATGTGTAGTCAGGTTTTTCATCTCTGTGACTCTTCCTGTTACCAGGTACAGTCTCACAGACGAACGTCAGTGTTCTGGGATTACCAGGTACAGTCTCACAGACGAACGTCAGTGTTATGGTGATGTGTAGTCAGTTTTTTTCATCTCTGTGACTCTTCCTGTTACCAGGTACAGTCTCACAGATGAACGTCAGTGTTCTGGGGATGTGTAGTCAGTTTTTTTCATCTCTGTGACTCTTCCTGTTACCAGGTACAGTATCACAGATGATTGTCAGTGTTATGGGGATGTGTAGTCCAGATGTCCATCTCTGCGGCCCTTCCCGTTACCAGGTACAGTCTCACAGATAAACGTCAGTATTATGGGGATGTGTAGTCTTGTTCATTTTCTCTTGGAGTTTACCTAATCTCCTAAAAACTTGGTTTGGATTTGGAATTTGAAGAAGAATTTTTTTCCAGCCCTGTAGTCTTTTTCATCTGATTTCTTTGAAGCTTTATTTTCAGTGGCATTCCGATTAGACAACTATTGTATAATTTCCGTATCTGGGTTTGTTTTTATACAACAATGTAAAATCTATTTGCACAATTGAATGTATATTGTAATTTTTCATTACACAACGAATAACCTAGGATGTTTCCAGGAAATGAACAGGAATGTAAAAGAGTTGTTTGTATTCCTTAACAATACTACATGTTTGTCAAGAAATGTGCTTGTATGAAATCCAAGATGGACAAAGGCAGCCATATTGAATTAAGAATACAACTCAAAAACAAACTTAAGCGAGGAATCATTAGTAATGCTGATTTTATTTCATTTGTTTTAAAACTGAAATTCTATCAGTGTTTTATTTCTTGGTATTGCTGTTTCCGAGGCAACATAATTTTGATTCACTGTGAATGTCACCTTTGCAGACAAGCATTTATCAGCAGTACATAGCATTGCTGCATCACTTTAAAATTCAGTCCTATAAAACACTCTGTATCACCTGTCCTCGATAGACTCGGGCCAGTCCAATAGCACAGACTGAAAAACAGAAAGCCATTAATGGTGGATGCTATTTGAAGATGAAGCAGAAATGAAAGGATTACATTTTGTACCAGCATCAAAAACAGAAAAAAGAATCCTTCTACTTACACCTGATATCCAATAATTTTCTTAAAATGTTTAAAAAACAAATTCCTTTACACACATTACTTGAACAACCTTTACTGTACAGATATTAAAGGCATATTCTACTCAAGTTACAAAATTTATGACAATTCTGTACCTTTAAGAACTTTTCTAATGACTTTTAAAACTATTGTTAGCATCAAAATATCTCTGCTGTGGTCAGTATGGATAGGCAAAATTGGTGGGAATATTTCCAGCCAAACTGCCTTAAAAAAGCACATCAGGAAATCTGGAAGTGAAAGCTGACCGGATTTCATGCAGAGTACCCGGTATTAAGTACGTACACAAGAGTGTATTTGTTCATTAAATTTTCTGCTGCTGTACTTATTTTTTGTTGATTTTATATTTTACTCAGATATCTCATTCTGTTTGACTTAAAGCAATGTAAAATAGTTGTGACACAATCAGAGCTACGCAAACATTTGTAAATGGATCTAGCTAGATCTATAAAGACTTTCCACAAACTGAACACCACATGTTTGTTTAGATGGTGAATGGAGGCATACAAATTCCTTAGGAACATAAGTACCGTAGATGATTTTGCACATTTTTCTTTAAAAGCCTCGCGAGAAATCATCACTTGTGCAGAATATCCCTGAGGGAAGGGGAAAGGAGGGAAAGGGAAAGGGGAAAGGAGGGGAGGGGAAGGCAGGGGGTGGAGAGAGTATTAAGCTTTAACTAGAAAAATATGCAGCAAGATGGCACAAATAGCTTTTCATAATGGAGTCCCAAAGTGTATCGAAACTATGACAGCTTTCATTAATTTAATCACGACAACTTTTTGTGATGATCCCTTTAGGCAGGACTATCAGGGAACTTACTAGTACATCAAGCTGTAGAATATCACATTCCGTCCCCGTCAATGTGCTCATGTTCGGAGTTGTACGGCCAAAATCACCATGAACAAACTCTTTTATATACCTGTCTATGTTAAGGGTTCAAACTTGCTCACTTTTTAAATTATTATCTCACATGGCTTTACAACGATAAGATCATATTTATACCTGGCATTTTCAAGAAAATTTAAACGTTTGAAATTTTAACAGCCTATATGAAGACAAGAAAAGACAAACATGTAATGTAGAATAGCAATGCTGGTACTGAATACTACAACACATCAAGGATACGTCCCAGCTTGTGTTTCAAGGTTTAGTTTAAAATGGTGGTCATCAACCCTCTCAGCAGACATCGTGTACACAGTTCTCTCCCTTGTAGCCAACGGACGTCTGAAAATCAACACATTTTATATAACATTGAATCAGTGCTTTCACAATGGTACTGTAAAGTTACAATGGGACCACGAGTGTAAGTTCTGTCCCAAAATAGAAGAATATTTCTGATTTTATATCATGAGGTGATACTTAAAATGAGGGGTGTCATGCTGAAGTCTTATTAGGTGACTTGAGACAAAGTCTCCTTTTGTCCGGCATTATGTATTGTGTGTCCTGCCCTGTAAACTTTTAACACTTCCAACTTCTTCTGGAAAACTCCTTAACTGATTTCAATGAGATTTCATAACAACTTTGCATGGCTACAGGTGCACGAAAATTGTAAATGGTATGATCCCTAACCCCAAGGAGCCTGAGGGGTGGGGCCAATAAGGTCAAATTGATTGAAACTATCAAAATCTTCTTCTCAAATGTAAATTTCATGACTGCAGGGTCTAACCTTTACCCCAAGGGAGGGGGTAAAGTTTACTATAGTTTATAAAGGAAAATCACATTTTTGAATATTATTTATTTTCTGTTGGAATTAGTTCAAACCTGGTTAGAATTATTAGTTTAAGATGACTGTTTGATGAGATGAACATATAGACCTCAGTTGACCCCAAGGTACTGTTGGGTGGGGCTAAAAATCAGTTAAATCAACTGAAATTTCAAAGATGTTCTACTGTTCCTTGATGGAAGATTTTATTTAGAAAAATTCAAATCTTGAGCGTAATTTCTTTTAATTCAAACTTGGGACAGCAGTTAATGTACCACAATTTACATTTGCATTATGTGTACAATATAGTTAAACTTATATTATGTTTTTAACAAAATCATTTCTATGACAAGTTACAAGAAGCATTGTGACTAAGCTGACCATTAAGGCCCTTGGGTCTCTTGTTTTTGTCATGCTACGCAGGTCAAAATTCAGAGCTTTGATAGCAAACTCACCTGTGTAGGACTCTGATGGGTGTTTTCTGTTGTAACACAACATTCTGTCGAGTAAAAACAAACAAAATTATTACCAACATAACCTTGTCATGTAGAGACACTAAAAATTCTCAGTGTTTCATTAAATATACTGACTGATATATTGCCATCTGAAAATTTTCACTCTCTCATATTCCAGATGCAGAAGAAAAACACAATGGAAAACTCTGAATATCCTTGAAGCTGATTTATGCAGAGTATAGCATGGGTTTCCAGCCCAAATCAGGCTAGACAGAAAAAACTGTAGCATAGAGTGGTGCAAGGGATTTCCCTGTCTAGTGCCCCAAGAACTGTCCTTACTTTCATAGCGCCTAATTCCTCCAATTTCTCCTGTGCCAGCACTTCTGCACTCCAGCAGAAGGCTGAGTATGTCTTTGTCTTCTCCATCTCTCCTTCTTTCAGGTTGTTTGTTGCCTCTCTGTGACACAAATCACATGAAATACACAATATAAGAAATGTATATCCCTGTGGATCTTGTATCCTACTTCTAGGTTTTATTAACTTAACTTATAATCAATTTATTTTACAGCAATTGTGAAACGGGCTGATATTGGGTCTGCAGCATAATACTGATATACCAAATGTTCAAATATATTTACTTCTGCAATAGGTTCTGGGTCATGGTATTTGTGTAGGAATCGGATTCTAAGTTTACATATACTGACTTGATTAACCAACAAAGCCTTCTTTCCATGCTGTAGAACAGGTGAGCATTTCAGGCCCATTTGGCCTCAATGCCATACAAGTCTTTATAGTCAGATGATGATTAATACCCATGGGCCTCTTATATTGTTCATGATTGTTCTCCTGGATGGAAGTGCATGAGGGGTCTTACTATGGGAGAAAACCACCTGTAGAAAACCCACATAGTCAAGCAGGTAACCCCATATCTTTTTACGTTTACTTTGGGAATCAAACTCCAGGTGTCTAGGTAAAAGGCTATTGTATTACCAATACACCACCCAAACATTTGTTATATGGTTTCAGGGCCATCAAATAAGATGGTGAGGATAGACAATTCACAAAAAGACATATATATCATGGCATTTAATTTTCAAAAATGCCTCAAGTGAATAATTGGGGAAGTAAATTTAATTCTATTACTTTGGGCAGCTGGTCTCTACAAACACACAGGAGATAGTACTCCTTTTAACATCTAATTAAAAAACAATGCAAAATCAAATACCAAATAAATATGTTCATACTGAATCAAAACAGAAAATGTAGATTACATGTATGTATATATTTACATTTCCAGTGTGTATTCTCTATTGGGCCCTGATATTATGCTTTTGGTAGGCATGGTATCTGACAACCTTTCCTGCTGAATTGGAATCAGATGTTTTTCTCTTCCATTAAATATCAGGCTATTCTGTCAGAGCAATGAATGACAAGTGTTACATTTTTATAAGCGTAAATGGAAAAATGTCAAACTGTGAATATAAGAAATAGTTTTTCTCTTTTGTTGTTTACTGGTCTGAAAACTGTATTTTTTAAACAAATATTTCAACTTGAGGCTCTAAAATATCTGTAAAAAAATGCAATTTACACACCAGTACATAACAAATAATAAAAATTAATAAGTATATGTGTATATCAATGCTCCTATTTATTGCTGAACACAGAGTTGTTCCCCATGAACTAACCTCTACCAGAGCAGTGAGTTAATGAACTTACTTGGGAACTATTTGTAAATCTCTCACTTGTACCTCTGAGGAAGCAGCATTTATTTCCTATAAACAAAGACAACAAAACTTTTAATTCATGCAATCTCTTCTTGAATTATGATTCTTTTTTCACACAAATGCATTTTTTACCTGAGCAAAACTTGCTTCAACCCCATAAATATATTACTTTTATCAATATTCTTCAAATTAAAAACCTAACTGTTATGTCTTTTTTCTCAAAATTGGTTTATATCAAAATATTTCATTACGGTAATTATTCAGTAAGAAATTATGTTGTTTTAAGTATCAATACAATAGAATCATCCTGGGACTTTTACAAAGATTATTATGTGAAATTCTCCCACAGATAAAATTGGAAGGGGCTGAAACATCTGAAGAACAGTAGATTGAGATAGTTATTTACCTTCTGTATGTTGTAAATAGCTGCCTTAGAGAAAGTAACTTTATGAGGGTCCAATAACTCCACAACAAACGGTCGACCTGTCAGGTAAATTTATCAATTTAATATTTAGTATTGCTTTCCTTCTGGTTTCAAAAATAAAGGGAGATAACTGTATTTTCCCCATCATATTTTACTAGTGAAAACAGTGAAAATGGTCATTAAACTCCTAGGACTAAAGGGGTGGGGCCTAATAGGGAAAATTAAGGAAAATCAGTTTTGTATAATTGGTGGGTCTCAGCCCCATAGGGCTGAAGGGCAGGACCCAATAGGGAAAATCTATCAATTTCTTTAAAATCTATCTTGTTCTTAGGGAATTGCAGGATATTGTCCAAAATTGGTCTGAAGCATGCTTGGGTGAAGGGAAATCAGTTTGTATAAATAGTGGGTCTCGGCCACCTGGGGTTAGATAGGTGGGCTTAACAGAGGAAATCTAACCCCCAAGATGATTAGTTCATTTTTATATCATTGCTTTGCATCACCAACAATCCATTTGGATCTTTGGATTTGAAACAGAAACCGAGTAGCTATAGCATTGCTGAGCTTATAATAAGTTTTTGAGTCTGGTTCCACCCCAGGACACATTATACCTTTAACGCCATTGAGATTAATCATTTCGTAACTTAATAGCATTGCTGGACATCAAGAGATAAACAACTGATCTCTGTCCCAACCCCTAGGGAATTTGAAGCTGTATCAGTGAGATAAATCTCATCAGGGGAAATGCTTTCCATGCAAAGAAATGTTAAGTTTTCATTATTAACTTAAATATCCACATGTGAGATACAGGCTTTCTGGGCCTCTTGTAATAAAGCTGTTGTGTGGTTATTCATCATTAAGTAACATTGAAATTGAGTCCACAAGTACCTGTGGTACTGGTATACTGGTACGCTTCTGCTTTTTTTTTTTTACATTTTTTTTGTCCACATATAAGCCACACAAGGGGCCTTCAAGGAATAAAGATGGTATGTAAAACCATAATTATTTTCTGTTATTATGAAAGTCAATGATTCTTCTATTTATAGTACTACAACTGTCTCCAACAGCACTTACCTGTTCCAAGCATGAGTACATCAACATCCTCACGACCCGATGCCGAGAATTTGGAATCTGTAAATGCAAAGCACTAGAACCTAACTTCATAGGACATGAAATGCACAGGAGAATATGTGTTGGTTGGGCCTAGCTATTAACAGTTCAAGGATACACATACAGCGAATCTCAGTACAGACCATTCCATTTTTCAGTTTTCAGAGAAAAACAGACCTGGCTTGGTAGTGATCTCAAACCAAACACCTCAGTTCGTAACCTGTGGTTGCAAAGCCAGATGCTCTACCATCTGAGCTATCATATCCCCTTTACACACCCCACCCTCTATATAAAGTAACATTTTTTTTTTTTTTTTCATTATTCAAATTTTCTCAATCATCATATTTCCAACAAAATAATGTAATATTTCATAACCTTATTTCTGATTAATGTTTATTTTTACAATGAGCATAAGTCGATAACATATGAAACAATATTTTTACACTTAATGCAATGTAAAAAAATTACCTGAATATTTGAAATATTTCTTGAGGTGATCACAGATCCTCTCCTCCACTGACGATTCACTCTTACGTACACCATCCACAAACCATGGCGTCTGACTGAGTGAGCGATTATACTTGTTATACCTACCTGTAAACATCAGTCAACTGACAAAATTACAAAGCTGCTGTATTTATCCAGCATGAAGTCAATCCCTGGTAATAAGCCCACTCAATGTTATCCTACTAGGCTTATTGTCCTGTCGTAAGTTCATCCCCGACTTTGAGTAAGAATTAATTAGTTAGCTTACATAAGCCTATCCCCTGAATTTGAGTAACAAGGTCATTGTTAGCTTACTAGGCTTATTGTCCTGTCATATGATCATCCGCTTACTTTGAGTGACAAGGTCATTGTTAGCTTACTAGGCTTATTGTCCTGTCATATGATCATCCGCTTACTTTGAGTGACAAGGTCATTTTTAGCTTACTAGGCTTATTGTCCTGTCATATGATCATCCGCTTACTTTGAGTGACAAGGTCATTGTTAGCTTACTAGGCTTATTGTCCTTTCGTATAATCATCCCCAACTTTGAGTCAAATGTAATATGTTGACTCTTGGCTTATTACATGATCAAATACAGTAAATAAGAGTACTGAGAGAACTTGCATCATTACATGTAACATCTGTATTACAACAATAGCTGACCTATATAAGAATTAAAAAAATCATGTTTTTGTGTGGCTCAATTTGTGCATTTGTTCATGGATTGCTATTTTGCCACACCTTGATTTTGTTGATAAATAATATTTAGAATATGAAACGATAATTCAACAAATGCTAATTTTCTCTGGATTAAAAGTAACAACAAAATCAACAAAAATTAAAACCTCCACAAGGCTTTAATGACTTTATAGAAATCACGATGAAAGGTGATATATTCAGTCATTATCTTGACACAAACATTACTTACCAGCAATATACAAAGGTTCCCTTGTACAGTGAATAGCCTCACACTCACACAGTACTTTAGGTATGGTAGGTGGAACCTGAAATGCTCTGTAATACAAATTATTATACATTTTAGTATACATGATTAGCTTTTCTCATCAACCTCAACGACAAAACATACTTAAATAAGTACATAGAGGCTTATATGGAAAATCTTTGAAGAATGATCTGTTCATTTCTGCAACAAATGTAGCAACAACAAATTTTAATTTTTAAAATCCAAGACGGCCATAGGATGCCATTTTCTTTCCCTGATCATTCTCAAAATTCAACATGCACAACTAGGTTCTACGAGGTAGAACCTACATAAATTACTAATAAATAGGGGTGATTCTGATCACCTAAACTAACAAGATTCAAGATGGCCACCTTTCCGCCAGTTTGTTTTTCCCCAGCAGTCTTGAAACTGAACATGAACAAGGGACAAAAAGAAATGCTCGAAAGATCAGGGATACTGAAAGATAACAATAATAATTTTTTACAGTCAAATCAAAAGACGGCTAGTTGTTGGCCATTTATTTTTTTAATCAATAAACAATTACCAGATGTTCTAAAATTCTTACGTTCTGAGTTCTTTATCCGACATGTCTTTCAGTGCCTTGGCCACATTAACTCTGTTGAACAGCTCTCCTTGTCCCTGTAACAAACAGAAAAATTATCTTTACACAGATTACTATTGTATCTTCTTATCAAGAACTGTTACATTGTATGTCCTCTACTGTCAATGTTCACACAACCAGCTGAAGACGATTCATATCATCATCAGACACTAAACAGACTTTGTATTACAGCCATAAGCCTGTTGGATGTTGCCATGGTCATCTTCTTTTAAAGACTTACATATTTATTGAGGAAATCATCTGTGGACTAACACAGAACCAAAATTAATTCTCCTTATTGCCCCGCAATCAACTATTTTTACAGATCCACAATTACCTCTTTCCTACAGACAATTGGCACCCTATCCCACCAGACAATAGATTTCCTACTACTGTTGATTTCTATATAAACTTTCATCAAGCCACTTTGAATAACTTCGAAATTATTTTTCATATAAATACTAACATCATTTCATATTTAACTCCTCATTAAATGTATCCTCAAACGTCTGAAATCAAAAATAAGATGTGACCTTGACTTTTGAATGTTAAAGAAAAGTCCAGAAAGGTTTTACAATTGTGTGGCTAACAGGTAACCTTGACCTTATCTATGAATAAAAGATTTGTACAATACAAAGTATTGCTAGGAAACATGGAACCATGGTTTAGAGTTAACCTTTGACCTCAAGTGACCTTTACATTGAGGGTACACTCTGATATTACATGTTTGTATATTTGACAAAAATTGTAATGAGGAATTTCAGTGATTTTCAACATCAACTCAAAAATTCAACACAGGCCTATGTTACCTGGTACATACTAAACAAATCGACAATTAACATGTTATATACATCTATGTTAATCTACATCACAATAAATAAATCAATTAAGTTTTCTTTTAATAATTTGAACTTTTTAATCACATTTGCAAGTTTAAAATTTGCTGTTCAATGGTTAAGGGATACAAAAAAAAACCGCATTGATTTTAAAATCACTTACCCTCTTAAATTTTCTTCTTTTAAACACTTCTGGTTGGTAATCAAGACTGAGAATATAAGCCAATTCATGAAATCAACAACTTTCACAAATAGATATAATGAGACAAAAATAACACAATGAGGTGTATCTAGGGACAAAATACAATGAATTTTTTATTTGCTTTTCGTTTTGGTTTTTGGTGATGTGCTTCCTAAAAATCTGAAGATGCAATATTTTGGAAGCTTTTTCTTGAAATTTCAACTATCCTTACCATCATTAATGAATTTGTATTTGTATTGTGTGTCTACTGATCAGTAATACTTTGTATGTTTGTTTGCTATCCAGGTTAGAAGGTAGGAATCAAACCATATATCTCAGATCTTCACCTAAGGTGATCCACTTCTGATTAAGCTATCAAAAATCCTGAACCTGTAACAAAATATGGGTGGGCTTATTACCAGCCATGGGCTTATTAGGGGATAAAAATGGTAACTTTTTTCCTACAAATGACAAATGGAGAGTGGGACAACCAGTTTAGTGGTTGCTAAAGAATGACTCCACTGGATCAGTTGTGACTGGTAAGACAACATGTGATATTTCAAAAATACAAATATGTGTATTGAATTGAAATGAGATATACAAAAACTTACAAAATCTCACATTCCTTGAAAGTCCTCGGATAGTTGAACATGATAGCAATATCAAAATTACTCTGCAAGAAATAGAAAAAATTTCTTTACAATAGTATACTAGAATTTAAGTTTTTTTCAGTTGTTAATAAAAATGAAAAGACATTTCTTTGAATTTACTACTATCACTATATGACACTTGATACCACACACTTAGACAAGTATGCTTTGTGGAGTCGAAATCATAATCTTTTTACTATAACTACAAGTAATATTTGAATTTTCTCAGTTTCAAAATGATCCTTTATAGATGAAATGTTAATAAACGATATTTCTATACAAATTTTAAAAATAGAAATTGAAAATTTTACATATCGTAGAATAATACTGGTCTTTAATGTCTTTACCTTTTGATCAAATGGTACCCCTAAAGAATCTCCCAACAATGGCCCCGCTGTCCACTTCCAGACATCCTTGACTCGTGCGATGTCTGACTCAGTCACACTCTCATACACTGACCTATACAGAACATAAAAGATCATATCAAATTTAAAAATGCAACTAGGTTTGTTGATATTTTAAGTGGAATTTCTAAACAATACATGTAGGTCATGATATGTGCACCATAAACAAGAGCCTCAGAAATAGTGTCTATTGCAGTGTAGGATTCAATTTATCAAATTAAAATTTAATTACAAAGAAAAAAAGCAGCAGAATTCTACACCAATCAGTTGTCAATGAATTATTTTAAAAATGGAGAAAAGGTAAGATGTGCATAAAAGAGGAACTTACTTGAATTTGTCTCGTAGGTAAACTAAAACAGCTCTCTGTAAAAGAAAAAAGTCCTCATAGATTGAGTATGATAATCGAAGACAGCAAGGAAATCTTATCTTATTTGGTAATTTATATTATCTGACCTCTTCAAGATAAACTGGCTCTCATTACATGCTCCTAATTAATTCTTTGATATTGTCATACTGTATTATAGAAAAAAATACAAAATGAAAAAAAACCCTGGTTAATTTCATTATCTATACATGTAAACCTGAAAATATGTTACAGCACTATCTACTATACTATACTTACAAGTGGTACTACTGTCAGAATGATTATTTAATGAATGAAATATTTCACTGTCATCAGGAACACAGTTAAGGACATTAGTAAAAAGAGTCTTCTTTTCATTGTACTCTTACTTCTTGTATAAGAACGTACACAGGTAGAGTAGAATAGACTCTGGCCTACTTACCTCTTGTATAAGGACACCCAGAAGTACAGTAGACTCTGGCCTACTTACCTCTTGTATAAGGACACCCAGAATCTACTTACCTCTTGTATAAGGACACCCAGAAGTACAGTAGACTCTGGCCTACTTACCTCTTGTATAAGGACACCCAGAAGTACAGTAGACTCTGGCCTACTTACCTCTTGTATAAGGACACCCAGAAGTACAGTAGACTCTGGCCTACTTACCTCTTGTATAAGGACACCCAGAAGTACAGTAGACTCTGGCCTACTTACCTCTTGTATAAGGACACCCAGAAGTACAGTAGACTCTGCCTACTTACCTCTTGTATAAGGACACCCAGTAGAGTACCTCTTGTATAAGGTAGAAGTACTCTGGCCTACTTACCTCTTGTATAAGGACACCCAGAAGTACAGTAGAGCCTACTTACCTCTTGTATAAGACACCCAGAAGTACACCTACACCTCTTGAGAAGTACAGTAGACTCTGACTTACCTCTTGTATCTACTTACCTTGTATCTTGTATAAGGACACCCAGAAGTACAGTAGACTCTGGCCTACTTACCTCTTGTATAAGGACACCCAGAAGTACAGTAGACTCTGGCCTACTTACCTCTTGTATAAGGACACCCAGAAGTACAGTAGACTCTGGACTACTTACCTCTTGTATAAGGACACCCAGAAGTACAGTAGACTCTGGCCTACTTACCTCTTGTATAAGGACACCCAGAAGTACAGTAGACTCTGATCTACTTACCTCTTGTATAAGGACACCCAGAAGTACAGTAGACTCTGATCTACTTACCTCTTGTATAAGGACACCCAGAAGTACAGTAGACTCTGATCTACTTACCTCTTGTATAAGGACACCCAGAAGTACAGTAGACTCTGGCCTACTTACCTCTTGTATAAGGACACCCAGAAGTACAGTAGACTCTGGCCTACTTACCTCTTGTATAAGGACACCCAGAAGTACAGTAGACTCTGATCTACTTACCTCTTGTATAAGGACACCCAGAAGTACAGTAGACTCTGGCCTACTTACCTCTTGTATAAGGACACCCTTACCTCTTGTATAAGACACCCAAGTACTTACCTCTTGTATAAGGACACCCAGAAGTCTAGGATCTACTTACCTCTTGTATAAGGACACCCAGAAGTACAGTAGACTCTGGCCTACTTACCTCTTGTATAAGGACACCCAGAAGTACAGTAGACCTCTTACCTCTTGTATAAGGACACCCAGAAGTACAGTAGACTCTGATCTACTTACCTCTTGTATAAGGACACCCAGAAGTACAGTAGACTCTGGCCTACTTACCTCTTGTATAAGGACACCCAGAAGTACAGTAGACTCTGGCCTACTTACCTCTTGTATAAGGACACCCAGAAGTACAGTAGACTCTGGCCTACTTACCTCTTGTATAAGGACACCCACCTTACCTCTTGTATAAGGACACCCAGAAGTACAGTAGACTACAGTAGACTCTGATCTACTTACCTCTTGTATAAGGACACCCAGAAGTACAGTAGACTCTGATCTACTTACCTCTTGTATAAGGACACCCAGAAGTACAGTAGACTCTGGCCTACTTACCTCTTGTATAAGGACACCCAGAAGTACAGTAGACTCTGGCCTACTTACCTCTTGTATAAGGACACCCAGAAGTACAGTAGACTCTGGCCTACTTACCTCTTGTATAAGGACACCCAGAAGTACAGTAGACTCTGGCCTACTTACCTCTTGTATAAGGACACCCAGAAGTACAGTAGACTCTGGCCTACTTACCTCTTGTATAAGGACACCCAGAAGTACAGTAGACTCTGGCCTACTTACCTCTTGTATAAGGACACCCAGAAGTACAGTAGACTCTGGCCTACTTACCTCTTGTATAAGGACACCCAGAAGTACAGTAGACTCTGGCCTACTTACCTCTTGTATAAGGACACCCAGAAGTACAGTAGACAGTAGACATCTGATCTACTGTAGACTCTGGCCTACTTACCTCTAAGGACACCCAGAAGTACAGTAGACTCTTACCTCTTGTATAAGGACACCCAGAAGTACAGTAGACTCTGGCCTACTTACCTCTTGTATAAGGACACCCAGAAGTACAGTAGACTCTGGCCTACTTACCTCTTGTATAAGGACACCCAGAAGTACAGTAGACTCTGATCTACTTACCTCTTGTATAAGGACACCCAGAAGTACAGTAGACTCTGGCCTACTTACCTCTTGTATAAGGACACCCAGAAGTACAGTAGACTCTTACCTCTACTTACCTCTTGTATAAGGACACCCAGAAGTACAGTAGACTCTGATCTACTTACCTCTTGTATAAGGACACCCAGAAGTACAGTAGACTCTGGCCTACTTACCTCTTGTATAAGGACACCCAGAAGTACAGTAGACTCTGATCTACTTACCTCTTGTATAAGGACACCCAGAAGTACAGTAGACTCTGTTCTACTTACCTCTTGTATAAGGACACCCAGAAGTACAGTAGACTCTGATCTACTTACCTCTTGTATAAGGACACCCAGAAGTACAGTAGACTCTGATCTACTACCTCTTGTATAAGGACACCTCTAAGGACACCCAGAAGTACAGTAGACTCTACTACTTACCTCTTGTATAAGGACACCCAGAAGTACAGTAGACTCTGATCTACTTACCTCTTGTATAAGGACACCCAGAAGTACAGTAGACTCTGATCTACTTACCTCTTGTATAAGGACACCCAGAAGTACAGTAGACTCTGATCTACTTACCTCTTGTATAAGGACACCCAGAAGTACAGTAGACTCTGATCTACTTACCTCTTGTATAAGGACACCCAGAAGTACAGTAGACTCTGGCCTACTTACCTCTTGTATAAGGACACCCAGAAGTACAGTAGACTCTGATCTACTTACCTCTTGTATAAGGACACCCAGAAGTACAGTAGACTCTGATCTACTTACCTCTTGTATAAGGACACCCAGAAGTACAGTAGACTCTGATCTACTTACCTCTTGTATAAGGACACCCAGAAGTACAGTAGACTCTGATCTACTTACCTCTTGTATAAGGACACCCAGAAGTACAGTAGAGTCTGGTCTACTTACCTCTCGTATAAGGACACACACCGGCACAGTCAGGGAACAAAGGAAACTTTTATACTCATAATCAGCTTCTGTCACAAAATCTCTTATCTAAAGAAAGATACAAAAAAAATCAACACAATGTACTGTGTGGTAGAATTGTCTAGCTTATAGAATGTTGAGCATATGTTCATGAAAATTGAAATGTTTACCTATAGCGTATCATAAATTCATTATTATCCTGGTGAGTCCAGAGCACCATTTCAAAAATTGCAATGAGTTAAAGCAGATTTTAAAAATCTGAGTGAGACCCATGACAAAAGCATTAGTCCTGGACTCAAATATTTGATTTAATAACATCAAAAGGTATCAAGTTCATGACAATCTACACCACTGTTTATGTTATGTAGTAAGTACACCAGTTAAAATCACAATGGTGATTGCCATTACACAAATTGTATTTTACTTGGAAAAGCTGGAAAAAGTTCTGGCTTCTAATTACCTCCCATTTTTTGCTCTTTCATTTTGATTCATTCATAATTCACAGATAAAAGTGTTGGATCAGTTTTTGTTCCTTTGATTTTATTTATTTTTATTAATTTGATGCCAGTACATAAAACTTCTGAACAATTTAGTACGATTCACTACCAGATGTCATAAATACAAATATGGAACACTTCTGACAATGCTGATTATGGATGCTAATTTTACATATCCATGCATAATCTGTCATATCATATGTTTCTTTAGATTTTGCTGAGGAATCATTTTTTTCTTCTTCCTTTTTTCTTTGCAAGTTTCTTTCCATCATTATAATTATGCCCTTTGTTCTTGCTCTCAAATATCAAGTAACCATACCTTTGTTAAAAATGGTTTGTCCAGATATTGTTGTAATATTCCAAGACAGGCTGGACAAGTTTGACCATCACTTAGACTGAAATCTATATCTGTTTTATCACTGGCTTCTGTTTCTGTTTGAGTTGAAGATTTCTTCTTCATGTCACTTAGGACCTCGGTTATTGACTGCAAAAAAACAAATGTTTAAATGGCATTAAATAAAGTAATACCTATATTCATTTCCATGTAACATTTAAAAAAACACAAGTTATATTTCAGAATTAAATATCTTCTGTAATGATAAATGTATATATGTGTGTGTGTGTAACAGAAGTCTTAATAGTCTGGCTAATTAGTTTGATGCTCAATAGATCAATTTAAAGAGAAGTTCTCTCTAGTCAAGCTGTATATTGTGACTAGTGTTTTACCAGGGTTACATGCTGTATATAATGTATTTCTCCAGCATGCCCGAGTAAAAAATCTATATTTGTATTAATAAGAATTACAAACAAATGGTATTTCATTAATTAGACAATCTCCTGAATTTGAATTTAAAGTGACACCTCACCATTGCTTACAAAAAGTGTCCAAAGTGAAATGAAAACAAAATTTTATACCCCAGGATAACATTTAAAGCTTGAAGCATTCTTCTCTCCCAGAAATCTAAATATGCATCTTGGACAGCAGCCACATTTCTCTAGACAAGAGATAATATCAGCTGTGGTATTGTCGTCGTTAGCAAATGATTCAATCTGAAACATAAACATATTCAGTACATTATGTACAAATTACGATGCCATTTATGCTGATGTCAGTTAAAGTAAAATTTGACTGAATCATGTCTATTAATAAGTGAAGAAAAAGTAGTGTTGATATAGTGAAATTTGGATATTTACCTTTGATTTTCCAACCTCTATCCAAATGTTTGCAAGTTTAATATTACTATTACAATTTTCAGCATATATCAATCAAAAATCTATGTAAACAAATTACAATCAACAAGGTCTGAATTTAATGCAAATTCATGAAAATTATATAGCAATCAATAACTATATGATTCTTAGATAATACTTTAGTACCTAATCTGGTTCCCAAGTTTTTATCAACACTATGGTAAACAAAATTCCACGCAAGTGGATGTGTCGCCTGACCAGCAAGGTACCTGAAGATGAGTTTTATGGAACAATGGCTATAGATATTCATTGTATTCATTCCATTTATATAATTTGTCCATTTGTTTGAGATGTGATGAATAAATTTGCAGATCAAATGCATAGTGTTGAAGGGAACTGAATCCCAAGGATAGATCTGTAAATCACAATTATGCACAGAATTAGAATTTTTTTCAAAACATACTGATTTGCTCCAAATATGGCAGAAACAGGAACAACCTACCTGAAAAACAATCTCAAACAGGTCGCAATGGTTAAGAAGCATTGAATGAAGTTTGAGTTTAATTGTCCAAAGAAAACTCAAGTAATAACACAAAATTAATTTTCTTTTTACAGTCACACTGACCTTGACCTTTGACCTTCAAACCTGAAAAGCAATCCCAAGCAGGCTGCTTTGGTAAGGAAGCATTGCATGCAGTTTGAGTATAATTGTCCACAGAAACTCAAGTTACCGCATAAGAACCAATCTTTTGGTAAGGAAGCACTGTATGAAGTTTGAGCTTAATCGGCCAGAGTGAACTCAAGTTATTGCAAAAAACTTTTGTGATGACAAAGCCGTTGACATAGTAATACCTATATTTCACCTTTGGCTTAATGGTGACATTTTTCCTTTGGCAAATAATTGCTAAACCAGCTTAATCAACTTCATATGGATCATCCTTGTTGGACAGGATGAGAAGGGTTTTAAGGACACTAGGGACTCAGTAAAAATTCTGATGATCCGGCAAGTGACCACATACATTTTCCAGGGACCAGGGAGTGGGACCCTTGTCATTTGGGTGAAAAGTTGGTGTGATAATTTACCACTATGCCTGTTTGGTCAGTGAAAAACATACTCCTGGTGACCTAACAGAAATAAAACCATGTGTAGAAGTTTGTTTTTGGTTCTGTCAAAAAGTTTTACAGGAAAATGAATTTGTGTTGGCAGTTACATTTGGTATCTGATGTTACAATCAACCAACCAAATAAGTTGCATTCACTGCTACTGTTGTTTATCAGGACAAAGTCTTGTAATATTACAATTGATATACTATAACTATGTTCCAATTTGACTGAACCGGAAAACATGTTCATGCCATGTGCTTTCACATGATTAAACTTTAGGTTAAGTGACTGGTTGGTCTCTGGTATGATCATCCATGACTACTAAATTGATCCGAAGACGCATGCTTTGTAAGATGAAAGACAAAGATCGTTGTTTACAATTACAAGCCACAAAGGCCCAATTCTTTTACACTACCAAGTGATTTTCAGGTGTTTCAGTTTGCATGTCATACGTTTTGTTTCTTAGCCTAAAGCACATAACCAGATTTGATCATATACATAAGTCAAATGAATAAATAAAGCCTTCTAAAGTATTTGTGTTGGTAGAAAAGCCTTACAATGCAAATAGTTTCAAAATGAAAGTAGACCCAGCGTTCTCGTGGTCGTACCTATCGATGCAAAATACCTGCACAAAGTCTTACAAAACTGAACAGTAACTACAAGAACTCTCATTTAAAATTAACTCTATATGACAAGTCATTATTAAAACCAAACTAAACTGATTAAACATTTTACAGGCTTTGAAGAAAAACAGTGTATATTTGGTCGCACCTGTTCCATGGTGGCATCCATCTTGAAATACAGCGCCACCTATAACAGGAAGTACAGAGTTATCTTCCGTATTTTGTTATTTTCAGACGTTCGACTGGAATTATAATGTAGCACAACTTGAAAGTCAGATGTTTCTGTAGGGTGGAAATGTAAGTAAACATGGAAATGCATCGTCCTAGATACTGCGTGTAGTAACATATCGTAAAAAGGCACAATTTGAAAATATATTGGTAGTCAACCTCACATAGCACCTGTGCAATAGCTATGGCCAAGCCCAACTTCACCTGTTTGTAGGGCAGTAGCCTATCACGAAATCAGTGTTAATACTAACTATCTTATTGGTGCGAAAACACCCAGTCGAATGCAATCAAGTTTCACAAGACAGCTGGCGAAGGAGTAGTGATTGCCTTGATCGCATACATGATCTAAACATACTGATGAATTACATAATCTATAACTGTACAGTAAACAACACTACACCAGGTGAAAGATAAACAACAATGGAGCTCTCAGACAGGAAAAAAAGAAAAAAAGTTCAGATATTCAAACCCGAGATCACTGGGAAAGCCACCACAACAAGTCTAAAATGCATGTCTTATGTACAAATGCATAGATATAAGTTGAAAAGTCTGGAGATTGTTACCAAAATATTCAAATATGTGACCCACAAAATAAATTTAGGAATTGAATATCAGGAGGGTAAAACTGGCAAACTTTTGTTTGAATTGAGTAACTTCGCAAACATCAAATGACACTTGTCATCATGATAATTCATTGTGTCTTTATTCTGTAACCAAGGAGAGCTTTAAGAAAATAACAGCCTTAAGTTCTGTAAGGAAACTATTAAAGATATGTAGGATATTCCTTCAGAGTATGATGGATTGTGGTACCACAGTATATCTGAGGTAACCAGTAAATCTTTGATGAAATGTGATCTACACAAATAATTATGTTACATACATCTGCTATAAATAGCTTTTTCAATAGCAATAAAAAAAATCAAGAACTCTTTGTTTCTCAGAAGCAAAAAAAAGAAATTGTTCGAATTTTGTACCAAATTCTTCTTTTTAGTCGTCTAAAATCTGACGCTGTTATAATTCATTATATTTTTGTGATTCTTTTAAATTGCCAATTTGCATTTTTTGGGGATGATAACTACGCACCACTTAACTGTGCACATGAACTTTAAAATTTTGTTTTTGCAAACTATAGCAAATATATGGTTTTATTTCAGAATGTTTCTATTCTAAACAATAATTATTCCTATCTGATAGTAAGCATTCAAGATTGCTACAAGTTAGATAAATTATGTTTTCCTTTTTCAGTTGAAGACAATAAATAATATCTGAGTTAAAACAATGAAGCGGGATGGTGACTGAATAAAGGAAATATGAGCGAGGCAAGTCATTTATGAACCATGTATTTATTCAGATGTCCTTGCAGTGAGTCATACATGTCACTCTAAGTAGAGCACCATGTATGCGGAGTGGGCCTCACTTCAGGATGATATTCAGTGTGACAAGGCCAATCAGAGTGTTCTACACAAGTTTCCTCCCCTTGTTGGCAGAGATGTGGCTTTTACTGTCGTCAAGCACATCGCATCTAGTATCAATCTTGCAGCAAACAACTCGGAGCCATCCAACCTCAACACTGACAAAGATGTTAAATGGGCCATGGAGGTAAATATTCCCCATCTCCATACAGATATTACATGTGTGAGTAACATGTGTTGTGGTTGCTTTATAGGGTTTAACGTCCACACAACAGCAAGGTCATATGTATATGTTATATGTTCAATAGCAATATTATTCCAGTGATTATTGAGTCTCTGATATCTGAGTCTGGTGTGACTCTACCTAAATTTGAAAACCCACTATATCTTAAGAGTCAAAAAATGGTATTCTGGACTTGCCAAGAAAAAAAATCTTATTGTATGTCAAACTGTTAAATCAAATGACTTCATAACAAGTATAAGTTGTCGTTTATATCTAGTGTATGTTGAATTCACCTTTCTATTTTGATAGAGGGAACTGATATGGGTCGTAAAATGGTTACGTATTGAAATGACATGGTTTGCTATTTCTTGGTACAATGTGACCATGTTGGGTGATATGCTACTCTATCAGAGTTATGATAGTTTGTTGAGATGTCCCCAAAGTGATGTCATATATCTCACACCTGTTCAGAGGATGCTAAGAAAATGTTGATATGTGCCCACGAAAAATTTCCAACTTTAAATTCCCACAGTGAAAATTCTGAAACCTATCTGATTATATCTACATTTTGCATTATGGTGTTAATCTTGATTGTATTCACAGATCTGTTTGCAGATTCTAGGTCATAATATCATATGACTATTAAACTGTCCTCAGATTGTATTTATTGTTGATATGAGTGCACAGGAAAGTAATCATTACCATCATAAGTCTTAACTGATGTCATTCTACAACTAATTACTGTTATGATTTCCTGTCTCATTGAAGGTTCTATGTTTTGGTCTGAGTCTACCGTTGTCTGAACATGAGACAATCAAGGAGTGCGTTCTTGTTTACTTTGAGTGGTTGTCAGCATGCACATCCCCTAAAATATGTGTTCCGCGACCAGTAAAGGAAAATCCAAATCCATATGCACAGGATATGATACATCATCTGCTCAACCTTTTTGTGCCACGTCCTGGCTCTGGTAAGTCATGTTTATACCACCTCATGGCTCAGCAAAGTCATACTTGTGTCACATCCTGGTTCAGCTGAGTCGGGGTCATATTTGTGTCACGTCTCGGCTTATTTTAGTCATGCTTGTGCTTTGTCCTCTCAGCAGATTCATGATTTGCAAAATGCTGGCTATGGTATGTTGTGTGTGTATCATGTCCTGGCTCCAGTTTATTATCTTTCAGTAAATTAATGTAAAGAAAAGAATGTTTTTATTTAATTTATTGAGCTTATATTTGATATGGAATTGAAAAGAAAAAAATCATGTGAAAATATATGAGAATGTGTTTGGAGGCTGGGAATTTTATTCTGATACTTTCAGTTAACAGAACAAAGTGATGAAATAAAAGAGAATATTTACATCAGCAGTTATGATATTAATGTTCCAAGATAAAATTATGCCTTTTGGACACAGAATTGATATACATGTAAAGATTGTCAGTAAAACTCAGTAACAGTGTTAGAATTACATACAAAATGATGAGGAGACATATATCTAAAGCCTTCACAGATTTTAGAGACTCAGATATTGTTGTCTTGATTCTGTTTTCGAATGCTAATGTTTCTGGTAAATTCTCATTTCAACCGACATGACCATGTGTGACCTACTTACAGGTGTTGACTTGGTGAAGCGACAGGCACTGCTCTGTCACCGAGTTCTCAGATGTATCGAAGATGTTGCTGAAAAGTCCAATGTGTTGACAAGAGACACCTGGGAAACATTACTAAGGTTTCTCCTGGCAGCCAACGACAGTTTACTGTCTCCACCAACGGAGAAAGGTGGGGTAATTACCAAGGACTAATACAACAAATACAGTTATCTTGGTTTTGCATAAACTATTTGTACATGAAATGGCATGGCGTTTCTTGAAAACTAACATCAGATTCAATATCTTGTAGTTGATTTAGAATTAAAACGACAAGAAAAACTGGTTTATCAATAAGAAAAAGTACTGTTTTTTTTTTAGTTAACCTCATATGCAAGATCATGTTTGTAGATTAAAATGTGGGGGGGCGGGGGGAACAGTGTTTAACAAGTAACAAGTAGTTTTTAAACTATATGCTTTCTTAAAGTTACACCTGTTGGTGTGGTGTCATATGTGTCACCATTCAAATTTTACTAGGATGAGTAAGATATTCAACAAAGCATTGCTCAGTATAAGTGAAGTTTTAAGATTAAATAGTGTAATATCGTGTGACTAAATGTATGACTTCACATATGTATTATGTACTATTACTCAGTCAGTGTGGAAAAGATAAGATCAGGAGCTACCAATATGACAAGTACACCCACTTAATATACGATACATGCCAAAAAACAAGCGTGACATTCTGTTATGGTTTCTGGTTCATCAGAGACACAAAACTTTTATTTCACGAGAGAAAGATATTTTCTTGTCTCACTTTATCATTTTGTATGATTACAAATTGTTACATTTTCATAACATTGGTTATGCATCTAGATTGACTTTCTGAGTCTATGTTCATTAACTTTCTGTTATGAATTTGATTTATTTAGCAGTATAGTTCATTCCCTGATACAATCAACATAAACTTCAACCTACAGTAATACTCTGTCAGGAATTTTCTGCTTAGTGAACTGTATAATTCACTAAATTTTTCTGTTATCAATTGAATTAAATAAGCTGATGATATCATGCTTTAAACATTGTTCATGTCACAAAAAACGTGAAGTTCGAGGATATTGTCCATTTTGTTTATTTACTATTCAAAAATTTTAAACGAAAACAGTATTAAGCAAGAACAAAAATTGAGGATTGATGTATTATATGTTTAACAGAAATTCACAAGCTTTGTGTTGGTTGTAGATATGGGATGAATTTCTAACAAATCAGACCAGTTGCAATGTTATGTTATTCTGCATGTGTTGCCATTTTTGTTCATGCAGACGATACAGGACTGACCTCATGTAAGTTGTACACTGTTGTATCATCAACTAATGCCTCTAGTTCTTACTCCACCGTACGGAGTGGTCTACTGGAATAGTTTCTCTCCTCTGTCATTAATACTTAAGCCCATTCCAGGCTCTTCTCCCAGTGTTGCAATGATATACTTAACTAGCAACAAGGTCAATAGCTCTGTTTACCCTGCCAGTGTTACAGCAGTGTATAGTTCTGTACACAGAAAGTTTTGGGTGCTGAAATTACCATTACTGAGAGAGATATAGTGTTTGTTGCTGTGGTTTGACAAACTTGAGATAATCGTCTTTGAAACAAAAATTTATTTTCTTTGAAAAAAAAAATTACAACATGAAGGATATATGTTACAATGTTATAACTATCATTATAACCAAGGTGACTTAATTTTTTCCAGCATGCGATGCAAGCTTGAATTGACATATGAGAAAACTATGGTCAAATGTAGTACTGTATAAACTGAAAATATTTACAATAAAGAGCTCAATAAATGCAATTTTTAAAAAATCAATACTGGTTGGCAAAATAAAAAATTCTATATTCTTATTTCATTGTTAAATTATCAGATTTTATCTTTGAATAAAAAGTTTGCTTTAGTAAAGTTATATAATTACAATAATTGAAATCTGTTTTAAATAACTAGAAATATAGGTAAGTTTGGGTACAATATATATAATGGTATATACATTCATTGCAATTCTGGGAGGACATTGCCAGAATCTTCCCTGATATGTTACCTGAGGGTCAAAAGTGTCACCCGAGGGTTGATGCGATCCTTTACCTCCTGGTTGATGTCATGGCTATATTCTCTGTATGATGGATCCCTGGGGATAAAGACAGGCCATTCTATAAATCATGATTGGCAAAAATGTACAAAGTACTACATTCAGGGATTCTTGGTCTGGTATTAGGCAAATTTACTGCCCTCTGGTATTAGGCAAATTTACAGCTCTCTTATTGGAAATCTGAAATTACGATATTGACCTACCAAATATTGATCTGTTTTGAAATCTGAAAATTAGATATCTATGGCATATTTATTTTGTACATCTATATTAATATTTTATTTGATACTATAGTGTCTAATATTTAATTAATTGAAATTTTCATGTGCAGAAACTGTCACACTTTCACTTGTTAATCTTTGTGTTTGTAGATTTTTCTCACAATGGAAATGCTGTGTATTTTGCAGTGTGTCAGTTTGCTTTCACATGCATAATTTCACACTTATTTAACGGTGAAAATGAGTACATTTTCCACAGAATTTCAAAATTTCCACTATATTCTGGTGACTTTTCTTTTTTGACATGTATGGTGTTCGAGAAACATAATGTTGTTTCAATAAATAATTAAAGATTTCCAATGAGAATGCTGAAAGTTACATGAAAGGGCTGCAAACGCATGCAAAGTTTTTGAATGATGATTTGGGAAGATGAATGATTAAGAGTGGTCCCCTTTGTCCTGAATGTGTAGGCCCCTGTTTGATGTGATTTGAAGTGGCTTGTGTACCTGATGCTTGTTTAATATTGTTTGTATGATGCGCATGTCATCTGTAATCCAAATGGATGTATTTTTTGAGATAATTACGTTACACAGTGTCACCTTGTTAACCCAGGCAACATTGACCGAGATACAATTATAATGATGTGTTACTGGTGACCATTATGGTCTAGTTGTACAGAAGACACCTTTAGACATACCGTATATACTCGCCTATAAGCCAGATTTTCTGGAGTAAATTTACGACCTCCGAGGAGGGGTCCGGCTTATAGACGAGTCATTGACCGTGAGCAAAAAATCACACCATAATTTTCCAAAGGTAAGTCATGCTTTGGGACCGAGAATCGTGTAAAATCATGTATATAGTAAAATATGCAAGTACAGAGCTCAGGTGCAGTATGAGTACTATCAGTTTCGTCGTCCGTGTTCCCGACTCCTGTAAGAAGGTAGCGGACAAAACGACAAATTCCTCCAGTATTGATTCTATGCATACATAGGCCTAAACACTTCCGTGCAGGAATGTGTATACATAGTACGTACGGCAATTACGAAGAACAAAAGATCAATCAAGGCAGACCGATGGTCAATTAGCATGGTGTAAACGAGGTGGGTAGCATGTGCACAATATTCTGTTAGATATTAATGACACCATGCCGCATTGTCCAGATTGGTCCGTTTTCAACATTACACACCTACCAGAACTTCCTAAAGTTCCTGGTTGGACATGTATGCGGGTAGGGCGTGGAAATGAATTGTGATTGATCTGTGTGTTTGATCTAAGGACTGACGATCGAACTGTATAATCTTCCATGCTTATAAACACAACAAGAACTTGAAAAAATGTAAAGACATTTTATTGAAATACCATTATGTCTTTATAAGTATTGAGAGCAGAAACGATCTTTTAACATTAAATTTTAACCGACTTGGCACTCAATATCTCCACGATCATGACCAACACGTATCGGTACATGATCTCATTTCTGAAATAAAAATACTCACGATAGATTTCCACCAAATTTTATTCATGATCATTTAACTTTACTTCCAGAGATTTTCACTCGATTTTTTGCCAGAGCATTTTTTGATACCGTCTTATAGGCAGGGTCAATGTTCAATTCCAAAATTTTAACCCAAAAACTTACCTCCGGCTTATAGGCGAATCGACTTATAGGCAAGTATATACGGTAGCTGAGAACTAAGTAATGCAGAAATTGAACATTTTACAGAAGTAGTATCCCATGTATATCCCTTTCTGTGGATCATTTATCATTATAATATACATAAATTAAAACCCTTCATATTCATATGTAAGTACTATAGGGATGATGTTGTTTACTGTAAATCGTTTATATTTCATGTGAGTTTTATTTTTGTGTTAATACATGAGGAAAGTTAATTGGCAAATTCAAATCTCTTGCCATTGTTTGTACATAAGTGACTCTGGATGGCATCCATATGCATATTGGTTCGGTATTCGATATTGGAGTCATGAGAAGTCCAGGTCTCTAATAGCTCAGAATTTGTGAATTTAAAGTCATTTCTAGATCAGTGCTTGCGAAGTTATGTATCTGTGAATATGTCTGAAGAGGTAAGTTCGCGAAATAAAGTATTCACAGAGTCTAAATGATTTACCATACTTTATCTAATTCAATAGAAACTTGTGTTTTCCAATTGTTTTCAGAAATAATTTTTGAAATAAATGCAATTTTCACTAAGATTGATTAAATTGGATATCATTAAAGTTTCATGAATGAATATGGTGTGGTAAAGAGGGCTACTGTTTGAAAAAATAATCAGAGTAAAAACAAGAGTTTTTAAGACAGGAAAAGACAATTAAGAGAAAACAGTGTGGCATTAAGGACATATGACAACTACATTTTGTTAATATTGGAATAATTCAAAATTTTCCTTCCTGAACAAAAGTGTCGAGGTTAACAAGGTTCAACTGTACTTGCTTGAGCTTACTGATTTGAGCCTGTTTATCTTTTGAATTTGTTCATATAGTGACGCAGAAGTCAGCCGATCCTAACTTCGTCATCTTAACGTATTACATTGATTCAGCTTATTGTTTATCACAAAGACCATCGTATCATGATAATTTATTACAACACATACAGCTTTTAGTCAGCTTATTATCTGTACATTGAACCAGAGCATAGATATTACTGTCACTGTTAAATATTTAGTGGTCTGTTTTATTTTAGAAATCCTTCAATAGTTTACAGATTTTGTTTAGTTTAGTCATCAGGAGCTTGATTATGTTTTGTATGTGATCAATTGTTATTTATGTACTCAGATGTGTTTTGATCTGATTTTAGCAGTTTATACAGTACAGTAAGACAATATCAATATAATGATGACTGGCTACTTTTAATGATTTCATTTGAATGTTGTGTACATACACTCTTTCTTGTCATGGTCACTTGTAGAATTACATGAAACAGTCAGTCATCCACTCTTTTGTCTTATAATAACAGCTACCAATGATTATCTAGTTGTCTCACCATCCAGCTACAATTGATATTATTGTCCCTCAACCTAGTCACCACCAATCAGGTTGTAGCACCAATCAGGTTGTCTCTCTACCCAGTCACCACCAATCGGGTTGTCTCTCTACCCAGTCACCACCAATCGGGTTGTCTCTCTACCCAGTCACCACCAATCGGGTTGTCTCTCTACCCGGTCACCACCAATCAGGTTGTCTCTCTACCCAATCACCACCAATCGGGTTGTCTCTCTACCCAGTCACCACTAATCAGGTGTCTCTCTACCCAGTCACCACCAATTAGGTTGTCCCTCTACCCAGTCACCACCAATTAGGTTGTCCCTCTACCAAGTCACCACCAATTAGGTTGTCCCTCTACCCAGTCACCACCAATTAGGTTGTCCCACCATTCAGCCACTACATAATTGTCCTATTATCCAGTCACCACTATCGGTTTGTCCCACCATTCAGCTGCTGCTATAAAGTTGATCCACCAGATATATAACGAAATTCTTCCTCAATACATGCAGATCGTGTGTTGGCATTGATAAACTTTGTGCTTGTTAAGAGACCTATTTCATCTGTAAAATCGTAAAACAAAGTCATATCTGGAGACTATATAGTCATCACTGCTTGTAAAACTTGCACCTGACATTTTTCATAACATATTTGTAGAATTGTAAATTACTACTTCCACTCCACCTTCCACTACACCCAACCTTCAACACCCCTCTTTATATTATGATGGACTGTGAATTATACAATATTTTTCACCCCATGATCAGTTTAAGTACGTTTTATCGCCTGCTGTTTGATGGTGAAGTATATCGTAAAATCATAAAAATTTTCGTAGGTGATTTTCGTTGAATTTATAGGTACTCTTAATTCTACAAAGTAATCTGTCCATGAAATAATGAATGGAAGAAAGTGACATTGATTAAAGTACTAGCAGATTTGATGGGTAAGATTTAACCTCATAATAAAGTGCCCATGGAATATTTCTGGAAAACCAGGAAAATTGGAGCCCCGCGAAAATATGGTTTTAGGGTAAAGTGTTATCCGTGTCCAACTGTCACTTCATGTTGCCTCCCATTCTAAATCAATCTCGTATCTTGAGACCCTCTCAACAGATTTGGTTATATTTCCTATCATAACGATAACATGAAGTTCTACAATTTATCATATAAAGATGGCTGTGATATTGTTCTGCCCTGTTCGTTCTCCATCATTCAGGGGTTATGCTCACTATTTCTCTCTGCACCCATGGAATATTTTATGGCAAAAATGAAGGCACTAGCAAAATAATCTGATTGGTCCAAAGCAGGTTTAAGGGGAATAAAACTCACCAATCACAGACTGATATGCTCATGATTACATGCTATAGGAGTGACACCCAACTTAAAAGCCAGTCCAACATGCCGTTGTGCGACCACAGGATTCATTTGATCAATGGATCACACTAGTCTTGTCGTCTTATCCACAAGGTGTCACACCCTCAGCTTACAATTTTGCCATGAAATGTCCCAGGGGTACAGAGAGTAAATGTGATCATAGTCTCTGAAGTGTCTAAGATGTGCCCTGTTTTACAGCTGAAAACAGGCTCCACCCCCTACCCCCCACCCCCCAACCCAAAACAAAAAACCCATTTTCTACCAAACTTAAAAGATCAGGGTTACCTTATTTTAAGCAGAACATTACTATATTTTCCCAGTTAATACCCTCACAGGCTGCTGTAAAATTAGGGTAGATCACAAATGACAACTTCAAACATTAATACTTATGCAAGGTGACTGTTTTATCTGAGGCACTCTAAGGACTGTTTTATCCCTGACTTTTTGGATGCCTACTTATTAGAATAACACAAATTTCATTGTAGGTATAAAAATCTCTTGTGTAGAGTAACATGAAGTTTTACTGTTGCAGATGACATTGGCGACCACCTCTGTGAAAGAGTGCTCAGTGTACTGTTTGAAATGTGGCTCCTGGCATGTCACAAGTGTTTCCCGTCACCTTCACTATGGAAGACGTTCCGTAACATGTGTGTCAACTGGCGCCACCATGAAGCCTTGGTCACACAGTGGCACAAAGTCAACCATAACCTTACTTCCCGTCTACTCAAAATTATGTATGGTGCCAACTATCCAGAACTCCAACTTAGTGAGTATCTACCTTGTGTGTAACAAGATACTCCATCTTAGTGAGTATCTACTTTACTTTAAGGTACAATCTAGTATCTTAGTACGGTAACGAGATGGAGGTACTGATAAGATCTAAATCCAGCAGGAGAGTGGGGTCTGCGTTAAATGTCTGTCTACATACCAACAGAGGGTTTGATATTATATTTGTCTTTTTTCTCAGCATTAAAATTCTTTCTACTGATAGTTTTATATGGAAGTATTGTAAGCATTTAATCTGTTTTAAGACTTTTGTTCTTATATTAATCATTGATTCCTTTAGAAATTGAAATAGAATTTCACTTCAAGGCAAACTCAGATACAAATTTATCAATGAATAAAACTTTCAGCCATTACTCCTGAAATAAAATACTTTTGAAAATATTATTAATTTTCTTTATGTAAAATCATTTGTTGTCTGATATGAGACAAATTGTGTATATTTTCTATTTAGACGAGACAGAGAGCCAGTTTATCTCCCCTGATATGACAGATGACTGTGTGGCACAGTGCTGGTTTCGTTTTCTACACATAATACAGAACCCTGTTGACCTGTGTCACCCTGAAATTATTGGTGGCACACCGAAGTTCCTACAGCTTCGCTCTGGAGAGGGACTTGATCCTACACAACATGAATGTTTACAGAAACTGCCTTACATTTTCTACAAGGCAATGAGAGGCATTTCCATCTTAATCAATGCATTTCTAGGTATGTTATGATAATGAATTCAGGCGTTTGACTGAATAGTGTGGTTAGGAAGATCTTGAATGATCCTATGAAGATGTAGCATATCAGTATTGTGTTAAAAGATGTGGCCTTACCCAGACAGGAATTGATAGAGTGGTCGTCTCCTTACCTGTATGATAGTTGTGGCCTTACCCAGACAGGAATTGATAGAGTGGTCGTCCCCTTACCTGTATGATAGTTGTAGCCTTACCCAGACAGGAAGTTATAGAGCGGTCATCCTCTTACCTGTATGATAGTTGTGGCCTTACCCAGACAGGAAGTGATAGAGCAGTTATCTTCTTACCTGTATGATAGTTGTGGCCTGACCCAGACACCTGTATGATAGATGTGGCCTGACCCAGACAGGAAGTGATAGAGCAGTCATCCTCTTACCTGTATGATAGTTGTGGCCTTACCAAGACAGGAATTGATAGAGCAGTCGTCCTCTTACCTGTATGATAGTTGTGGCCTTACCCAGTCAGGAAGTGATAGAGCGGTCATCCCCTTACCTGTATGATAGTTGTGGCCTTACCCAGTCAGGAAGTGATAGAGCAGTTATCTTCTTACCTGTATGATAGTTGTGGCCTGACCCAGACAGGAAGTGATAGAGCGGTCATCCCCTTACCTGTATGATAGTTGTGGCCTTACCAAGACAGGAAGTGATAGAGCAGTTATCTTCTTACCTGTATGATAGTTGTGGCCTGACCCAGACAGGAAGTGATAGAGCGGTCGTCCCCTTACCTGTATGATAGTTGTGGCCTTACCAAGACAGGAAGTATTAGAACGGTCATCCTCTTACCTGTATGATAGTTGTGGCCTTACCCAGACAGGAAGTGATAGAGCGGTCGTCCTCTTACCTGTATGATAGTTGTGGCCTTACCCAGACAGGAATTGATAGAGTTGTCGTCCCCTTACCTGTATGATACCTAGACAGGGAGTGATAGAGCGAACATCCCTTTACCTGTTTAACAGTGATCGATCTAATACTTATTTTTTCAAAGCCTTTAAGCTTTATTGATAAAAGAAATTGGTCCTGCAAAGTGAAATTAAAATATTTCCAGATATTGTTTTATTTCTATCAAAATTCCATTAGTTCAGGAATGGAATTTTACTATATTACTATAGTTCCTAATGTGATAATGAGATATTTTGGCAAAATAAAATTCTGAATTGTTGGATGATGCAGATAGAAAGAAATCAAACAATGATTCGGAAAAAATTAAGAGGAATTACATTTGCATTTCAAATTTTGAACATTTTGTCAGGCATATCTCAGTCACTGAAAGCAGAAGAAGAAATGACACAACCTCCTCCCAGTAACCGTCACTCAGTCACAGTGCCCCCTGTAACCCCTCCCGGACAGAGAAAATCCACAAGACCCATGTCTGTATTGGCTGGAACTCTGTCACAGAAAGGTAAACATTCTGCAATGTTTTCAGCCACAAATAGCATTTCGCACAAGAGAGCAGAAACATCAAATTTCTTAATACCTTTTTGAGATTTCAGGAAAGAGAAGTAAATTTTTTTTAAAGTTTATTGGTTAATATTTCCACTACAGGCAATATATGTTTTTGAAGACTGTAGAGTTAGTGGTATTTAAAGTAAGAAATATGTTCTCTGTGTTACCCATGCCTTCTCCATGCCTTAGGTTTGTACAGAGATTAACATCTTGAAAAAAAGAACTGAAGAAGTTAATATGTGATTCACTTTTTGACTTTTTCACTTATAAAGAACATATCCACTGCTGTTTTATGAGAGTGTGATTGGAAATCTCTGTATTTTGTAAAGCTGTGTACCATGGTTTGATAAATGAATAAATTTCTAAACTTCTATTGTGTTAATGAAATAGTTTCTGGCTCTTTATACAGATTCGCTTTTTATACCATTTTCTGCTTTAAGAAAAGTTGACAGTACACATATAACAAAAATTACAACAAATATTTTCTGCTTTATTTATTATATTGAATTCTTTGCAGGATCCTCAAAGTCATCATCAGTAACGACCAAATCTGCAGTTCCACCTCCATCAAACTTCCCAGGCCAGCTCCTGCTGGATTCCCGCCAGCCCCTGGCTCCAACTCGGCCTCGTTGTAACAGTGTCCTACATTTATATGGGGCCTGGCTTTTTGATGCAGCTTTGGCAAGAGTTCGTCTTTTGGCTTGTCACAGAGGACCTACCGTCAATGGTAACCATTGTCATATTCATATTTGATAAGTAAATAATATCAAAAATGGCAATGTTGTGGAATTTTTTAAGAAGTTTTGATGATCAAAGAAATGTCATGCTTGACACAGATTAAAACTTTGCTACAATGATTATCCTAATTCATCCTGTTAAATTGCATTGTACTGGCAATAGATAGCAAGTTGTGAAAATAAACCAAAAAAGTACCATTAGGGAAAAATTAGCAACCGGTCTTCATACATCGTAATGTAGTGATCATCTGTTAAGGACATTCATTATCTGAAACAAAAGATTAAAATTTTAGGGAAGAATGTATAAACATTTGGATTAAAACTGGAAAAAACCTCAAAATGACTAAATATAGTTTCATTCTATTTAAGCATTAAAACACAGAAGTACTGTGTACAGTGATTATAGCTCGAGTGGCCCCACGGGTGGGTTGCGAAGAAACCACTAAAGATCAAATGTGCAAAGAAAAAAAAAGTGGAAAAATTGCATCCATACTAACAGTTATAAAGTTGTGACACAGAAATGTGAATCTAATTAATGCTTTCTGCAAATAACAACATGGCAGACATAGCAACAAATAGTGTCAGTTGCCCAAATGCTTTATCAGACAACAAGAATCTGATTGAGTGATGTTAAGCAATTTTTACTCAACACCTTCTGAGATTGTCTGAAAGAATAAATATCATGAACTACTAAAGATATTCAGAACAGAAAGTGTTCCTGAAATTTCAGGTTAAATTTTAATCGTTGCCAAATATTATGTCACATTGTTATACCAAAATGAAATACATCAGTGATAATACTATGCTTGTTGTACATGGATTTGTCATATCTTTAAAGAATAATTGGTGAATTTGTTTTGCAGCTCGTGCAGATCGAAGAACAAACTCCTTCACTGACACAAGGCAGGGTTCCATTTCCCTGGACTATCATTCCGATCTGAGTTTATCAGTAGACAACACATATGAGACTGGGCGAGCAGAGGCTCTGGGTGCACTCTGTAGGATATTTTGTGCACACAAGACAGGAGAGGAAATCTTGCCAGTCTATTACTCACGGTTCTATATAGCCATGTATTACGGTCTACAAACATCAGACAATGTAAGTGTGTACAAGTCATAGTCTCAAGGAAGATGGTATCATTCAGTCATGTTTTTTTTAAATTGTTAAATGAAAATCGTGGAATTGAAATTTATTTGTTTGTTTACCTGAAAGAGATATATACTGTATTTTCCGGATTATATGCCACACATGTTTTTCTCATGAGTCAGGCATGCAGCTTATATACTGTTACAGTTATATGTGGATGAAAAAAATGGGCAGGTGGAAAAAAAAGAGGGGGAAATGTACCAGTACACCAGTATGAGACAGTTTACTCCTATAACATAAGAGCCCCCACTGTTTGTCAGCCGTTTTATTATCTGCCATTTTTGTCCCAACTGCGACATCACAGTGCCTGTCATAAGTTTCTTGCTATGTAAAACATTAAACATTGTTGTAGTAGAGACAGTACAAGTATCTGCCCATCACGTTGGTAACTGAAACAGATTGTCTAGAACTGTCATTTACAATCCTATACAGGATGAATTGAAGATTGGTATGAAAATAACATATTTAATATGAATCACATTAATATATGGACTTTTTTGTTTACTTTGAAGCCGTAGTGGAAGTTTACAATAGCCTTTTGCATCTTGGGATGGATAAGTCATTTGGTTATAGGTCAAATTCTAGAATGACCACTGTGCTTGTTTACGATATGAATGACTCTGTGTAAATGATATTGGATTATAGGAATTTGGTCAGTATGCAAAGGCCATTGTTGAAATCTAACAACGATGGAGAGGTTATTTCGTAAACTGTACGTAACGTCAGGTCCTATATCTGGGTGTAGACAATCTGTGAAGGCACCCAGGGCAAACGAGTTTGATATTTGCTATTTTTGGGTTTTTTTTTTTTTTCAACTACATCAATAAAATAAAGGATTATCTTTGCATGATTCATTTACAAACTTATATTGAATGTTTCACTGATGATCTGGAAAAATCACCTCCGTTGTCTGTTATATCTGCGAACTTTGGTCACCATAACTGTTACCACTGCATAGGAACTGCCTTCTGTTATCTTTTACTGGTTTATCAAACGTCAACAGTGGTGATCACCATATCATAAGAAAGGGTGTGGCTTACATCTGTAAAAGTCAGCTCTGCAGGTTTTGTACCAGTGTGGCTTATAACCCTGAGAATATGGTAAATTGCTATAATAAATTCTGAGTTATATGATAATATATAATTATAGTGCATCTGGAATAGTTGTCCGTTGATAAGTTGTCATTAATTGATAAATGTTTTATATATCACCCTGGCTGTTAGCTTGTAATGCTGTGATTTGTTTAGTCTATAAATTCATTTATATTAAGTTAATTATTCTTTATTTAACCAGAGCCTGAGTGGTCAGGTACTGGCCAGTATCCTGTTTAACTCTTGTGACCTGTTGCGTGTAGACCTAGATGGTGTACAGATTCTGGTTCCATACATACTTGATGCTCTGCAATTGATTCTTAGTGACCAGTCTACCAGACTCAAGTAAGTGGTCCATACTGCTAATATTAGCAATCAGCCCCTTCCCTCCACTCACTCAGTTAAATGCTAAGTGACTAGTAAAACATTAAGACCTTACATAACCTACAGAATGGTGAGCTTTAGAGCTAAAAAGATTGTTCATTCAATTTCCTTTGCTAATGTAGATGTTATTTTCAGCATTAGCAGATTCTTAAAAAAACTTTGTAATAATACTTATCCAAGAAATACAGGCCTCAAAGAGATTTTGTTTCTTGCCAAGAAGTTAAAAAATGATAAGTTGCTCCTAATTCTTATATCCTAACCATGCTATATGTGTGCTTTCAGACTGAGTGACTCAAACGTTGACTGCCATAATGTCGAGCTGCGCCGTTCCTGTATACAGCTCCTGTTGTCCCTGCTCTGTCTACCTTTACACTTCAAAGACCTTGAAATTAATGGTAAATAATGGATGTCACTTCAGGAAATTGATAATTAAATTATGGTTATCAGTTCAAAGAAATTAATGATTGTCACTTGAGGGAAATTATTGATTAATCAATGGTTGACAGTTCAAGGAAATTAATGATAAATTAACGGTTGTCACTTCAAGGTTGTCATACCTGATCACTTACACACTCAGATGACCTTATTGTAAGGATAGACTGTAATGATGTATATAAAATGTAAATGGTACCAGACAGAGAAATATTGTTTCTGACCCTGGGATTGGGTTACTGGACAAACCTATAACAATCTTCATCTGTGAAGAAATATCTTCAGAAACATTTTCAGACTAACAAGACAGAAAACTTTTTTCTTCTAGTAAGAAAACTTGATGTATGTCAGGAAAAACGTCTTATACTGGACTGTAAAATATCATGCTAGTCTGAAGGGTACACGGTTTTCACAAGATAAGGTAGAACATTTTGTCGTGGAAAGAAATGATAGATTTTACATGAGTATTGAAGGACACATATTAAAATAGAATAAGGTTAATAAATTTCATATGTCAGCACAAGTGTAAGATAATTCTATAAACTTATAATCCGTATTTTTTTCTATTAGACTAATTTTGACATGGACAGTACATTTTTCACTTCAGAGACAAACATTTGATGGAGAGAAAGTATTGTTATGGTGGAGAAAAAAGTAAAAAATTGTGATAGAAAATAATTAGATAATGTGATCTAACAAAAGTAGTTACTGCCATGCGAGGATAAATGAAAATTATGTTGTTTTACATGATCACCACTGTTACGTTATTTAACACAGATATTGTGTCAGGTCCTGAAACCCCAGTACAGAGCATCACCTTTATCTCACTGAAGAAGAAGATCATGGAACTGTTGCTGAAGGCTCTGTACAATGCCAAGGATCCCACCAATACTCAGATGTTGTTAGGTAAGCAACCATTGATGGTTTTGTTCTGTTTGTTAACCTATCATAGGACAGCTTACTAGGGGATGTTATAGAGGTTTACTGTGTACATATCATAGGACAGCTTACTAGGGGATGTGTTATAGAGCTTTACTGTGTACATATAGGACAGCTTACTAGGGGATGTGTTATAGAGGTTTGCTGTGTACATGTCATAGGACAGCTTACTAGGGGATGTGTTATAGAGCTTTACTGTGTACATATAAGACAGCTTACTAGGGGATGTGTTATAGAGCTTTACTTTGTACATATAGGACAGCTTACTAGGGGGTGTTATAGAGGTTTACTGTGTACATATACAGGGTTCGAAATTAACTATATACAACTAGCAAAATTCCAGCTAAAATCTGGTAATTGCTTGCTGGAAAATAATGAACTAGCAAAATTTTGCGAGTGGAAATGAACTCTACCTAATCACTATTTTTGACGAAACATCTGCCACAAAATGCCTTTCTCCGTCTGCCTTTAAATGAGTAAATAGGTTACAAACGCTAAAGTGACATAGATTATCAATACATTCGGAATTCCTCCAGTTTTTCCCTTGATAGTTATGTGTAAACCGAATAAAAAGTTGTCTTGGAAAACTCTACGATTTCTGTCTGCTCATCATGTGAAACGCGACGTATCAGCTATGATAACAAACTTTTTCAAAAGGAAAGCATCTGACAGTGCTTGCGATGACCAAGACAATAGTCAACAGCCACAGCCTGGCCCTTCTGAAAAAAAATCGTTGAAATCGGAGAGCGTTTCTCCTGACGCTGCTGATATAAAATCACAGCCACAACAACGTGCATATACAGCCACGTTACAAACGGTACGGAAATCGAGAAAAAGAATTGAATATTATTCTAGGATACAACAAATCATCTAGTAACGATGTTGTTAATACAGTATGGCGCAATGACTGCCGAGAACACGGAAGATAGTTGTCTTGATAATAATTTATTGAAATGATCGTTAATGTGAACATTTTTTTAAATAATATAAATTTGGGTACAGTTACATTTATAAATGGATCTGATCATATGACAGTCAGATTAGATGTAGCTCATACACGAAAAAAAGAAAACTGATAAATTCAAAGTTATATAGATTTAAAATGTTGATACAGGTAGCAATCAGCCATTCTTATCCAATATCTTGGATAACTTTTCCAATATCACTCAGTTCCTGAAAAACTCAATATAACAGTAAATAAAAGTCAAACCTATTCACCAAAAAATTACTAGTTTGTTCATCATTTTTGCTAGTGGAAATTTTAGGCACTAGCAATGGTTTGCTAGTGCCTAAAACAGTTTATTTCGACCCCTGCATATAGGACAGCTTACTAGGGTATGTGTTACAGAGGTTTACTGTGTATATGTCATAGGACAGCTTACTAGGGGATGTGTTATAGAGGTTTACTGTGTACATATCATAAGACAGCTTACTAAGAGATGTTATAGAGGTTTACTGTGTACATATCATAAGACAGCTTACTAAGAGATGTTATAGAGGTTTACTGTGTACTTATCATAGGACAGCTTACTAGGGGGTGTTATAGAGGTTTACTGTGTTTATATCATAGGACAGCTTACTAGGGGATGTGTTATAGAGGTTTGCTGTGTACATGTCATAGGACAGCTTACTAGGGGATGTGTTATAGAGCTTTACTGTGTACATGTCATAGGACAGCTTACTAGGGGATGTGTTATAGAGCTTTATTGTGTACATATAGGACAGCTAACTAGGGGATGTTCTATAGAGGTTTAACAATATATAAACATGTGGAAAACTGATCTAAACACAACATTAGAGCCCAGGGATCTTCAATAGTTCTCATGAAAGGATGTCTTGTAGTGGTTTACTGTGTATAAACAAGTTTATGGAAAACTGATTTAAGTACAAGTTATGGGTGGGAAGGCAGGGGCTTGCTCTGGGATATTTTCTGCTGTTCTATCACAAGACCTAAATGAAAACGGTTTTTGCTTTTGCATACTTTATCACAGATGACATGTTCTTGTTGACTAGTTGATCCAGGTAAGGTAAACCTCCACTTAGTTTGAAAAGACGGGGTGTTTATACATATGAATATCTCATTGAGAACAATAATTTTCTGTCTTGTGATAGCATCAATCCTTTTAAGTCTTGTTTGACTGACAATTTGAATTGCTGCTTACTGATCAGTAATTTTCTTCCTGCTACAACATTTTGTTATGGTTTTTGGTGAAGGTGTACAGTATGTTGTTTATCCCACCATAGAGTGTGTTGAAAGCTGAGTGTAGTTGGAGAGTAAATATATGAACTGTGGTCAGTGCGTTGAAAGCTGAGTGTGGTTGGAGAGTACATATATGAACTGTGGTCACAGAGATGAAGGCTGAGTGTGGTTGGAGAGTACATATATGAGATTGAATGTTATTTATCTGTGCAGGGGGCCTGATGCTGATCGTACAGGACTTGGCTATGTGTGAGGGGGTGGAGCAGACAACACTTCAGCCACAGCACGATACATCTGGAGATTCCGACTCACACGGAGGTACAAATGTCATATTCACCCGAAACTTTTTGCTGATTAACAACAGATTTTGTGTCATTTAAATAAAACATAACAGAGTATATTCTTTAATGAAATTTACTGGCACAACTTTTCATTCAGATTTATATCAAGATGCAGAAAAAACAATAGCTCTTGATTTCAATGTCCATCTGAAAATATAACATATGGAAATGTGAGGTTTCTTTTGATGAGATCCTAGCAACTGCCTCTAAATATACATTTTAAGGAATTACCTACAACCACATAACCAAAATAACCAAATCTAAAAATAGTTCACATTTCAAAGTTCAAATTTTAGATCAAATGCAAGGATTTCCTTGATGAGATCATAGAACCAATCTCTAAATATATCGGGGCCCCAAAAGGGGAAGTTAAACAACATTTTGCTTCAGAATGCTACTCTTTCTTAATGCTTTAATGAATATGATCCAAATTTTGTTTGAAACATAATTGAGAGTGGGAAATCAAACCAAAATTCATTAACCTGATTCAACCCCATGGACTTAGGGTGGGGTTCCATAAGGGGAAGTTAGACAATATTTTGCTCTCAAATACTACTCCTTTTTAATGTCAGTAGCCATTTTGTAACATGATTTTGCAACTGTTTTTCAAGAATAGAACCTACCATTTATGAGTTTCTGATACTTTCAAGGAATATTCAAAATTTGAATTCATCAGATTTGCCAGACCACCATCAGCAATTTCTGTAGACTGTCCATCCATTCATGGATTGTCAGATCACCATTAAGGGCCATGGTGGTCTTGTGTGATTTATGTTGAAATAAAGAAAACGATGTAATGAATAGATTTTCTGTCAATCAGTTTTTAACACAATGGATTTAATTTTCAGGAAATTAGCTACCGCCATTTCTCAGCAAATGTGACTTGCTTGGGAGATGGCTAAATAATGGATAAATTGTGGAGAACTTTCATTTATTATATGGCAGATTTGTAATAAAAGAAAATATTCTTTTATTGTAATGTCATTTTTAATGGAAAAACATCTTTATCCCAGGCAGATAATTGAGTAGAATAAAAATACCTGATTTGTGTTTTCTAGACACTAGTCGGACCAGCATGACCTCCATGTCCTCGGACTCCAGTTACCACGAGTCATCATACCATCGCTTACCGCTAACTTCTCAGGATCTTGGTAAGCTACACATGCTAATTACTTAAATAAATTTAAAAATGAACCACTACCAGGGGTGGAGGCACAACGTCCCTAAGATGATGACTGCTCACCTAGAGCCGAAACATGTTAACAACGCTTCGCAATAACCATCAAGTTTACGGAAGAACTACTGTGTTGGACTCGCTCCTTTGTACTCATTTTGTGTTGAATGTTAAATTTTGTAATAAGAGCTATATCATTGTAAACATTGTTGTAATTATTTAACAATGAATGATAGTAACTGTGTTGATAATTATTATGTTAACACTTGCAATGATAGCTTTTCATAGAAATATGATTACATTATCTGGTATCAAGTTTAAAATTTTGAAATGCATGCTCTTACTACAGAATTAATGACTTTTACATTTTATCTGAAATATGTTAAATACCAATAACACTATTCCACAGAGACCGCCTATGGTCTTTTTGGTGACGCCACAGCCCTGGTTTGCCACCGTCTAATGGCTTCATGGAAAACTGACCTGAACACGGCTTTAGCGGCTATGGAACTTCTTGGTGGCCTTGCTAAAGTAAACATCAACCCTCCAAATCTACTCATGTGTAAACGCACGGTTAAATGGATATGTGAGTTCATTGTGTATCAGTGTAGTCGCCCTGCCCCCTCACACTCCCGAGACCTTCATTCAATGATTGTGGCGGCATTTAAGTGTCTAACTCTGTGGCTGGTTGAACATAGCCGTCTGATGTACGACAAGGAATGTCTTATCAACGTCCTGGAGGTGGTGGAACTCGGCATCTCTGGCTCAAAGTCACAGGTATGCATCATACTTCACTTTATCTTCAAATGGTGACAAGAAAATAATACGTTTATCTAGATACCTTGAAAAATTTTTGTCCCTTTACCTGGTATTTGAAAATGAAACAATTTTCATGCAGAATTTCTTCCTAAAATGATGTCTTTTTTTGATGGGCTTGCAATGTTGTAAGTATATGTTCTGATCATTTAAGCAGCCATGATATTTAATTCTAGACCAGAATGTGTTTATACAATTATGAAATCCGATATCAAGATGATATGCAGGCATTAGAATTTACACAGAAGTCATTGATAAGTTGTTGTTATGCTTTTGTAAGATGAATCCATTTAATATCCAGCTTGTCAGTTGAAAATTTTGTTGGTACGGAACTTGTAATCAGATTTTTATGATATGGTACCTAATTGTCTTATTTAGTAACATTTGTCCCCATGTCAGCACTTCTTGATTCTACAGTATCTCAATTCCTGATAAGAAACTCTATTAGATAGTTTAAAATCTTTTCTTGAAAATATAACTATAACAAAACATTTCAATACCTTTAAAATTTACACTACCATGTCTTCATGTCAGTCCAGTTAATATGTACCTAATTGTCTTATTTAGTAACATTTGTCCCCATGTCAGCACTTCTTGATTCTAAACAGTAAAAAATAGTAATAGCAGTAAAAATGAAGTAACAAAAGTATCAGAATGGAGTAAAGTATCGACAATGGTAACATTAAACAGTGTATCAGCATATGAATGTTTTAATTGAAACTAAACCTATTGTTAAATATTTTCTCTATATTGTATTATATCTCATTCTTTATATAACAAAATTTGACGTAGCAGTCAAAGTTTGCTACACAACTACACAGGGATATTTTCCTTATGTCTAAACAACATCTCTGTTCAGAAACTAATGTTTCTTTAAATTCATGTAGCACCTGTTCAATTCTAAGTTGATTATTATGAAATTATTAATGAAGTATTAAATGAATATTTGTAATAGTAACCTAAGGATATGGTTATGACTAGACTTAAAGGAATGATCTGTAATCTTACTATTTTTTCTCTGTGAATGTCACTCTGAATTCCACTTATCCAATAGGGCTGATGGAACATGGACCAACTAGCCAAAATTATCAGTTCTGGAGCTCAATAAAAAAATCACCTGTTATCATCACTGTAGAAATGTCACAAGATGAAATTAATTGGACACTTTTGATGTGAAACATTCACTTCTTAATTACTTAGATTCTTATTGTTTACACATTGACAATAGTGTCGTTCATTTCTTTCATAATGATCTCTTATCCTTAATGAAATAAAACCCTTTAAAATCACAAAACCTAACTTTATCAAAAGTCTAGAAACATATACCTTATATATAAGGTACACACAGTGCAACCAACTATAATTTGATAACAAATATTGATATAAAAGATCCCTGTTTGAGGAAAAAAGTAAAAAATGTATCTGGGCAAAATCGATGACCGATAGAGTGAGAAAATGATTGATCACCGTGTAAATCTATGACATGTGACTATGATTGTAAAGGAAGGTTTATGGAGCTGTATGTATTTAGAACCACCATTCCAGCACAAGCTTTCACTGGTGTTGCTCCTATTGTTTAGGTCTGTGATAAATAGAAATTTAATTGAAATATTCTGAGAATTCTGTATTTTGGTCATCTTTTCATAGATTTAGCAGATATATAGCATAAAAATAAGTATGTTCAGACCTGTATAGAAATTGTTTATGTTTTGTTAGGGGACATTAATGGTAATTTGGCTTTTTATATATGAAATTAGATATATACAAATTTAAGATACATTTGTATATAAACGCTGAAAAATAATGAAAATTACCTGATTGTGAATTCTTTTTTCATATTTTTTTTTTTTTTTATTTTTCATAATTTTGATGAAATAAATTTTACATGTTCAAATGTTGAAAATGAGATATGGTTTTCATCATCTATTCACTACCAGCAAGGCAAGGTGACATAACATAATTTGAAACAGAGTGGTGTGCATCAATTGACGTTGTTTTGTTTACAGAAAGTGACAGGAGAGAATCATAATGTGTCCGTTAAGGATGCAAAAACTGTGACAACACAGGTACATATTATTACGTTGTTGTTGCCGTGCCAACAGCCAGTTGCTCTGCTTCCCTATCATACTGATCATAAATAATATATTCTCCTAACATGATTGCCACGTTTACATAACACCCTAGCACAGTCTAATCATCCTAATCATTGATATGCATGCTCAACAGCTTACACTTCAGGCTAGATTCAATAGTTTTACTGGGTCAGATTTTTTATTGGGTTGGATGAGTAGGTCAGGTTAGGTCAAGGTCACTGTAAATATTTGTAGGAAATTATCTTATTTTTTAAGGGAATTTCATTGTACTTTATAGTAAAGTCAGCTTTTGACTCTATCCAAATGAATTTGTCAGAACTAGTGAGGGATATTTGAGTGCCAGTGTCATCCTTATACAGTGACAGAATTAGATACTAGATATTCATCAAAGTCCTGTGTGACATTGGTGTAGCAAGTTGGCTGACTACTGGCCAGTAATGCTGATGAAGCATTATCAGTGAGAAAACCATTTTTATTTCCCAAAATAACTGAGGAGGGGTTATTTGACATTAAGTGGAATTTTCCTGTCTGTCTCTCTGTCTCTCTGTCTGTCCTTATGACACCTCGGTAAATCATGATGTTTAGCTTAATTTCTCTAATGCTAGACATCAATAGTCAATATAGACTTCTGATATGGATTCACCTTGAAGGATACTCTGCTTATGTATCAGATGTAGGTCACAGTGACCTATATTTTCTGCTTTACTGACTTTGGATAATTAGATTTTGCTTTTAGCTCCATTTCTATCGTAGGACTGACAGTATTTTACTAACGTTTTCTAGTTTTGTTTTGCATTATGGAATTAATAAGATGGTTTGATACTTTCTACGGTGTAATGTCACTAAGTCTATGTCCTCCATGGAGTATGAGTTTGCCCTGGGAAACATGGATCTCTTTCAAGTCCATTTACAAGATGATATACATTATGAGTATTGCTAGTGATGTGGAGAGACATTAATTCGCCCTTGACTTACTAAAGATGAATGATTTTCCATCTATCCCTCAATATTACATTGTTGTCTATTGTTCATGTGATACTTCATTGTTTGAATCTTATAGATCCATTCCTTGTCTTTATACCTTATTGGTGAACCGGGAGACTTGCCAATGTAACAGGAACCTTCATCACTCGTAATCCACATGTAAAGAGATCAGTGGAGCTAGAGTCGGGTTATCACAATAGAAATCATATCAGGTTAAATAATTTGACCCCCTCTCAGGTAGAAAGGACCCAGCCTGGATAACAGGCAGGATTTTAATGCAGAGGTTTATAGTCAGCGAGACTTCTGTGTAATGTAAAAGTCAAAATAATTTGGATTTCTGTCATGTTTGTCATATTTGAGTTGTAAGTCAACTGAAAGTTGTTAACTCAGATGAATATTCCAGTTAAGAAAATGGCATCAATTCCTTTCATTTTTTGGTAATTAATTATTTTTCTTTATTTAATAATACAATAACATGTTAGATGAATACCTGTATATATATTACAGATATTACACTATACAAACCTATTTTCTTGGTTTGGATTTATCATACACATGTGTTATATTTATTTAATCAATTGTACAATTATTGATATATACATTTATTATTTTACAGATTTATAGTTATTCATATTTTTTGTTATGCCTGAAAACTATGTTTTTTATTTATCAATGTATATAATACGTAACTATTGTACATATAACATCACATTTTATTTTCAATAAATATTTCATTTCTTTATGAGAACATTTCTTAAACTTATTCTGTACTGCAGCACTAATTTCAAGATTTTTTTTCAGTAATTGAATCATTTCTTGAGATTATTTTAAACCATGCTTTGTTGGCAGAACCAAACAACGCTTCAGATTTTTCTGTCAATGTAGACTTGAGCATGTGTATTTTCAGTTACAGCTAATATTCATTTCAAAGCATGAATTATGATTTTTTTTTTTAAATACTAGTGAAAAATCCACTAAGAATATTGTACAATTTGAAGTCCAGTGTGATAGGGAATCCTTCTTAAACCAGATAGTAATTTTCTTTTACAGACCTTTGAAAACTGTCATGTAATCTTCAGTAGAAAAAACACAGCTCCAAATCTGCAAGACGGAAAGTAAAACAGCTTACTACCATATCTTACTTCATATTATTATTATATTATCTAAATTGTAAATAGGGTTTATTATGTTGATTTATACCAAATTATAAACCATCTTATGCCAGAAATGTTTACTTTTTTGCTTATCGTTGATAAACTTACTCTTATTCAAACTGAAATTTTCCATTGACCTTGTTACAGTGTGAACACATTTCTTTACAGCTAGGCTACTTTTTTTATTTATTTTTGCTAGCTATAGTAACAAAATCAATGAAGCATGTCATTTTGTGGACATTTGACCCCGTTCTTGTAAATTATGAAGGAGTCAAAGGTCAACTTTCTATTTTTAGATAGGTCTATATAGTAGCTTTGTGGTTTGTGCGGTTTAGTAGTGTTGGTTTCGTTTGTTTTTAAAATCATCTCCGTGAAGTATGCATGAGATCATTTTTGTCAGAAATTTGTATTTAGAATTATCAATGACCACAAAGTCAGTTTTAAAAACAATGTTTTTTGTTTTAATGAATGTTTCACGTTTGGTATTTTGTGTATATAGGTTTTAGTTGGCAATGTGTGTTTATCTATTTTTGATAAAAAATGTACATTTAAAGTGTTACTCATGCTTTAAAAATTACTTACAATTGTGTGATGTAAACTCTTATCTATCAGTAATGATCTTGAAATTTAGAAAATTTTTCACAGTTTCTATCAAAGACAGCATTGGTATCAAGCAGAGTTCAAAGGTCATGGTCCTCAGGAACCTCTTTCTCAAATTTTGTTGCTTCAAATTTAATACATTTTTAGATAATAAAAAATGCCAGACGAATGTTGAGTGATGCTAATACAGATACATTTATATTCATAGTAATCTAGAAAACAAACCTGGCTATATTGTTGTTTGATGTTGCAGACCTGATATGTCTCTGTCATCCTAATCATAATTACAGTGCAGTTCCCATCAGTTAAATTTTTGACAAGTTTTCCGTGTCAAAATTTCATTGTACACATGTATATTTTATATCTATACAGTTAATTCTCAGGATATAGATATATTCTGAGTGTCATTTCGTGTTATTTTTTATGACCATCAATAATTAGATATAGGCAAATTTGATTACAAACAAGTATCACCAACTATAAAGTAATTTTGGGTTGCTTGTTCCAGAAAAGTCAAAACTTTGTTCATCATAGCTCCTTTTTTTCCAAAATACCTTCAAATAGTTTAATGAAAAGACTCAGTCACCAATTGTATTGTATTATTTACAGTCAAGATTGTAATTTTCGATAAATCAAACTGTGCATTTTTTATTCCAACACATTCCAGCAAAAATGTTCGTATTTTGAAAAGAAGCCAGAAAATACACTATGGCTTCTATAGCTTTTGTTTCAAGGTGTCTATTTTTAGGTCACAAAGTTTCATGGTGACCTGTTGTGTGTCCATAACCTTATGCATTTTTGACCTCTTCTCAAAAAGCCCTGAAACGTTCCCTGGATAAAGATGAACCAAAACAGTAATTTATGAACCCCTTTGCCCCATGGGCCTAAGGGTCGGACCAAAAGTAGTCATATTGATTCATTTTTCAAAAATCTTCTTCTCAACACCTAAACATTGTACATGTGGTTCATATATGTAACAAATGCTCTTCATGGATGGAAGCATTTGAAGGTACTGTACCTAAAATTGTGAATTTCATAATCTTTCGATCTTGTGTAACCCCATGGTGAGGGGGTAAAATTTGCAATAATTTAAATAGGAAAAGTAGATTTTTGAGCATAATTTGTTTATTTCCATTGGAAAAATTAAACCTGGTAACTATTATTACTATGTGATAACAGTGTATGCATATATTGACACTGGCTAACCCCCAGGGTAGAAAGGGGTCAACTTGACTCAGATTTCAAAACCTTCTTCTCAACACCCAGCTATGTAAGATTCAAATGTTCTTCATTGATAGAATGGTCTTCAGGTGCTTTACCTAAATTTTAAATTTCATAACCCCAGGGTCTTATATGATTTTTGAGCGTAATTTGTTTAACTACCGTTAGAAATACTTCTGTATTTCACACTTGGTTAGAATTATATGCACATATTGATCCTGGCTGACCCGTAGGAACTGATGAGTAGGGCCAGAATTGATCAACTTTACTCAAATTTCAAAAGTCTTCTTCTTTAACACCTAGATATGGTAGAATCCAATGCTTTTCATGGATGGAAGTGTCTTTAGGTGCCTTACCAAAATTATGAATTTCATGACCCTTGGGTCTCACATTTTCCCTTATATAAGAAAATTGGATTTTTGAGAATAAAGTTATGTATATTTCATTGGAAAGGACTTGGTAAGAATTATAAGTGTTGGATGATACTTTTGATGGGATGCATATATTGACCCTGGTGACCCCCATGGACTTAAAATGTAAAATACTAGAGGCTAGAGGGAGTTTCCCTTAAGCTTGATTGGTAGAGTGGCTTACCAGTAAGCCAGGGGTCAGGGGTTTGATCCAAGCAAAAGTACATTGATTCTTTCCTGTTACAACCAAGACTGATATTTGTAGATTGAATAAACATGGATAACTGGTGCCACCTAGTGGTGGTAAATAAGGTTGAGTTATTCCCCCTGACTAGACTCTGGTAAAGCTTGGCATTTTAGACTGCTCAATGATTATTTAAGAGTTCACCTATTTTCCATGCACACTTAGTCTAGAAATCAGCTTTTCAATAGGATATGAACATTTCACTCTGCCAGTGTTTTTGTATGTAAATGATCTTAAGTAAATGAACTCATGTTAAGACATAAGCATTTTACAAAATTATGTTTTCATTTGATAAGCAGCATTGATTCAATGTATAGTTTTAACCAAATGATTCAGCAAGTTTTCTGTTTTGTCACAGAATCGAGCCAGTGATCCCCCAAAATTCAAGGGAGAAAAGCAGTTAATGCCTGCGTCTATGAGGGTGAAAGATGCAGCAGAATCAGTTCTCACCAGTATCATTCAACATGTGGTAAGATCAATGTTACAGTTTTATTTTGTTAGTTACAGTCATTGTATTTCGGGACATAAGCTCTCATGATTAGTAAGAAATTAATGGAAGTTGTTTCTCTCTTAAGTATTGCCCCACTATTTTGAGATTTGAAGTCAAGTTCTGTTCTGTAAACTATGATAGAACCACCCCAGTCTAATAGTATACTTATGCAGCTCCACTTATCCTTGTTTCAACAGGGACTCTCCATTTTTCTTGTTTACCACTCTTTGTTATTCTGTGACTAGTAACCTGATTTCTTGCTGTAAAATCCATAATTTTTGTGGGGGATTTGTTTTCATTGAGTTCTTGAGGAAATCATGTGTCCACGAAATAGGAATTGTTTTGAAAACCATGAAAATTGAACCCCACAAAATTATATGATATTACAGTATTGTGTCCATGCCCCTATTTTACCCAACCTTCTTTCCAATAAGAATTCTTCCCTCTCCTCTTTCATGTTAACCAGAATATGTCTGTTCTATCTGTAACACTATCTTTATTGCTTTACACAAATATCTGGTTTGCATCTTATAGTACAAATATACATCCCACTTTGTCTTTGTTATACACCGAGACTTATCCGGAGAGACTTTTGCTTGCTGTCCAGATAAGTCTCTGTTTTATCTCTAGTAGTACAATTAGAGACCCCACTTTGTCTTTGTTATACAGAGAGACTTATCCGGAGAGACTTTTGCTTGCTGTCCAGATAAGTCTCTGTTTTATCTCTAGTAGTACAATTATATATATCCCACTTTGTCTTTGTTATACAGAGAGACTTATCCGGAGAGACTTTTGCTTGCTGTCCAGATAAGTCTCTGTTTTATCTCTAGTAGTACAATTATATATATCCCACTTTGTCTTTGTTATACACCGAGACTTATCCGGAGAGACTTTTGCTTGCTGTCCAGATAAGTCTCTGTTTTATCTCTAGTAGTACAATTATATATATCCCACTTTGTCTTTGTTATACACCGAGACTTATCCGGAGAGACTTTTGCTTGCTGTCCAGATAAGTCTCTGTTTTATCTCTAGTAGTACAATTAGAGACCCCACTTTGTCTTTGTTATACAGAGAGACTTATCCAGAGGGACTTTCCCTTGCTGTCTGGATAAGTCTCTGTGGTACCTCTAGTAGTACAATTATATAACCCAGTTTGCTACTGTTCTGACAGGGAGCCTTCCCCCCTCCATGTGGACCAGAGTCTTTATTTTCCTTGTTGGATGAAAAATCACTTCTGAAGTACTGCAAAGGTGTAGGATTTTCAGAACAGGCATCACCCTTCCGATATTTTGTCCTGGAGAACTCCATCATTGTCGGGCTGCTGGAGCAGCCTCTCGGAAATGTGGAGGGTAAGTATGATGCTGCAGTATAGTTAGGTTTCACATAATTCATCAAAATTCCTGTCAATAAAAAAATCAAACCAAACTGATATCTGAATTTTTTGAGTGACCTTTATAGACAGGTTTTATTGTATAAAGATAGAAATATTTCTGTGGCAATAATAGATATTTTTTGCTTTCAGATCCACTACCAAATGTGACAGCACTGATACGAGGACCATTTGGGAGACATGCTTGGACCATGCAACTAAGGCATTCTCCCAGAAATAAAAATGTAATTGTTTACAATGGAAGATGATGTATGGCGATATCTAAGCCTTGTGCATAATAAATCTAGTACAATGAAGATTCATATTGAAGTCATCAGCATTGGTTTCTGTCGTCATCTCTCAATGGAAACCGGAAATAAACAGTTGAAATTTCTCAGTTTAGGGTAGTCTTCGATAAAATTATTTCTTTTTCTGATGTCCCATGTCACAACCCAGACAAGGGCAGTTCCTTATTATCCTTCCTTTGGTTGTGAGTTTGTTTGAAAGGTAACCCTTCTTAGCGATGTTTCCGGAGCAGATTTAATATTGGAAAGTAAATTTCAGCGGAGAATTCTTGTTGATGTTTGATCATTGTGTCATTAAATCCAGGTAAACGCCAAATCACATCTGAGTGACCCTGGACGACCTCTGCCGATGGAAAATGTTGGAATTCATCACAATGTAAAGCACCGACATTTTCCAGAGTCTGTTGACAAAATCCCTCTTACTCAGGCGTAGGTATCCTGGTCCTTAATTATCATCAAAATAAAAGAAAAATATACTTCTAAAAGATTTTCATTTGTTTGATTATACTTCATTATTGTAAAATATGCAAATTGGCATCTACTGAAAAAGAATTAATTTCACTTTTGAATAATAATTAACAGGTATTGACCTTGTTATAGGTCAGAATATTACACTGATGTTTAATTCTTGTTAACTTTTCCGAGGAAACTTCTCACCTGAAGTATTCAAAATGTTTGAATATTTTTTTTTAAATTTGAGGCAGAAAGATGCTGTCTTTCTTGAGTTGAAATGAGATAATGTAAATTCTGTGCAATTTCAGTTCTGTTTTGTTATCTGATATATCTATAGAATAGAACACATTTGAATATTTTCTATACAAAGCAGTTTGATAGCAGTGTGTATATAAATACATATGGAGGAGATGTAGAACAAAGTTGTACTGTGAATTCACATTGATTATGATTTCGGTTTGTTTATTAGAGATAAGAGTATCCCGACTCTTGAATCTCTGGTGACTGAGAAGGAACGAGCAAACCTGACCAAGCTCAAGTCCTTCATTGAGAAACAGGTGCAGTTTGAAAACCAGATCAGCAGTCGCAGCAAACAGGACCTCTCCAAGTCAAAGTTCCCAAACCCTGATACAGAGTGTAAACCTCCAAAGTGAGTATAAATAGTGAGAAACAGAGATATGTGATGTAACTATCTGTGTTAACAGTACTGTGTGATGTACCTGTGTTAACAGTACTGTGTGATGTACCTATCTGTGTTAACAGTACTGTGTAGAGATATGTGATGTACCAATCTGTGTTAACAGTACTGTGTAGAGATATGTGATGTAACTATCTGTGTTAACAGTACTGTGTGATGTACCTATCTGTGTTAACCGTACTATGTGATGTACCTATCTGTGTTAACAGTACTGTGTAGAGATATGTGATGTACCTATCTGTGTTAACAGTACTGTGTGATAAACCTGTCTTTGTTAATAGTACTGTGTGATGTACCTATCTGTGTTAACAGTACTGTGTGATGTACCTATCTGTGTTAACAGTACTGTGTGATGTACCTATCTGTGTTAACAGTACTGTGTGATGTACCTATCTGTGTTAACAGTACTGTGTGATGTACCTATCTGTGTTAACAGTACTGTGTGATGTACCTATCTGTGTTAACAGTACTGTGTGATGTACCTATCTGTGTTAACAGTACTGTGTGATGTACCTATCTGTGTTAACAGTACTGTGTAGAGATATGTGATGTACCTATCTGTGTTAACAGTACTGTGTTATGTACCTATCTGTGTTAACAGTACTGTATAGAGATATGTGATGTACCTATCTGTGTTAACAGTACTATGTGATGTACCTATCTGTGTTAACAGTACTGTGTGATGTAACTATATGTGTTAACAGTACTGTGTGATGTAACTATCTGTGTTAACAGTACTGTGTGATGTACCTATCTGTGTTAACAGTACTGTGTAGAGATATGTGATGTACCTATCTGTGTTAACAGTACTGTGTGATGTACCTATCTGTGTTAACAGTACTGTGTGATGTACCTATCTGTGTTAACAGTACTGTGTGATGTACCTATCTGTGTTAACAGTACTATGTGATGTACCTATCTGTGTTAACAGTACTGTGTAGAGATATGTGATGTACCTATCTGTGTTAACAGTACTGTGTGATGTACCTATTTGTGTTAACAGTACTATGTGATGTACCTATCTGTGTTAACAGTACTGTGTGATGTAACTATCTGTGTTAACAGTACTGTGTGATGTACCTATCTGTGTTAACAGTACTGTGTGATGTACCTATCTGCGTTAACAGTACTGTGTGATGTACCTATCTGTGTTAACAGTACTGTGTGATGTACCTATCTGTGTTAACAGTACTGTGTGATGTACCTATCTGTGTTAACAGTACTGTGTGATGTACCTATCTGTGTTAACAGTACTATGTGATGTACCTATCTGTGTTAACAGTACTGTGTGATGTACCTATCTGTGTTAACAGTACTGTGTGATGTACCTATCTGTGTTAACAGTACTGTATAGAGATATGCGATGTACATATCCGTGGTACAAGCATGTCACAGATTGATAAACTGTAACTTTTTCTTACCTGTAATTTAGTGTAGAAATTATAACTTTTTGTGGTGATATGTGAATGATTTTTAACGTTTTGGATTAGGTTCTATAAAACCCTATGTTGAGAAATGTGATGATCTTTGACCTGTCAGCTATGTGACTCTGATGACCTTTGACCCATTTGAATTATATGGCTTGAAGAGAAGCTATAAATCCCTACCCGGAGAAATGTAATGACCTTTGACCTGTATACTTCATAAGACCTTTACTTATAAGGATATAAGATGACCTTAACCTTTGTTGCAGAGTGACTCAGGAGTTCCAGACAGCAAGGCTGTTCCTGTCTCACTATGGTTTCCTTTCTCTGGAGTCTCTTAAGGTAACCCACTCTCTGTATACCATATTGATATTCTGTTGAAATAAAATTGGGAGGAATATGCAAAACACAATGCCCACTCCATGAACCTGTCTGTAGTTTCATTGTTGTAACTCTGTCAGAAAAGCAGAAACACAAAAACAACAATTTTGTTTAATGCATTAGATATGCGACCAGACGACAATTTCAATGCAAATATGTGTAGACATGCTCATTCACGTGCTGCTTTTATTAGAATTAACAAAAATAGGAAATTCAATATCTGCTTCCAGCTCAGTAATATTGTAGTTCCTATTGTCTGCCTATTGTAACTTTGATATGGTGTCTGCTTTTTAGTAGTTTCTGTCTGGCCCAGACAAGGCACACCAAATTGATGCATGAGTTAAAAGAAAATTCACAGAATAAATTGATTTACTGTAAACTGAACAGACAAATGTCAGTTTGAATATTTGTGGACACCAGCATCACCCATAAAGGGCTAAAAGTTTGAGTTACCTTTACAGGTAGTAAGCTGAAAGTTTGAGAAGACATTCTTGAGAGGTTGAAAATGAAAAGTTTAGGTGTACTTTCTTCAGAGGTCAAGATCTGAAAGTTTGAGTAAACATTATTGTGAGGTTGAAAGTTGTTTGAGTGTACTTTCTTGAGAGGTTGGAAATTGGAAGTTTGAGGGTACTTTCTTATGAAGTTGGAAGTGTACTAAGGATATTTGCTCAGAGTGAAAAGATCAGAGGAGGGGGAAGGGGTTAGTGTTCTTTCTAGGCTGGGTTGTGAAAATAGTACTATATTTCTATAATAGAATTTAATCATGAAATAAAGATTTTTCATGAAATTAAAACACACTTGCTTTTTATCTAGTTGTCTGCGTTTGATTCCGCAAGCAGATGTGAAAAAGATATGGGGGTCATCTACCCGACTACGAGGGTTTCTCCATGTACCCTACCCAGTTTCCTGTCACAGTATGACCCATTGCAAGTTTCTATCCAGGCCAACAAAAGTGGTTGATATAAGCTGACAGCTTGTTTCAAAATTGTTTTCAAAATTGTTTCAAAAGTGATTAATATAAGTTGACAGCTTGTTTCAAAATTGATATCATGAGACCACTTACTTTCGTCAGTGAGGTGATACCCCATCAGTGGGAGGAGTCATGGAGACAGAAAATCTGTCAACCAACCAACAATGTTTCCAAATTGTTAATATTATCAGTATGTTGTGCTGAAAGAAATTACAGATACAGTTAATACCTTACAATATTATGTCATCTTGACTTAGAAGGCATGGCTTTATATAAAAAATCTTGACAAATTCAATAGTTACATCACTTTTGTTTACTTTCTGGTTTAAACATAGGTTATATTGATCTGCAGAGGTACTTTCACTGTTAAATGTTGATATTGAGGACCAACCTAAGAAAAGTAAACAGATCTGTTTGCTTTTTGAGTAATCTATTAGGTAGTCACTGTTCAATTAGCACTAAGTCTTTGTGTTTGTTGGCAACTTACTTGAGTATAAATGGAATCTGTGTTGGTGTCTCTATAGATCAGCTCTCACCACAGACATATATTTTGTGAAGGAGATACGACCGGTGCATGTCACTTGACAAACAATGCATGTCCTTGTCAAACCTGGCAACAAAACCATTAGAATGATGTATTTCAACATCTGAATAAAATATAATTTCAATAGATAAATACAGACAAGTTTAGTGGTGTTAGAAACGGTAAGAAAACTATTGACTGATATTTACCTGTGCTATCAGGCTTGTTGACCATCTTGGAACAAAATTCTTTTATCAATTTGTTTAAGTTCAGTTATGAACAAACATTCTTTATTTTCTCTTTCAACGGAAATTGAAAAAAGGAAAAAGAAGAAAGACAGAAAAAAAAATCCTGTATACAACTGATTTTTTTTGTACAAGAGAAAAGTTTACTCATAGAAAACATACTTAGTGTTATGTAATACATGTACAAAGTTCATTTTTGGTTAATAAAACCTAAGATAACAGGCCATCTCTGGGTCACCATTTCAATCTGATAATAAATTGTATTATAGTATCATGTGATTTTACCATACCTGTCTGCCCTATTCTTTATCAATATCACATCTTTAGAATCTCTCAGTAGATTGGATTCATACTTATCCCATTATATCATAACATCATGTCTTACGCCTGATTAAATTCTGGTTTGTATAGAAGGAGCAGTGACATTTATGTCTCACAGACATTTTCTTGTACAGTTTAATAATATTAAACATGTATTCTGTTTATCCTGTAACGGTTACTAACAATACACAAAGATATGTGGTTCTCTTTTGAATACTGAAGTCTGCACTTGCTTGGTCACATATTAAAACGCAAAATTGGCTTTAGAAAAATGAGAGAGAGAGAGAAAAAAAAGCACTATTTTGTCCTGTGTTTGTCCTTGAAAATAGACCGTATAGTTAAGTCGTATTGGATGTAACTGTGATTACATGTCTTAATTTGATATATTTTAGGAACCCAAGAACAGCAGTATTCCTCCGGCCCTCGTAATGCTTGATACAACCAACTCAGGCCTGTTTACAGACCTAGAAAGTCTGGATACAGTTACTGCTCGAGATAACGACACTGTTCACATATTCTATGTGAAATCTGGCCAGAAACTACCACAAGAAATACTGAATAATGTGGTAAGTATAGAGATGTAACTCTGTAACAAAGGTAGGAAATTGTCTCTAGGATGTGCATGTAAACATCATGAACATCTCTCTAAAAACTACATATGTACAAATAGTGTAGTCATGTTTTTACCATTGCAGACTTCCCGAAACAATGTCCAGCCTCAATTCCTGGAATTTCTGCATTCACTCGGCTGGCCAGTGGACATTAGGAAGCATGCAGGATGGACAGGTCACATTAGCACCAGCTGGAAAATAACAGAACCGGACGACCTTGATGGTAAGTAATACACATATAATCTCCCATATTTATCATAATGAGTTTGTTTTTTTGTTTTTTGTTGAAGATTTGGCATCTATTTCTTTGATGCTACGATGAAATAACTGTACTCATACTCAAAGATAAAGGTCATGATATCAAATAGTGTGATGACACTTTAATTCTGATTTCTCATCATTTCTATCAGTGTACACTGTTCACTGCTCATTTAACTTATTTGTACATTGCCTTTAATGTGTGAATTTTCAGTAAAATTCTGAAACATTATTTTGTAATAATCTCTCCTCGTCTTTGATAAAGAGCAATATAATGGCTCATGCTGTCATACATATTTATCTCCCCTTGATTTTTGTTACAGAGGGCGAGTTTCAGCTGGGGACAGGCGGGTGTATCTATGACGGGCGACAACAGGTTCTGTACTGGGCCGACGTATCATCAGAAGTGGCCTTTGTTGTCCCCTCCATAGAAACCTACAATACAAAGATGTTGTCTGTTGACTCCAGTGGAGGTGGGTAAATTTACAGCAGAAACAGGGGTTATACATTACTTACAGTCTGTATACAAACCTACAATGTAAAGATATCTGTAGACTCCAGTGGAGGTGGGTAAATTTACAGCAGAAACAGGGGTTATACATTACTTACAGTCTGTATACAAACCTACAATGTAAAGATATCTGTAGACTCCAGTGGAGGTGGTTAAATTTACAGCAGAAACAGGGGTTATACATTACTTACAGTCTGTATACAAACCTACAATGTAAAGATATCTGTAGACTCCAGTGGAGGTGGGTAAATTTACAGCAGAAACAGGGGTTATACATTACTTACAGTCTGTATACAAACCTACAATGTAAAGATATCTGTAGACTCCAGTGGAGGTGGTTAAATTTACAGCAGAAACAGGGGTTATACATTACTTACAGTCTGTATACAAACCTACAATGTAAAGATAACTGTAGACTCCAGTGGAGGTGGGTAAATTTACAGCAGAAACAGGGGTTATACATTACTTACAGTCTGTATACAAACCTACAATGTAAAGATATCTGTAGACTCCAGTGGGGTGGGTAAATTTACAGCAGAAACAGGGGTTATACATTACTTACAGTCTGTATACAAACCTACAATGTAAAGATATCTGTAGACTCCAGTGGAGGTGGTTAAATTTACAGCAGAAACAGGGGTTATACATTACTTACAGCCTGTATACAAACCTACAATGTAAAGATATCTGTAGACTCCAGTGGAGGTGGGTAAATTTACAGCAGAAACAGGGGTTATACATTACTTACAGTCTGTATACAAACCTACAATGTAAAGATATCTGTAGACTCCAGTGGAGGTGGGTAAATTTACAGCAGAAACAGGGGTTATACATTACTTACAGTCTGTATACAAACCTACAATGTAAAGATATCTGTAGACTCCAGTGGAGGTGGGTAAATTTACAGCAGAAACAGGGGTTATACATTACTTACAGTCTGTATACAAACCTACAATGTAAAGATATCTGTAGACTCCAGTGGAGATTGGTAAATTTACAGCAGAAACAGGGGTTATACATTACTTACAGTCTGTATACAAACCTACAATGTAAAGATATCTGTAGACTCCAGTGGAGGTGGGTAAATTTACAGCAGAAACAGGGGTTATACATTACTTACAGTCTGTATACAAACCTACAATGTAAAGATATCTGTAGACTCCAGTGGAGGTGGGTAAAATTTACAGCAGAAACAGGGGTTATACATTACTTACAGTCTGTATACAAACCTACAATGTAAAGATATCTGTAGACTCCAGTGGAGGTGGGTAAATTTACAGCAGAAACAGGGGTTATACATTACTTACAGTCTGTATACAAACCTACAATGTAAAGATATCTGTAGACTCCAGTGGAGATTGGTAAATTTACAGCAGAAACAGGGGTTATACATTACTTACAGTCTGTATACAAACCTACAATGTAAAGATATCTGTAGACTCCAGTGGAGGTGGGTAAATTTACAGCAGAAACAGGGGTTATACATTACTTACAGTCTGTATACAAACCTACAATGTAAAGATATCTGTAGACTCCAGTGGAGGTGGTTAAATTTACAGCAGAAACAGGGGTTATACATTACTTACAGTCTGTATACAAACCTACAATGTAAAGATATCTGTAGACTCCAGTGGAGGTGGGTAAATTTACAGCAGAAACAGGGATTATACATTACTTACAGTCTGTATACAAATCTACAATGTAAAGATATCTGTAGAGTCCAGTGGAGATTGGTAAATTTACAGCAGAAACAGGGGTTATACATTACTTACAGTCTGTATACAAACCTACAATGTAAAGATATCTGTAGACTCCAGTGGAGATTGGTAAATTTACAGCAGAAACAGGGGTTATACATTACTTACAGTCTGTATACAAACCTACAATGTAAAGATATCTGTAGACTCCAGTGGAGATTGGTAAATTTACAGCAGAAACAGGGGTTATACATTACTTACAGCCTGTATACAAACCTACAATACAATATCTATAAACTGCAGAGAGGAGTGTGTGAACTCTATTTAGGGAAGAAAAAACATGGTCCAAAACCTACAACTTCGTAACAACCTTTGGTTTTACAAAGGTAAGGGTCACCATGTTGATCATCAAATTGTTGTTATGATGATTTAATTTTAGATTTTTAATTTAGTTTTGTATTTTACTTATGCACAGAGCGGTCTCCGTTATTTCCTCACCACCAAATGGAGAAGCAGGGATCTGAACCTACGCACAAGCCCAAGTCACTGTCCCTAGAGCGTACCCTCACTTCGGAGGTCGGAGACAGAATCCGAGGGGATAGAGAAAGTCCAAGCTCTCCACAGGAACCACCACCAGTACGCTTCCGTAATCAACGCCGTCAACCAGCACATATGATTGGACCTGACACAAAAATGTTTGTTGTATGGCTGGAGAATTTTGAGGACCATGATAATTTCCCTACAGGTGCGAAGTTTTACTTGTCAGATATATATTTTTGGCATGTTGATGATACATGGGAATTAATTGTCAGACCAGAATTGATAGGAAATGCAAACTTTCATCAGTTGTTACAGAGTTTGTAGAGCTACAGCTGATATATAATGAAATGACAGCTACACACTTTTCAGAAAAAATGTTTCTGTAAAGTATTTTTTTTTTTATTTTGAAACATGAATTAGAAATTGATTTTGTTTGCTTTGATTTATTTAACTTTAAGAGATGGAAATACGACTAGATAGTTTCTCTTATTTATTTATTGTTGATATGTTTGTTTTGATTGACAGGAGAATTACTTGGAGTGACCAGTACAGGGATGGAACACTTCGTAACAACAAGCACTAGTAGTACTAGTTCTACACACAAACTTCAGGAGAAGGACACGTTTATTATATTTATTCATGCCCTCAAGAACGGACTGTTCCGTATTCATATGCAGGGTCAGACAAACAGGTAAATTGAGAAATAATGTAAATCAGACATCCAATGTATCTGAGTGTCCCGCTATATGGGTGAGAAGAAGGGGCTGGAGGGGGGAAAGCATGGGTTATGTCAGTGTGGGGTAGGAAACCCCAGATAAATGTGTAGATCATTGTTATGCAATTACAGAGTAAGTTTCAAGGGCCCTCCACAATAATTGACACAAAGACAACTGTGAAGTCGAATTATTTTCTTGCATGGTAACGATGGACTTATTACAATGCATTGACTTATTACCAGACATGGACTTATTACCAGACATGGGCTTATCACCAGACATGGACTTATTACCAGTCATGGGTATATTACCAGTCATGGGTATATTACCAGTCATGGGTATATTACCAGACATGGGTATATTACCAGTCATGGGTTTATTACCAGTCATGGGTATATTACCAGACATGGGTATATTACCAGACATGGACTTATTACCAGACATGGGTTTATTACCAGACATGGGTATATTACCAGACATGGGTTTATTACCAGTCATGGGTATATTACCAGACATGGGTATATTACCAGACATGGGTTTATTACCAGACATGGGTTTATTACCAGGCATGGGTATATTACCAGACATGGGTTTATTACCAGACATGGGTATATTACCAGACATGGGTTTATTACCAGACATGGGTATATTACCAGACATGGGTTTATTACCAGGTATGGGTATATTACCAGACATGGGTTTATTACCAGACATGGGTATATTACCAGAAATGGACTTATTATCAGACATGGGTATATTACCAGACATGGGTATATTACCAGACATGGGTTTATTACCAGACATGGGTATATTACCAGACATGGGTATATTACCAGAAATGGACTTATTATCAGACATGGGTATATTACCAGACATGGGTATATTACCAGACATGGGTATATTACCAGACATGGGTATATTACCAGACATGGGTTTATTACCAGAAATGGACTTATTATCAGACATGGGTATATTACCAGACATGGGTATATTACCAGAAATGGACTTATTATCAGACATGGGTATATTACCAGACATGGGTATATTACCAGAAATGGACTTATTATCAGACATGGGTATATTACCAGACATGGGTATATTACCAGACATGGGTTTATTACCAGACATGGGTATATTACCAGACATGGGTATATTACCAGACATGGGTATATTACCAGACATGGGTATATTACCAGACATGGGTATATTACCAGAAATGGACTTATTATCAGACATGGGTATATTACCAGACATGGGTTTATTACCAGACATGGGTTTATTACCAGACATGGGTATATTACCAGACATGGGTATATTACCAGAAATGGACTTATTATCAGACATGGGTATATTACCAGACATGGGTATATTACCAGACATGGGTTTATTACCAGACATGGGTATATTACCAGAAATGGACTTATTATCAGACATGGGTATATTACCAGACATGGGTATATTACCAGACATGGGTTTATTACCAGACATGGGTATATTACCAGACATGGGTATATTACCAGAAATGGACTTATTATCAGACATGGGTATATTACCAGACATGGGTATATTACCAGACATGGGTTTATTACCAGACATGGGTATATTACCAGACATGGGTATATTACCAGACATGGGTATATTACCAGACATGGGTTTATTACCAGAAATGGACTTATTACCAGACATGGGTATATTACCAGACATGGGTATATTACCAGACATGGGTATATTACCAGACATGGGTAAATATACCAGACATGGGTATATTACCAGACATGGGTATATTACCAGACATGGGTATATTACCAGAAATGGACTTATTATCAGACATGGGTATATTACCAGACATGGGTTTATTACCAGACATGGGTTTATTACCAGACATGGGTATATTACCAGACATGGGTATATTACCAGAAATGGACTTATTATCAGACATGGGTATATTACCAGACATGGGTATATTACCAGACATGGGTTTATTACCAGACATGGGTATATTACCAGAAATGGACTTATTATCAGACATGGGTATATTACCAGACATGGGTATATTACCAGACATGGGTTTATTACCAGACATGGGTATATTACCAGACATGGGTATATTACCAGACATGGGTATATTACCAGACATGGGTTTATTACCAGACATGGGTATATTACCAGACATGGGTATATATTACCAGACATGGGTATATTACCAGAAATGGACTTATTATCAGACATGGGTATATTACCAGACATGGGTATATTACCAGACATGGGTATATTACCAGAAATGGACTTATTATCAGACATGGGTATATTACCAGACATGGGTTTATTACCAGAAATGGACTTATTATCAGACATGGGTATATTACCAGACATGGGTATATTACCAGACATGGGTATATTACCAGAAATGGACTTATTATCAGACATGGGTATATTACCAGACATGGGTATATTACCAGACATGGGTTTATTACCAGACATGGGTATATTACCAGAAATGGACTTATTATCAGACATGGGTATATTACCAGACATGGGTTTATTACCAGACATGGGTATATTACCAGAAATGGACTTATTATCAGACATGGGTATATTACCAGACATGGGTATATTACCAGACATGGGTATATTACCAGAAATTGACTTATTATCAGACATGGGTATATTACCAGACATGGGTATATTACCAGACATTGGTATATTACCAGACATGGGTATATTACCAGAAATGGACTTATTATCAGACATGGGTATATTACCAGACATGGGTATATTACCAGACATGGGTTTATTACCAGACATGGGTATATTACCAGACATGGGTATATTACCAGACATGGGTATATTACCAGAAATGGGTTTATTACCAGACATGGGTATATTACCAGAAATGGACTTATTATCAGACATGGGTATATTACCAGACATGGGTATATTACCAGACATGGGTTTATTATCAGACATGGGTATATTACCAGACATGGGTTTATTACCAGACATGGGTATATTACCAGAAATGGACTTATTATCAGACATGGGTATATTACCAGAAATGGACTTATTATCAGACATGGGTATATTACCAGACATGGGTATATTACCAGACATGGGTTTATTACCAGACATGGGTATATTACCAGACATGGGTATATTACCAGAAATGGACTTATTACCAGACATGGACTTATTATCAGACATGGGTATATTACCAGACATGGGTTTATTACCAGACATGGGTATATTACCAGAAATGGACTTATTATCAGACATGGGTATATTACCAGACATGGGTATATTACCAGACATGGGTTTATTACCAGACATGGGTATATTACCAGACATGGGTATATTACCAGACATGGGTATATTACCAGACATGGGTATATTACCAGACATGGGTTTATTACCAGAAATGGACTTATTATCAGACATGGGTATATTACCAGACATGGGTATATTACCAGACATGGGTTTATTACCAGACATGGGTATATTACCAGACATGGGTATATTACCAGAAATGGACTTATTATCAGACATGGGTATATTACCAGACATGGGTATATTACCAGACATGGGTTTATTACCAGACATGGGTATATTACCAGACATGGGTATATTACCAGACATGGGTTTATTACCAGACATGGGTATATTACCAGACATGGGTATATTACCAGAAATGGACTTATTATCAGACATGGGTATATTACCAGACATGGGTATATTACCAGACATGGGTTTATTACCAGACATGGGTATATTACCAGACATGGGTATATTACCAGACATGGGTATATTACCAGACATGGGTATATTACCAGACATGGGTTTATTACCAGAAATGGACTTATTATCAGACATGGGTATATTACCAGACATGGGTTTATTACCAGACATGGGTATATTACCAGAAATGGACTTATTATCAGACATGGGTATATTACCAGACATGGGTATATTACCAGACATGGGTTTATTACCAGACATGGGTATATTACCAGAAATGGACTTATTATCAGACATGGGTATATTACCAGACATGGGTTTATTACCAGACATGGGTATATTACCAGACATGGGTTTATTACCAGACATGGGTATATTACCAGACATGGGTTTATTACCAGACATGGGTATATTACCAGAAATGGACTTATTATCAGACATGGGTATATTACCAGACATGGGTATATTACCAGACATGGGTATATTACCAGTATAGACTTATTACCAGGCATGGACTGATTACCAGACATGAACTTATTACCAGACAAAGGCTTATTACCAGTAGATATTAAGAAAGAAATGTACAATATGACTTGAATAAAACTCTCTGATCTTTATCCCTAAGGTTACAGTAAAATGTTCATATCTTTGTCCCCAAGGTCAGAGTCACATCTGGAAGTTAAAGTTTATTTGAAACTATTACATCAAAACACATGAATATTTCAGTATTGAAAATTAATTTGGTCAAAGGTTAAACACAAAGGTCAGACACAAAGGTCAAAGATTAGATCACATTACAATCCTTGTCAGCTTGGTAGTTACTACTGAACATCTATGCACATGCATAATCATACTAAAATTGAGAGAAAAATGTATCATTATTAGATAATTGTAGGAGACTTTTGGTATAGTTAGTGTCTTCAGAAACAGTCAACAAATAGGCATATAATCACAGTCATTTATCCAAGATGGTGGGCACCAATGTACAGAGGAGGTGCTCACAAGTAAGCCCACAGCCTAACTTTGGTGAATTATCTTTTTTAACATAGAGAGGAGGTATTACTGCAGTAAAATACAGTACCAGTTGATTTACTGTAGGTCAAAGTGATGGTTAATTTAGTGTTGATACTAACATTGTTGCAGAGTGTCCATGGCCATACCTCTAGTGGACGGCATGGTGGTCAGCAGAAGAGTGCTCGGAACAATGGTCAGACAGACTTCCATTAACATATGCCGCAGGAAACGACTGGAGAGTGAACTGTAAGTGTAACAGAGACGTTTAAGTCCATAACTAGAGTGAAATAATCATTGAGCAAATGATTATTTAGCAGATGTTTAATGTTGTTACATGATGAGGTCTTATTTGGTGTCTTTGGTTTGCTATGAGCTCATTCAGTCAAAGTTGTTCTCAGAATGATGTGCTAACACCAAGGTACAGGTCAGGCTCTGAGAGTTCCTAATATTATGTCAGAGAGATTAAAATATAAGATCTGAACAAAGAACTGTGAGAGTTTATTTAAGATGTTGGAAAATAATCGGTAATTGAAAAAAACTTTTTGAATTACTGGCATTTCAAAAATTGTGATATCCAGAACCAGTATTTTTCAAGCAGATTACTTTGGGTATTTTTGCAGGATGAACTGCAAAAACTGAAACCATGTGTGTAGTAGGAGTTTTATTTACAGTATCTAACTAGTCCAATTCTGTAAAATTTATCATTGTAGGTATCAACCTCCCCATGTCAGAAGGAAACACAGAATTCAGGAAATCGTGAAAAACTACCATCTGAAAATGTCAGAACCTGAATTTTATACAGCACTGTTTCAAGATGTACCAAAGTGAAGCTTGGACGAAGCCTTACAACAGCGTGTAGAAATTTTGTTACGTTAATGAAAGCTTAATGCCAACGTGTTGTATAGACATCTTGCTTTCGGAATTCTTCGTTAACTAAGTGTTGTGATGGAGTTTTGTCATTGTCTTGACCAGTTAAACTTGTCAAGATTAACCCAATGTGCCAAATTAGGAACAAACTATGTAGTAAGCTAGGCTGCTTTGAGAAGAAAACCAATTGAGATTGTTGGAGAGGGCTTTCTCAAAATTTCTCTTTGCCATACCTCTTGTTTAGTGTATCAAAAATTAGATACAAATCTTAATGATGAACTGTGGAATTTGATTTTCTGTCACAGAAATACATTTTCTTTATTTGTTGTAAGATGGTTTTATCCAAAAGAAAATCTGAATATTTGATGACAGATATATTGAGAGTATCAACAAAAAAAGAGATAACAAGAAGTCTTTTTTTCCATGAAAGTGCACAAACAGATTTGTAAAATACCAGTAGTCTAATAGCAGGCCTTAAATTAAGTGGAATTCGTCTCAGTGCTTGAAAATTATCTGCAGGAAAGTAGGTGTCCTTGAAAAGTGGAATGTATGTATATATTGTTATACTGGAGATAGTTAACATGTGGTCTTTTCTGTTAGTGATACTTTCAAAGTTTTGTTAATGAAAAACTATTTCTTAATTAATGACTCCTAGACTCTCATGGGCCAATGATATGCCCAGTCTGAATTTTTTTATTTCCCAATTGATCGATTTCTTCTTTTAAAATGGCATCAAATCACAAACTCAAATTGATGAAAATATGCCCTGTTGGTTGAATTAGTATATCTGTGCACATAGAAAATAAAAACTCCCAACTCATTTGCCTGAAAGTACTGAAAAAACTCCATGTGCTATGGGTAGATGACAGAGGGTTTACTATTCAGAATATCTGGTGAATCTGTTCAAGTTTGGGAAACTTTTTTTCTCCGTCAATATTAGCCTGACTATGACAGGAGCCTGATGCTGATAATGAAGTGTTCAGTTAAAGTTGTGTTCACTCATGTACACACACCATCACTTACACACATACCTACACACATATACCATTCTATACTCACCTGTACACACAACCGCCCGTTGGCTGGTCAAGTGATGTGCTTAGTTATGAATTCTATATTTATTTTATTTACAACTTAAAAGACAATCTACTTAACATTGTAATGGATGAATGATTGTTTTTGTATTTGTCATTGATGTTATTAACGAGATTCTAGTCAAAACTTGATGTACATGACTCGCTTCACTCCCATATGTACTGGAGGTAATTTTGTGGTCATGTTGAAGAGCAAGGAGTCGTGCTTTAGAGATATAGATATCAATTTAGCTGTTTGTGATAAACTCCATGCAATAGTCATTTCATTTTCTCAGCAAGAGCATGTTGTAGCTGGGTTTTTTATTGTAATTATTCTGTGGTAAGCCCAGGGAGCCACCTTACTCACTCAAAGTCAAAGGCTAAGCTTATTGCAGGACAATGAAATAGCATTTGATTGTCAGTTTACTAGTATAACAGCAATATATCTGGATGGGCTTATTACTAGATATGGGCTTATTACTGGATAAATATATATTAATTACAGAAGCAGTTCCATTTCTGATATGGAGTCATTGCCTCTAGTTATATCTTACTATTGTGTCAAATATGTGTCCACTTTAAGTAAGTCTCTTTGCTTCAACTTTATACGCTGTGATCAGGTAAATACGGTGTAGCCATACTGTTTTATGATATAGTAACACAACAAAAAACCAAGTGTTGATTTAACAACAATCATTGAAGCATTCAATTATATTTCCCTCTTAAAAGATATTATGATGAATCAGTGGTGATCTTCACAACTTTGCCCACATTTATGAGAATTCAGGATAAGTTTCAGTGGGGTTGCTCCAGAACCATAATGTTCCTTGCATCAATCAGCTAGTCAGTGTACCAAGTGAAAGTTCTAACATCATTTGTAATAAAAACAGAGTTGTCTTTCCTTAGGTTGTCATTTATTCTATCTTGGCAAGACAAAGTAAAACAAGAATAAAATCATTTTAAGTGTCCTTAAATATATAGTTATTACTTTGATAACAAGGATGTTTTTCTTTCTCTTTTTCAGTAATATATTAAGAAAAAAAATGTTCAATTTTTAAAAAGGAATAAATAACTGTTACCAAAAAATAGAAAGAAAAACATAGTCAAATCTCTTTCCAGATTTCTGACAGTTTACCTCTTGTCTGACACAAACTGGTACACAGGCCCTGTGAGCCTTTTGAGCATGAAGTTCTAACTACAAGTGGTCTAGGAATCTTTCTATTATTGTTGGCTGTTGGATCTAAATCATTTTATTAGTATGAAAGCCTCATATTAGCTTACTTAGTAAAGTTACAGGTCATTGTGTTATCGTTTATAAACCGCCTGGTTTCTGTGCACATCTCAACAACAGTTGTTGGGGATTAGACAGACTAATGTTACACTGAAAAGTTTCTCTGACAACTGATAGCAGGTTCCTGAAGGAAGATATACTGTATTAGTTGTGTCTGCTGCCATATCAACATTCAAGTGCTCAGTGGTTTTATTTATTTAAAGATGATGTGTTATTTTAGAGAAAAGAATATTATGTATCAAATATGTATAAAATAAATGTATCATTATCAACTATTGGTGTTGTTTTTCTTATTTTTATACATTTATCATTTTATGGGGGTCCTATAGAGTTAGGCTTGTCTGTCTGTTTATCCATTCCGTCCTGTCCCATTGTACCTTGTCATCCTGTTCTGACCCTGATCAATTCATATTATGAGAACCTTTGGTTCATATTTACCCTATAGTATCATAACATTAAGTTCTATACTGTACCATATGAAAGTGGTCCTCAGTCAAGGTTAAAGGGTCAAAGGTCATATTTGATAATTTTTGTTGATTTAACAAATATACCTCAGCATTGTAGAGGGGGACATTAATGATTTACAGATATTTTCTAGTTATAATTTGTTATTGTTTCCCAGTGGAATAACAGGTTATTTGATGATACCACATGCAACATTGAATTATCCAGTTGTTTGTTAACTTCAAATATTTGTAAAAAAAAAAATATATATATATATATATATTTTTCTTGGACAACTTCATATTTCCTTTTGTGTACCCCAATTCATACAGAGTTATGACCCTTGTTTCATTTTTCAGTATCAACACTTTTTTATCTCTCCTTTCTTTGACAAAGTAATAGAAATACATGTTCCATCATCTTGAATACACATTTGTAATGGGTTCCCTATGCCTCCATGTGTGTGAACTAATTTCTTAGTCAAATCTCTTGTGATTTTATTTCTCAACATAACTTCATTTTATCTAAAATTGATTATTTGAATTTCACCAGTCAACTTTAAAAGATTAAATAAATGTCACGCTTTGCCACTTTGAAAATGAAATAAAGTAAATTGTGAATGAGATATCTCTTGAACACCACAGCAGATTTAGTTCCTATTCAAACCAAAGTATCATAGCACATTCTGCGGTTTATTTGGTTTTGGTGGTCAGGTTTAAAGTGATCAATGTCATATTTTTTTAAAAGGTAAATAAAACATTTGACACCTTCTAATAAATGTCTCACCTGATTAGTTTTGAAATAAAACCTTATGTTCAACATATCTGATGAATTTGAAATTAAAGGTATGCATGCTGATCAGGGCATGGGTAAGGGAGTAAATCTAATTTAATAGAGTTATTGCCCATTGTAAACATGGAGCGTCGTGAGAGTAAGTTATCAAATGATGCGAGAGAAATTGAATGCATATGTCCTGGATGAAATTCTTTGGCTGTAACAACTGAGCCAAAGAAGCACGCTTACTTACTAGAGTGACAGGAACAGAAACATTTATGTATATTAAATATTTGTAATATCTTCTTGAATCTTTTATGTGTTAAAATGTCTTCGTCAGACTTGAAATTTATATATCTATCACACCATTTCTCCTGTCTTATCTGACTTGTTTCCCCTGGAAAACAGTGTTAAAACATTGACAATGTCTGGAAGTTGTTTGATTATCGTTGTGTTCTCGAATGAAGATTATTGTGTAATTGTGTGTGGTAGTTTATCTTTCGTGACGATCTCTATATCTGACAAACTTCAAAAAGAACTGCTGACTGGTCTGGAAAATATTCATTCATTTAAAAAGTCTTGTAAATGCACAGAGGAAGATAGATGTGTTTATAAAACAAACAGGGACATATTATGTCTTGCTTCAACACATATGAAATCAATTTCCTGAATAAAGGGTGATTTTGTCTGGTCCACTTGTTTGCAATTTATTTGGCATGTGTGAATTATAGGTGTGGTTGCAGTTGTGTATTAAACTTCCCATTGTATAAACTTTGAAGGTGTATAGTCTTACACACATTGTGAATTTTTCAGTGATGGAAATGCTCTAAGAGAAGAAACTCTTGGGATGATCCCCGCCAGTGCACAATGTCAGTCATGACATGAGTACAAAATGTATTAATCTCCTACTCTGATACCCCATATATATCTCATTTTATACTCTATCACTTCTTTTAATGTAAAGCATATATAACTATTAGTTCCATACACTGTCCAAGGTCACCTTGTCGCACGAGTGATCACACAGCAAAGTAAAACTTCAATGACCTGGAATAATTACACTAGATACTTTGATACTGATGTTTTTTTTAGCTCACCATCATCTTTAACCCCACCATCATATTTTATGAATGTTGACTAGTTAATTTGCCCTACATCCATGATCCGTCATCAGTCTGTCACTTAACAGTTATCACGATTTCTTCAGAAGAACTGGATGGATCTCAGATTTCATTATCAAAGCTCCCCTTCATCCCTGGTTGTACCCATTTAATTTTGGGACTGATCAGAACAAAAACAACATGGCCAACAACAAGTGGTCATCTTTAATTTTGACAATGAATGTTTGTTATTGTCCTTTCTTGAGAAGTATTGGGATGGATCTTTCTCATTTATCAGATGTAAGATATCCTTAGTCCCTTGTTGTAACAGTATAATTTTGGGGCTGATCAGAAAACAAAACATGACCATCTTGGATGTGGCAGTTCAAGATTAGTATCGCTATTTCTTAAGAATGTTCAAGTTTTGTTTAATTAAGAGCAAAAAAACAGGAGATAAGAGAAAAGAAAGATCATAAAATGGTGGCTCTCATTGTTTCATCTACAATGTCATCAATTCCTAAAAATCTAAGAAAATATTTCAACAAAACAATAAAAAAACAATTAAGATGCAATAAACAAGCAAATCTAGACAGAAATCTAACTCCCTATACCACAGGACACCAACAAAGGGGACACAACACCCTGTACCACAGTAAACATTAAATTATCCTAACAGAACAGAACAAAGGGGACACAACACCCTGTACCACAGTAAACATTAGATTATCCTAACAGAACAGAACAAAGGGGACACAACACCCTACACCACAGTAAACATTAAATTATCCTAACAGAACAGAACAAAGGGGACACAACACCTGGTACCACAGTAAACATTAAATTATCCTAACAGAACAGAACAAAGGGGACACAACACCCTGTACCACAGTAAACAGGAAGCCATCCCAACAGGACACCAACAAAAGGGACACAACACCCGGTACCACAGTAAACATTAAATTATCCTAACAGAACAGAACAAAGGGGACACAACACCTGGTACCACAGTAAACATTAAATTATCCTAACAGAACAGAACAAAGGGGAAACAACACCCTGTACCACAGTAAACATTAAATTATCCTAACAGAACAGAACAAAGGGGACACAACACCCTGTACCACAGTAAACATTAAATTATCCTAACAGAACAGAACAAAGGGGACACAACACCCGGTACCACAGTAAACATTTAATCATCCTAACAGACCAGAACAAAGGGAAAACAACACTGTATGATTTGTAGAGTTTCTACTATAACAGAAACCTCCTGGAGACTACCAGTAAAATGGGCCACACTTGAAACTGTTTTAAAACCCATTGTAACAATAGTGCTTGTTATATCCACAGATTTTGTTGACAGTGTCACAATTGGCTTTAATTGTTTTTATTAGGGTTTTTATTGATATGTTGGAATAGTGTAAGGTTAGGAGAGACATTTAAGATAGAACTATTTAATTTGAACATGTAAAGTTTCACAGTGGCATCAATAACTTCTTGTCTTCACATGAACGAAGAACTGACTGCTAGCCCTGAGGTACCGAGTACCTTACATAAGCGGAGAGTCGGTCATGGTCTTTCATCCTTTTCAACATTTTTTTTTAAGTTTCTTACAATCTCATTAAATCTTATATAACAAACATCTGTGTACCTATTACCGTGGTTTACTTGACTCTGTTGAGTCACTATTAATGAAACCATGAAATAGTCAATACCAAATAATTTTGTACTTTATAAAGTATTAGCATTTAATCTAGGTACAATTTTTTTCCATTTATAAAACTGTTTTTGAAAGAAGATTCACCATTAACAGGTAACATACACCCTTAAGTTATATTGTGTCCTAAATCCAGTTCATCTCTACGGTTTTTAATCAGATGACATACAAAGGGCTGTTTACCGAGTCGGCCTATAGGGATTATGACGTGTGTACTGTAAATCAGGGACAAATGTTATCATGACATAATGTGTCAATGGGGCTTTATCTTGGAAGTCACAAACGACAGTAAACAAACATTACTAAATTATTGTGACATGTTCTCTGTAAAAACATGGGCATAACATTTGTTTATGTACAAAGATGTTAGATTAGGTGAAAACCTTACTGTTTATTTAGGTCATATATATGTAAAAGCAAAAATATTGTATGATTATTTCTTATGTTAAATGTCTACACGAAGATAATACGTTATCCAGAAAAAATAAGCATCCTCAAATTTGTTAACAATACTCGTTGTATGAATTCATGGCAATACCACGTCCTCAAAAAGAAAACCGGGTTTTGGAACATAGCTCTGTTTAAAGTATCTTTAACTGGAAAGGTGGTTGATATCAATGATACTTTTAACCAATGATTGTCAAATTCAACTATTATAAAATATCAGTATCAGCGTTGCTAACTGTTCCGAGTCAAGCTCTTGTACTTTTCGGAACACCCCAATAACAGATCGTGATACAGAGAGAAAATGCATTAACGTGAATTAATGGTTGGCTCTTAGTGGCTTCCATAATCACAGAAATGTCCAAACGGTCAAAATACCGACATTCCCTGCTTTCTTTGGGGTCCACTGGCGATTACTGTTGTAATTGTTTGTTCGGGACTTTAAGTCAAACCTGTTCCGGTTTTAAATGGACACACCAAATGTCATTGATACATTAATGAGCTTTCAGCTGCTAGAGAACCACTGTTTGTTAGCAGGACCAGTACTAGAATCTCCTCGGTAATGAATTACATGTCATACAATTTTGGGTACACATTTTAAAATATTGAATAGTGAAGTGTCAATTTTACATTGTCCATAAATACAATTAATCTAATATGATTGAAAAATAATATTTACTAGTAAAACTATTGGGAGAGATGAAAATGTTACTTTAATGAAGTTTATAAGACACATCCAGATTTGAAGAAAAAAACGGCATTCAATCGTCAAGCAGCCAGTTTTGAGCTCATAG